GGCCGCCGCTGCAGTGGCTGAGGCGATGCAGGAGCACGCCGCGGCCAAGCAGGCGGCGGCGTCGGCGGCCGCAGCGGCGTGGGACAACGACGGCGACGTGAACATGGACGGACCCGTGTACCCGTCGCCTGCTGAGCGTGCCGCCGCAGCGGCGCAGCGCGGACTCGAGGCCAAGCGCCGCGCGGCTCGCGCTAGCGTCGCCGTCGCGCACGGCCTCTCCGAGTCTGACGACTGGCACTCCCTCTAAGCATCCCCCAGTAGCAGAAGCTGTAGCTACACACCCAAAGGCATAGGAGACGTATCTTTACACCATTCGTTGTATGAATTTGCATTACCACCAAGTTTGAGCGGCGAGGGCCGCTGAGCTGCAGCTGCAGGCGCTTATCAATGCAAGCTCGCTGTAAGCTACCGAGGTGATCGTCTTCAGGGCCTGTCCGGGGGGTCAGAGGATGTCGCCCCGGCATGCATGAGCCGAGGACTTGGGCGGCGTAGGCCGAGCTTTGTAAGCGCGATTGCCGAACGAGTCAGCTAGCGGAACAACTTCGGAGTGATGGCGTCGATAAGCGAGCGGCGCGAGCAGGCAGATCTGGGTGGATCTGGGCAGCTGGCTCTGGTTCCTGAACTCCACGCCTCGTGATCGCCCGATCGCGGATGTGCGGTAGCAGCGCTGACGAGAGTCACCAGACGTTGGAGGGGAGTGATGCATGGTAGCTGCGTGCTGTTGAGACTCCCCAAACGTGATGCCTTCTTGTTTTCTCTCGTCTCATGTTAGATCGAGCAATCAACTCCCTGCTAGGGCCCCATGACCTGGCCTCACTATATGCATTTCTGCTATGCTCAGCCATCACGAACCAACCATTCGCCGCCACCGCCGATCTCTACCATCAGATCTTCCCGAACTCACAGCGACTCACCAGCATATACAAGTGAACGCAAAGAATGGGTCAGACCCATGTTAACGCCGTGAAGCGGAAGACGAAAGACAAATTCGAGCGCCTCAAGATACAGAAGAAACCTCCTCCGCGCTCAGAGTCACAGCAGGCCCTCCATCCAACTGCAACGGTAGAGGTGTCGTTGCCAAAGTGCGAGGGAGCCTTCAACGGGGCCAACAAGGGGAGTGAGTGTTCCTCTCCTTTCATACTCTACCTTCCATCTGGGCGGCATGGGATCTTTCGCTATGAAGAGGCAGTGTAGCGTCGTCGGACAAGTCCGAAGTTAGGGATCGGCGCAGATGAGAACAGCCAGGTGGCGCAAAACTGACTGTCCAGAACACTGCCTCCCAGCCCAGGAGTTCGACTATGAGATCTGCCGCTTCTGCTACGTGGCGCTGCCTGATGCATCGTAACTGGTTCTTCAGGTGTTTGCTGACTGGAGAGGAGGAATGTGGGATCGATGCATGCCATGATTACGATACGAGCCACGTGGTCGTGGCGTCTCGATGTTTGTTCATCACTGACTTTTCTTCGCCGCGACAAACTTGCCGCCGTGTGTGCTTGTTCCACACTGACAGGTGCATTACATGTAGGAAGACCGGGAGGAAGGTGCTTTGCGTTTCGAGTGGTTGCATCTCTTTTTCAACCTCTCTTCTTCCCATCACTTCGCTTCTCCGCTGCTCGTCTCAAGTTTCTTTGGCCGTGGCACACACCCGGGCTACTCACGCTCGTTACCCTTCCAGCGACACTCCTTACAGTCCACAATCGTTCACTACAAACTCGCTGCATACGCTCATTTGCCACCGACACTCCTTTGACTCCCTCACCATCATCCTCGGTCATTATCACTTCATAACTTCGGCTCACCGCCACGAGTCACGCCATGTCCAGCACTTCGTCCTGGTCGTTGAAGTCCTGGATCTCGGGCCGTAGTTCAATCCGTACATCCCGTTCAAACCGCAGCCTCGCCTCGAACCTCTCCGTCTCCTCATGGGGAAACTCGGCCATCAGCGTCCACTCCCAAACGACTACCTACGCTCAGTCATCATCCAGCGACTCGACCATCACCGCCCGTTCGCGTGTGGGATCATTCGCTCTCTCCACCTCATCTACAGACACGGAGCGCCCTGCGAGTCCAACTTCGACTTCCAACCCCGGCCCCACCCCGCCTCTGAACCACCCCCGCTCGCACAATCGCTACAATGCCCTTACACGCGCGCACGTCGCTGCCGTGGCGGAACTCGACGCCATCGCCTCCACCCTTCTCTTCGGCTTCTCGGCGGTACACAAGCACGCAGAGGGCGAGCTGCGCGCCGCGGCTGCCTGGGTCATGCTCGAGATAATCGAGGCGCACTTCGAAACGACGAACGATCTCGCGACACAGCGCTACGACAGGATCTGTTCCTGGGAGCCGGAGAACGAGGAGCTGAGGATGTGGTCGGGGGCGATGGAGGCGCGCTATGTGCTCAAGATGCGTGAGTCCCTACATCCATACTGATTTGTCTTTTCAGTGCAGGACGTACTGACACCCACAGCCGACCAGCTTCGCGACACCAAGCTCGCCCTGCTCTCCGACGCGCTCGGAACCCGGTTTGGCGAGTTCCCCGAAGTCGGCGAGATGCGCGCCAGAGGGCGCAACACCAACCCTGCCGTTCGCCACATGATCTTCGCCATGCTCGTCACGGAGCTCCGGCGCCAGCCCGAGGCTAGCGTTCCGGAGCTGTATGAGACCATGTCGCTCTGGGCCAGGGGAGAGGTGCTCCTCACCTTGACTGATGAGTGGGACGTGGACAGCGTCCGGGGGGAGCTGTCTGCGATCTTTGACACTAGTGTGGAATACTGCGATCAGGAAGCTGAAGGCTCTAGGGAGGACAGGAAGAGCAGGACGCACCCCAAGGACAGGAAGGAGAAGAGGAAGCCGAATTTGAGTGCCCCGAAGGAGAAGTATGAGGAGAGCCAGTACGAGAGCAAGTTTGAGAGCGAATATGAGCGCCGCGCTAGAGAGTTGGGACTGTGTCCTGAGGAGATGATGGCTATGGAGCGCTTCGTGCGCGAGCTGGAGGAGGAGGAGGAGGCATAGCAGCGTTCTTCCTCTCTCGGCACCTTCCTCATTCCTCACTGCCTCCCTGCCTCGTCGTTGCCGCTCGTCCACCGGAAGCATCAAACCTGCGTTCGAATCCCGCAATTTATTATCGGTCTATGTTTTACCCACACACATACTTGCTTTCAAGACGTCGCCCACTGTGTCCACACACCACACCCTCACTACATGTACTACCTACCGTCTGCAACATCGATACCCAACTACCCACCTTAGCGATACCCGTCCGTATTCTCTCTCATGTGCATGCATTTTCCAGCCTCAAGTTTATAGCAGTACGACTTTCTAGCATGGCACGCAAGTGGCGTTTTCTTCAATTTTTCTGTTTCTGCGGCGAGTTCTTGTGAATTAGCAGTAACCGTCAGGAGCGTCCCGCACTTGGCGTGCAGTAATACGGAAATGTGCAGAGGTATGGAAGCTTCTTCGATGCAACCGCACATCCACGAATGCAACTGCTTGAAAACACGCCACTAGTCATGGTGAACGGAATGGCGGCAGGTTCGTGAGACAATCTGACGGTGCGGCGAGGGCGAAGATGGTGCAGCGCTGGCAAATCCGGGTGCACCCTTCCGGCAACGTTGTGCTACAACGGAGGACGATGCACGCAAACTCTTGGCCCAGTCCACCCGCCGGTAGTGAGGCGATGGATCATTGCAGTCCGGTCCGTCGGCTGCCACCGGCCCATCAGCCATATTGCTTGTGGCAGCCTGAGCCATTGCCGGTTCAAGCAAAGTTCCATGCAGAAGGAACGGAAGGGGACGGAACAGCCGCGAAAAACGCTCCTAAGTACCCCAGTTTCTGCACACACGGCTCTCCGACGTGAGGGAAACTCCTGACCCTTTATTCCACGCACTGTGTGTTCGTTGCGAGACCACGTTCTGGTGTGCACACTCAGCCGGCGGCACTAAACTTTCCTGACGACCAGCTTGCTCGGAGATCCCTCCCCGAAAACGTTCTTTCACTCTTCTCTCTGTCCATCATCCTCCCACTCCTCTTCCGCTCAACTTCTCTCTGCCTTTCCTCGCCGAGCACTTCAGCATGCTCCCCCCTCAGCCTACGGGCTCTCATAGCCCAGCATACTACTACCACCGCGACAGAATCAACAGGAGGTACCATGTCCTAGGCCAACAGACCATCAGCGCCGGTCACGAGTTCTATCCCCAGAGTGCCCTCGACCCATGGGCTGCTGAAAGCGTCCGCATCGGCCTCTCCGACAGTCTAGCGAGGCTGGAGTACCACCGCAAGTTGGAGCTTGATGAACTACTCGCTGCAGAGTTTGGTGAGTTAGGCTTCCGCGAGCAACACTGACATTAGACGGTCGCCTGACTTTCAGCCCCAGCCCTGCCCCCAGCTCGCTCGTCAACGGCGCCCATCAAAGTATGCCCATGCCTGTTTACAGTCCCATCCCCTTGCACCATACCGGCATGATGTGGGGACCTTCCGGGCGTTCAATCGTCCGGGGAACGCTCTCGGAACCATTCATGGAAGTTCATGCCCCGGTCATTGGCCAATACCACTATGGTGCTCCCGCCTCCGGCTCCGGTCCCGACAATACATCTACCCACCCTGACAACGGTCCCCAAACTCCTGTCGAGTACCTGTACAGTGCATCAAACCTCTCCAACAGCAATCGCTCTGCGCCTCCCAATAGCGACCGTGAGTCAACCAGCCGCGCGACACTTGACGGTACCACCCTCGTTGGCCACGGCCGTCCTGAGTCGTCGACTGCTCCTTCCGCGCCTGTCCAAACCAGTCCATCAAAACGATCGAGTCGCTACTCTTCCAAGCGCTCTGCGTCAAAGGCCTCTCGCTCAGCAACCTCCAGCGCCAAGTCTTCCGGTACTGGTAGTGCGCGTCGCGCCGCCGTCTCAGACCTTAGGCCGTCGTCAAGCTCGAGCACCTCCAGCCTAACCGCCACGTGGGTTGGCGAAGCAAGCAGCTCTCAGTCGAGTGCCGATGTTCGTCACGGCGACGAGACAACTGTTGGCGGACTTGCTACCAAACAAGCTCCTTACGTCGACGCCTACCCTCTCTCGACCTCCAGCTTCACTGCCACCTCCAGTGGTCACCTTCTGTCTGTCCTGACTTCCAATATTAGCCCCGACGATAGCATCAGTCAGCATGGTACATCGACATCTAGTAGGGCCAGCACCATTCCCATTCCCACCATGCCTCCTACTTCCCGCATCAAGAGCCAGACCAATGCCGCTCGCCAGGCGTTCTCAACCTGCAGCCGCCCAAGCCAGACTCGTGGCAGCACCCTCAGCCCCATCGCAGAGGCATCCAGCTCGTCCTCACGATCGCAGACTCAATCCGTTCCGTCCAGCCAAGGCAGAACCACCGCTCGCTCAACCTCGGGTGCAAAGGAGCATTCGGAGGAGACGAATAGCAAGGGTGGCTGTGGCAAGCCAATTCACATCAAGTCCTCTCCCTCTTCGACTCGCTCTCGGAGCCAGCTTCCCGCCGACATTTCACCGTCCCGCTCAAGCCGCTCTTCTGGGGCGCCATCTTCTGGACCCTCCGCAAAGAGCAACCCTACTTCATCCAGCTCCGGTCATCTCACCACCCCGTACATGGCATACGCCGGTACGACCATGGAGACCGAAGAGCTCAAAGCGACAAGCCCAGAGAGGTGGCGCGCCGTCGCGCGCGCGAATGCCTTCGACGGCCTACTCCTCGTCGCAGTTACCGCGGCCTTCGGCAACCCAGACTTGCTCGGCAGGCTCAAACGTCACGAGGGCCGCTTCCACTTTTACAATGCACTCGAGGCTGAGGCCGACTTTGACGGCCGTAAGTTTACTCCTGAGGAGCGTCGTATCGGCCGTGGCAGGCACTTCGACTCGGTCAGGATCGTGGCGCTCACGCGCCGCGGCGGAAGCGACGAGCTGCCGAAGGAGATCGCAGAGAAGGTCCAGCGCTTCCACAACCTTAACGAACCCAGCGATGACAGCCGCTAAGTAGCAATGTCGCCCCTAAACCGACTGTAAGCCCTTCCCACCCCTGCTCCGTATCAGTGTGTTTCGTGTTCTCGCGGCTTCGCCCTGGTGGTAGAGTCGTGCCATGTCCGTAGCTAGTTCAGTATGCATTCAGTTCTCAAGGCTCAGGTCATTGCGCGTGAGTTTTGTTCAAATGTTGTCGGTCTGGTGGACTGTCTCGTCAGGGAATGCATTCGTATTTGCACTTCCCTCGGTGGCACCATAACCCAGAGAAAAGCTATGGCCTTCCCCGTATTCCGCATGCCCCAGCGCTTCCAAGAAGACAACAAGGGAGCAAACTGATCCTCCAACGTTCAGGGGTAGCGATTCACAGGTCTCGTGGCTCGCATTCATGCGACTGCAAACAGCGTCGCTCACGAAAAGTTGACTGTGATGGACAAATGGCTGCTGGCTGTATGGAGGTTATGGACAGCCCGTGTTGGTCACCACACACGGTAACTACAGCTGCCCCTTGTACCTTCAAATCTGGGGAGCAGCCTAGTGCTTCGCCCTTCCAGCACCAGTGCCCTTCACTTGACGAGTTGCACGCTTCTACCGTTTTCCCTGATTGTCATCTCGCATTCGACCTACTGCTCTCTTTCGTCCTTTGGTCCTTGCCTTCCAGCTTACCCCCTCCCCCTTCCCTGCCAGTCTTCAGCCCACTTTACACGCTTCCAGCTTCTGCGGCCTCAAGCAACCCGGCGTGATGGATCTGAAGATTAGCATAGAGGCGCTGGCCGAAAAGGAGATGGAGGAACGGAAGACAATGCTAGACAAGACCGTCGCCCAAAGTATCAGCGACTTCGAAGCCTCGGAGGAATTCCGCTTGCTCAGTTCAGACCTCATGCAAGAACGCCTGCTTCACCTTTGCCGGGAACAGATGGCGGCCGCTGCTGCACTCAACCATCCTACGCGTACGTACCCCTTTCATTCTGCAAAAAACTCACCCCTCAGCTTCTGAGGAACAGAAGATCATCGACCAGCTAACCTTCCGGAACGCACAAACCCTATCTGATGCGGGGGAGGATCTCAGCGACCCTTTCGTCCCTGCCATCGCCAAGCTTGGGGCCATGACCACCTTCTGGGCACTGCGAAGCAGTGGTGTGCTTGGGACACGAGTGGGGTATAGCGGCCTCTCTTGCTATTTGAATGGGGAGACTCTCGAGCGCCAGGCCACGGTCTACTTTCTCGCCACGCAGGCTGGCATGGTCACAACTATAGGCCAGGATGGTCTGCCCTACTTCGACACCCTCGACGTGCATTACAAGAACGCGCAGCAGACGCTCAAAGCGCTTGACATCAAGCACAAGGATCCCTGCTGGGTGTCCATGGATGCGTTATACCCCACGTCCGCGGAGCGACTCACTCTGATCATCCTGGCTGCTCTCGGCGGCACGAGTTGTGATCACTGGACACCATATCAGCAACTGATGGGTTGCTTCGGGGCGAGCCTCGTCGCCGAATTCTTCGAGAGTGTTCTCAATCCTTGGGAGCCGTCTAGGTCCACTTCACCCCCAGTCATCACTCCAGTTACAGAGAGTATGCAGGTTGCTGAGGACTATCTGACTCAGCTGGCTTCCAGTCAGGAGGAGGCGCCCCTCCATGCCCTGCACGACGCACGAGGCGAGTCCCAGCAAGCTTCGCAGGCTTCTGACTGCGACAAGCCTACTCTCTTCTGTACCACCGGTAATGATCACACTGCTAGCCACCGCCGTTGGATTCCCAAGGGTTTGTTCGACACGGTCGCAAGCTGGTACAGCACCCTCATGGGTCTCCCTTCTTCAGAGGCCGCTGAGTTCCTTCGCTCAGACATCCCTAACCCGCTTCCCTCATTGGTGACCGACGACCACAACGACCCAATCGATGTTGCTGCGCAACGCGAGGCTCTCTTCAAACGAACCCTCGACGCTGCTCTCGCCCATGCATCGGCCACCGAGCAGGAAGAACTACTCGCCGCCTTCGCCGAGTTCAAGAACATTAATTGATCAGCGTCACGACGGAGGACGTCCTTGGGTTCGAATCCGCACGGCGAAGACTGCTCCAATATTTCCCCAATGCCATTCAGTTCATCCTCGTCGAGCTCCTGAGTCTTCCAGTTCACCAAATACATAGAACGTCGCTGTACTAGCATCTACATGGACATGCATGCATTGGTCCGCTCTAATTCGTCACATGATGCGCGAGGACTTCATTGGGAACAGTGGCGGTCCTCCTGATTTTCGCCAGATTCTCAACCAAAGCGTCGAAACCTGCCAAATCTCGTGGCTCGCCTCTTCTTTGGCTCTGGCACTGATCAGGAGCGTCTGAACTCTTTTGAAGATCTATGCCCCTGATCTCCTCCTGTCTGATCCCCTCTCTGAGTCCTGACTTTCCTTGTTGGAGGATCGCCGCTGACGCTTGGGCACCCCCTTTCGTCCCGATGTTATCGCAAGCCTCCACGACAACACTATGCCTTCCATCGATCTCCTCTCTGTTTCCCGTCATTTTACCCTCGCCGAATCAGCACATCCCGCAAACGGCCCGATGCTATCTCCGGCAGAGTATGCAACCCGCTGCGCATCCATCAACGCGCGCTACGACGAGAAGCTACGACAGTGCCAAGCCTCTTTCCTCGCCTTCAAGATCGCGGCCACCCGTGACATCAGCATGAACATCCCCGCAGGTTTGCAGCGCATGACCCAGCTCAACTTCAAGGAGGACTCGGAGGTGCTCAAGATTGAGTTTGATCGGGAGGAGGAGCTGCGCGAGCTAAACAAGGCGGCAGGGTACGGTGAGTCCTCCAAACACCATGGGCTCACAATAGGTCAGGCGCCCAGCATGGCTCAGCCCCCACAAACGAGCCACAACAAGAGCGCTAGCGAACGTGCGGTCGCCGTCGGCGCTCTCGCTGGCATTGCACGCGGGCTCCTCCATCCCGAGGACCAGAGGACTCGCCAGGAGATCGACTTCTGGGTCGCCAAGTTCGAGGCTGCCAATGGATCCTAATGCCCTGTGGTACTCATCCGTAACATACAAGAACATGCCAGGTCTCTATAGCGTATCATGGATTGTGTCTCGTCTCGTCAGATCATATCTTCCTCAGCCCCGGTCCTCACGGGACCAGAGCGATCCGGTGTGCTCTCAGCATCCTACGCCTTCCCCCTTTCAGTCACGGTTGACAGTCTCGAACTCATTCTGCAGTTCGTCCAGGAACTCCTTGTGTTCCTCCTTATCCGTCAGATCCCTCGCAAACTTGAGCAAACTCTCGAAGAGCACGGCGCGCTGGGCCGCGTCTGAGATTCGCTGGCGCTTGAAAGCGGGCTCGGCGTTGCCGAGATGCGGAATCACCGGCGCGCCGGGCGCATAGTCTGTCTTCGGGGACCAGGCCGCAAGCCGCTGATGTTCTGGTGATTGGCCGGGAGAATGGCCGGGTGATGGCGTCTTGCGCTTTGCGCTGGCTACGCTTTCGGGTAGGGAGGGGAGCTTCAGGTAGTCCATCTCCGCAGCTTCGAGGGCCGATGTTGGCGGCTTGGGCGAGCAGAGGTCGGAGGGTGAGGCGGGTCCACGGACTGATGTTAGCTTCTGAACGAACCGCTTATCAGCTCCCCGCTGCGCGTGCGTTCGGCGCTGTGGGTGGATTTGCTCACCAGTATCGCTTCCGCTGGAGCTGGTACCAGGTCTCGGCGTCGCGCCCTCCACCAGCGCGATGGGAGGTGCCTCGGCATCGACCTCCCTCAGGCGTTCGGTCTGTTCGGCCGAGATGGCAGAGAGCTCCGCCGTTTCGCGCAAGTAGATGTCGCGGAGCAGTTCCCGTGCCCGAATGATCTTGCTCAGCGGCGTCAGGTGCTTCCTAGCACGCAGGATTGCCTCCGCCTCAACACGATACCGTGTCTGGCATGACTCGACACGGCGCGCAAACTCGGCCCGGATGTCGTGCCGGCGCCGCTCGGCTTCGGCGGCAGTCAGCATCGGGCGGTCATCCGAGCGGCGGGCGTAGGGGCGAATCGTCAAGTTGTGGTGGAAACGGACAGAGACTTGTTCAAACGGAGGTCGGGGCAGGGATACGTTTTCAGAGCGGTGAGAGCGGCAGACTCTCGTGTGAGGACCTAGGAGTGTGCTAGACGGATGATGGATGAAAGGACGAGGTCATTCATGAGCGTCTCGTTGCGGGGAAATTGCGGCGACGAAGTGGTTGGTGGGCTGGGATTGTGCATCACGTGCCAAGGCTTGGCAGGAACGACCCGTGCTAAGCGCCCTCGACGCCGCGGAAGGACATGTGACGAGATGGGCAGGAACCAAATATGGGGCTCCGCAAATGGCCGACAGCAGTTTCGAACTCTATCTCACGACCGAGTAAAGGCATATTAAGCATGACAGAGTTGACGGTGTTGACGCTGACGCCGAACGCACAGAAGCAGTGCAGTCTCTGTGCATCAAAATCAGCGGAAACCAATACCGAACCAGCCGTTGACCCAGTTCACAGATGAATTGGTACTGGAGCTCCATCGGGAGAAAGGAGCACACAATGCCTTTGCCCACGCACAATCTCGCACCGCGCACGATGTGCCGTACGCGTCAGCACTCCATAGCCTGGACCTCATCACAAAGTGCTGGGAGATCGCAACCTCATCACTCCCATCATCATCCACAGCACCTCTCTTGGGAGACGCCATGGCCTCAGCGAGACAGAAAGGCAAGCAGCGCGCCAACACTGAGCCGCAGCAAGCACCCGCCCAGCCGCGCCCCATCACTCCCACCTGGAACCCGCGCTACGTCTCGTTCTGTCCGTACAACAAGAAAGCACACTCACCCTACCCTTACGAGCCGGCTCTGGACTCCCTCCAAATGAGCCTCAAACGGAAATGCATCCCCGACCCAGACCCCATCGATACCTACCATCTGATGCTGCTCGTTCTGGAGGATTTGCGCGACTACGTTCGACCGCTTCTGTACACGGACATTCCGGACGACGCGCGGCACTTTGCCAGGACTCAATGGGGCCTACTCAATCTCATTCAGGAGTTCGACAGCCTGCCCAATCGTGTCACGGGCGAGGAACGCGAGGTTGAGAAGATCATGGCGGAGTTCAAGCCAGCGAATGCGTTCGAGGGGCTCGTCCGAACTTTCGCACTCGACGTCATACGGGCAGGCATGAAGTATTTCGACCTTCTCGCTGAACGGGGCCAGGCTGGCGTGGCTATACCGTCCGGGTCCAGATCGCTGCAGGCCGTGCATTCCAGGAATAGGACAGCCGGTCGAGTGTCGACGGCGGCCGCATCGTCCTCTGCAGTCCCATCACCTGGTAGAAAGTTGGAACTGGAACTCGCCCTGAAGGTCTTTCAGACCGGGGCCGACGCCGCAGTGCAGACTTTCCGGTTCAGCTTCTTCTTGCACTTCGACGATGCGCGGGCTGTGTGGGTCAACAGGATCCGCGTGTACGATCACCTGATGATGGTCATGTGGGAGGTCAAGCGCCAGATCCTGCAGCCCAATGAAGGAGAGAAGGGCAAGGAGTCGGAGAATGTTGAGAAGCCTGAGGCGCACCCAGACGATGGAGGAGACGGGAGTAGCGATAGCTGGGAGAACGTGTGGTTCCGAGAGGGTGAAGGGGCCGCAGAAGTAGGTCACGACCCCTCGGGCGATCCCTCTTCTGCGGCGGAAAGCAGCAGGGACGCTGAACCGAAGACCCAGGTGAAGAAGAAGGGCAGGAAGATCAAGAACGCCAAACTGCTGAAAGCAAGGGCGAGAATGGGAAAGTAGCATCCGTGTGAGCGAGACGTCTCAGTAGCTCATCAGTATGCTAGTTATTAGTCTCCAGAGGATTGACTAAAACACCATCCCCAACCAGTTGTTCCACATGTCCAAGCCGATTCGTCCTGTCGCCGTCGGACAAGCCTCACACAAGGCCCTATCCCGGAAGGGCCGGCGTGGGCGCTTCTGAACCAGTCATGAGACTCACCTTTTGTTGGGATGAGTCCGTGAGCACTGTTATAGTTATGCATACCTGCGTACCGCCTACAGCTGATGTCCGCGGCGCATGAGCATGTCCTTCCACTGGTCCGGCATGTGGCCCTTCTTGAGCTTCTCGTAGTCGTACATGACGCAGGTCGAGTCGGCAGTGACAGCGAGCTGGTTGGCCTTGACGGACCAACCAGCAAAGGCGAGCTTGAAGCTGCCGCGCTCCTGGTCAATCGAGTGCGGTCGGCACGCCCACATGATCTGCCGTTAGCTACTCTGAACTAGATAAATAGCGATATGACCGAAAGAGGTGCTGAGGAAGGGAGGGAAGACACTCACAGAGTCGGGGTACGTCACGGGATACCTGAAGCGGATCGTCTGCTCCTTCAAAATGATGCCGAGACCGCGGCCGGCGACCAGGTCGTCCTTCGCCTCCTTGCCCAGGTCGCTCTCGAGCGTCTCGACCCAGCGCATACGCGCCGACTCGATGTAGCGCGCGTACGTCACGTTGTTAATGTGTCTGTGCATTAGCTTACCTCCGCAGTTACCCATCACTATCAAGCAGACGTCCACTATCCGCAACTAGTACGCAACCGTCTTCCCCGGAGAGGGACATGGTAGTGCCAGATGGGCCATAGTGACGAGGAGAATGACTTACCGGTACATGTCGCTCTCGCCCCAAGCGCATGGCCACTCGATACGGCCTTCGTCGTCGAATCCGTTCGAGTCGAACCACTCCTGACCCGTCGCGCGTGCCCGGTCGTAGTCCGGGTTGACGTGCGGCGGCAGCGGGATCTTGTCCTTGCTCGTCGGTACGCTAGCCGTCAGCTCTGAACTGCCTCCAGTGTTCTCCATCACATCGCTGGCCCGTAATCTTTATCAGCACCCCAAACCCCGTGCCGCACAACCAGCCATCTGCCTTGTGCATCTGTTCTGCTAGTCGACAGCAGACAGCTTTGAGAGGAAAGGGCAAGCCCCGATTCTCTCGCCTTCGATGACGCCGCAAGCTTCTCCCCGCCAGAAGTGAACTCACCGAGGCCTTTCGTACTGCACGCCCTCCTGACCAGGAAGTGGGCGCGCTGTTGTCGTGTCATCCGGCGACGCGGGACCGACCTCGCCCTTGGCGAGGTAGTAGGGTGACTTGGGGTCCGAGAATTTGGCGAGGAGGTCGTTCAGTTTTTCGTCGCGCTGCACGGCTCCGGCGGAGAAGGCGCGTGCAGCGTTCGAGACCTGCGGGCGCAGAGTGCGAGCGGCACGGGTCGTGAGGCCGAGCATGTCGTTTGGATGGTGTGGAGTAAGGAGGGGTGAGAGATTGCGGTTTGTCAACAAATGGTGACTGGCTACTGGGTGTACAGGATCCGGCTGCGCCGGCCGGTGACGACGAAAGCCGACCGTGGACGGGTATCTTGCCGAGCGCCGAGCGGAACCTGATTCGCTTAAGATGGTCGGACATCGCCGTTCCCCTCTTGCCTCGACCGCGCAACTGCACGCACGTAGTCACGACGCCGACGACGGAGGTTCATATCATACATAGCATTCATACGGTCATGTCATTAGAGTTAGGGCATGCCCATGTACACGAACGGCTGTGTGCGGTGCCCGCCCTGGTTCGACCAGGTGCTTGGCGGCGGCGCTTTGGTGCTCGCACTCGACGCCGAGCGCTCTATGCCTGGCGTCGAGGGGCTGGAGCTCTCGTTGTGCGCCTTCTCCGTCATGTTCTCGAAGTCCTTCAGCGCATCCCGCAACTTCTGCATACCGGCCATGCCCGCTCCGGCCATACCGCCCATGGCCGCACCGGCGGCTCCACCCATCGCCGAGAGACGTTTGCTGGCCTGGCGGCCGAGGAACATCGGAGCCGCGACGGCGGTCGTTTCAATCTCCTCCGTGTCACTGAACTGTCGTGCGAACTGCGACCAGTCGCTGCGCTGCTGCAGATATGGCCGCAACAAGCGAGAGTCGATGCGTCCGAGGTGCGACTCCGTCATATACGTGCGCAGCACATCGGGCTGTACGATGAAGCTATTGCCGAGTTGACGCAGCATCTCGAACCGATCGTTCAGCGCCGGCGAGTTGAAGGCAGCGATGCACTCCTGGTACGTCGCCAAATCCTTCGTGAGCATCAGACCACCAGTTGGGTTCACCGGGAACTTCTTGTAGTGGTCCAGGAGCAGAGAGTGGAAGCTGACGCCTACTTCGGTGAGGAGGGCTTCGAGGTTCTTCCCGCTCAAGGCCTCAGTCGCCGTAACGTGAACCTGCGCAAGGAAGTCGCAGCACAGCTCACAAGGCTCAGTGTTGGTACGGGCGAATGACAACTCGTCGTTCTTCGGCTTGAAGTCATTGCGCTTCTGCTTGGTGAGAAGATAGCTCAGCCAGAGCACAATGACGTCTACAGCCTTCTGCAGAACAGCATTCGCCTTGTTCTCCATTCGTACCGTGTTGTGCTGGTTGAAAGTCGACATCTCACGGCGCACAGCCGGACTCGTCGCCAGCGGCAGCAGTGCAGTGCTGGTGTAGCGCTGCCAGAGGTGGCAGACAAGGTCTGCGGGGCGCAGAACAGTGAGTACCGAAAGTTCCGGCTCCGTCCGACCGTCGTATTGCTCGAGTCGAGCCAAAGCCGAGTCCAAGGCAGTGTCGATGAAAGATCGTCCGATCGCCTCCGCGAGAACCTTGGAGAGAGCGAACACATTCTTAGCGACTTCGGCTGGAGGGGAAAGTTCGACAACACGTCCAATGGCCTCGGCATGCCAACGCATCATACGCTCAGCAAGCTCGATGTCCAGAACACCATCTTCCGGTGACGGCATCTTCTCTGTTGTGTTATCGTACGAGTTTTGACGTGTTGGTAGACCCGGAAGCTGCATGCTGAGACGTGACGTTGACCGCGGAGGCGGCGTTGGAGCGTTTGACGTGGGTGTCTTGGAGCCAGAGATAGCATTCTGGGCTGAAGAGGCGAAGAGATTGGCGTACTTGCCGATCGCCTGGGCCGCGGACGACGCAACCTGAGCCGTGGCGTTGGTCGTGCCACCTCCGGAGGTGGAGAGCTGATTAACGACGCGGTTCATCAGCGAGTTGGGTTTCGCCTTGAGCACCGTCTCGTGATAGTGTGTGAACTGCGACAAGAGCCCGGCATACAGCTCGACCAGGTTCTTGCTCTCGCTGTCCAGATAGCGACTGCCTTCGAGCCATGGGATGAAGATCTCCTCCAACGATTGGTCGAGCAAGGTGGCGATCGGACCGGTGGGCGCCGTTGCCATCTTGGAGGATCCCGCAACGGGGCCGCCAAGAGTAACGTCGAGCGACTTCAGGTCCTCCACCAGTTTCGCACACATCGAGTGTGAAAGATGGAGAATGCGTAGAATTGCAAGAGTTGAGACAGTCGATGCGCGGGACACGAGGGACTCAATGTGCTGCTGGATCTTCATGTCAGCTTACCCTGCGCAAACCGAAAGCACTTACGACTTGCGCAAACACACGCTGAAGAAAGACCTGCATAACAGCTGTTGGGTTGGGGAACACAGCAAGAACGATCTGGGCCTCCTGTGACACTGTGGTGCGGATTTCCTTGAAGAGAGCGGCGAGGCCAGGCTCTGAAGTTGGCGGCGGCAGACTGGGGTCTCCGATAGTCTTCCAGCTGATGTTAGCTAATCGCGATGTGTCCTTCAACCCACATCTCCACGGCGGTCCCGTTCGCCTCGGCCTCCTCCATAGCGCTTTCTATAAGGCGATCCTTGCTGATGAAAAAGTCATGCTGGTTGACATAAACCTGAACACATGATGTTCCACCGTTGAAGTCCTGGAGCACCTTCGCGCAATGTCCCATGCTACGGGGATCACCCTTCTTGAAAGCACGGTTAAAGTATGTGAGCACCTCCTGCTCGAAGCGTTCGCAGTACTTCTCGATCTCCGCCGCGACACGGTCTGCCTTCTCCTTCTCGCCGCGCTTCAGGAGAACATTGCGGTGGGCAACGGAATGGCTCTCACCGTTCGCATCGGTTGCCTCCGCGTCCGCAAGCGCCGTAGCCGCGGTATCAGCGACGTCCTTAGCAACAGCCATGAGACGGCGGAGTACGACTGCGAGACGTTGCCTTCCCTCGGGCGACTTGCGGGTGGCGTAGAGCTGAGCAAGTGGTGACTTCTCTTCTCCAGTTGTCGCTGTATACTGCACAAGCGAAATGTAGTATCCGACCAGGAGCGAGGTCGCCTGTGCCGTACTTCGCACTTGGTGAAGGCTCTCGAGTTGCTCGCCGATCTTGGCGGCCGTGCGCCCAACGTCGGTGATCTTGTTCTCGAGGCTGGAGAAAGACGAACCGACGGCCTCGAATCCACTATCCAGCTCCCGTAGCCGCTTGCCGTACTCTCGGTTCGCGCGTCGCACCTCACTCTCCATCGAACGCGTTCGCTCAGCAACCTGCGATCGGAGGGCGAGCAGCTGATCGAGGGCCGGCGAGAAAGTGTCCATGAAGGGCTTCGGGTTGAACGCTGTTCATGTTAGTGTGCCATGGCGGACATGAAACTCACGTCCGGACTCAGCCTTGCTCGACTGAATGAGATGCTCGCTCAAGTTCCCGATGAAATCTTCCGTTGAGTAACCATCCTGCTTATTAGCAATGTCCTCAAGATGTTGGGTGGTTCCGAGGACCAACTACGTCACTTCCGTCGTTATAAACACTCACCTCGAAAGTCGGGGGTTGGATGACCTTGCCTATGACGGGGTCCTTGGCCTGAGGCGATGCCTGCTGCCGTCTCCCCGGGCGCCTCGGTGGGGTCTCCGGCGCATCCATGGTGTCGGTGACGGATCGGGACGTTCTGAGCGTTGTTAGATTCGGGGTCGTTGCTTGAGACGCGACGTCGTAATGCACATGGAATCACGGTCGCTCGATCGCGAGCAGCATTAGCGGAATCAAACGTCAATAATCAACCTCCACCGCCGTTCTCTAAACGCGATTAGAAATAGGATGAAAGTTACCCCGCATACCCCGCATTCTGACGTGGAGTCGCGCACAGAACAACAGTGTCTTCCCTCGACGCGTCCGTTGACATCAACAAACCCGTCAAAATGAGGATAGCCGTCACACTCGCCGCCCTCTGTCTCGCCGGAGGAGCGTCTGCGCAATTCGGGAACTTCTTTGGTGGCGGCTTCCACTTTGGCGGACAACAGCAGCAGGAAGCCCCGCCGTCACAACCGCCGAGGCGGGAGCACCCTGGCTGGAATGTGTACCAGGAAAGTGAGTGGAGAGTGGCAGTTATAAAGGGCAGAGCTGCCAGGACTCGCGGTCATTGAGTTGCGATTATGGACGTAGCCTGGAGACTACCTCTGTGCAGGAGAAATACAAGCTGACGATCAGTCCACTGCCGAGCAGGCTATGTCTGCCCTTCGTCTCTCACGTGTGTGCCCACACCAGCGGACTGTCCTTGTCCCTACCCGTGAGTCCCATCGCGTGCGATCAGCTGACGATAAGGGAGGACATGAAGTGCGTGATTCCCGACGACCGACCGCGCGACGAGGGAGAGGGACCGCCCTTCATCTGTGTCCGCGGAGGTTGCGAGCAGGTCAGCTCTTTCGCCAAACCCATCTAGACAACGCTCCACTCGGCTTCCGGCCCACTTTAGACGACCCAAACTTGTAATGCATACCCGGACTGTACTCACCCAGCCTTCCTTGGATACAGAGGGTTTACGTTGATCCGACCCACACGATCGAGACGTGCGTGGTGCAGTGCCTGGGCCGACATCGCTCCACAGTCTGGGAGCTAAGCTACACATGTGGCAGACCGAGCTCACATGACCGGTCCACACCAGCAGACTGACTCTTTCGTTTCCGAATGACCGTGGAACTGACTCTGGGTACCTGCAGGAATGTAGATCAGAGTTCGGATGCCGTTGTCGATCGCGGACATGACCTCACGATTTCAATTTGGGGCCATCCAAGACCCCACAAACAACCCAGGAGCTCACGACAGGCAACATTGGTGGACCCAGCACACATGTGGTCCCAGCACACATGTGGTCCCACAGACTCGTTGTCATGGGTCTGGATCTGGGTACGCTCCACTCTTCGTAAGCCAGCTGTCGACGCTGGTTGACTCGGGCCGTCGTCGCGCAACCAGCGCAGGATGATCAAGCTGGCACGCTCGAGTTGTTTCAGTGGCTGAAGGTCGGTCCTTACGGTTAAGCATCTATAGCCCTTCGCCCACAAAGGGCGTCCCGAGCTCAATGTACCTGAGCCGATGGAGTGTCTCGGAACGCAGCTTCACTGCGTTGTCATAGGGCACCCAGAGCGGTAGGCATCACACGCACATGCAACCCGGAAGGAAACAATGGTCGCTCATCACACCGACCTCCCTACGTAGGGCAACAACGGTTGTCTAGTTGAAGGGTGTGACGAAGACTAACGACAACTGATGCATGCGCAACTGGGGGACGCTTTCCACCGCTACAACAGGGCAACGAGTGACGTAAGGCCGACGAGGAGCATTGGGGCCCATGCCCAGCTCGATCGAGGAGCGGCGTTCTCGAGGAAGTTGCAGACCAAGATACCCCTCAAGCCGCCCGGGGAGTACATTCTCACGATACTGTGGTTGATGTCGTCGTCGTTGTTGTGCTCCGGACCGCCCTGGAAACCGCAATACCAGACGTCGGCGTCCAGGACGTTCTTCGTGCGGGAGTTGAGGATCGCCATGCCACCGTATGATTCGCAGTCTTCGACCTTGGTACGGTTGATAGTGCCAAGGATGAAGCAGCCTGGCAGCTTGGCCCACTTTCCCTCTTTGCCAAGGTTCACAGACCAGATTTGCTGTAGCTCGGTTCGCCCCGATATATTGCGGCCGTCGACCCGCCTGAATTGATCCCAGGCGTTCGTCCAGTTGTAGGTGGAACCGTTAACCACTTGGAAGGCAGGTTCCAGAGGGCAGGTTTCATTGATGGAAGAGCCTGTAGCCATGTTTGAAGATATAGTGGCGGATTGAGCAGTTGTGCGAAGAACTGACAGTTGGAGGTTGCATAAGTCAGAAGAGCTTGCTGCACACCATACCGCCAACAAACACCCTAAACGCCTGATGTTACAGTCGCCTCTTTCACAACAAACACCTCAAACGCCCGATGTTACGGTCGCCTCTTTCACAACAAGACGACCCCATATGCCCTTAACGGGGCAATGAAACATGAGTAAAACAAAGTTTGCGCTTCTCGGAGGGTGGAGCTCACGGCCGAGCCCACCCTTTCGGCGGCTGCTTTGCCATTCGTGCTATTCACATGAACGTCACCCAGGGGTCTTTACGATACTCTACAACAGCGCAACGAGGGACGTCACCCCGACAGAGAGCACCGGTGTCCAGGACCAGGGGATGCGACGAGCTGCGGATGAACCCGGGACCTGGCACGTTATGGCCAGGTCAGACATGCCTGATCTCAACTCGGAGATGCGGGTATTGATAGCGTCGGTGTCCTTGCGGGGATCGTAGTCCTGGGCCCGGAGCCCGCAGTACCAGACGTCGGCATCGACAATGTCCCTGGTCCGCGAGTTCATGATGGCCATGCCGCCGTAGCTCTGGCATGTGTCGACCTTGGTGCGGTTGAGTGTACCAAGGTAGAAGCAACCAGGCATAGTACCCCAGTTGTAACCCGGGTCGGAGTTCACCATAAACAGCTTCTCCAACCGATCGTGCTGCTCGACATCGAATTGGTTTGGATTGTACTTGTCATACGCCTGCGTCCAGTTGTATGAGGAGTTGACTGTCTGAAAGTCAGACTCGAGAGGGCACATATGCATTGACTCTCGAAGCCACCCTGTCCACCATTGAGGCGTTGGGTCGGGGTCCATCACGATTATGCACATTTTCAGGAAGGCCGCAAAACCAGACGTCGGCGCCTACAACTTGCCTGGTGCGTGAGCTCATGATCGCCGTCCCGCCCATCGTCTCGCACTCCTTCACTCTAGCCTCATTAAGTGGACCGAGGAAGTAGCATCCTGGAGTATAGCCCTAGTATACCTCAGGGTCTGCGTTCACCAAGAGAAGGATTTGGACTCCGTCTTTTGTGTCGACGTCAAACGCTGTACAGATTGTGCTTCTCATTAGCCTGCGCCTAGTTGTAGGACGGTTCGACTGCTTGAAAGGCGAATTCTAGCGCGCATGTTGTGACGGCAGCCGACGTGGTTAGAAGGAAGGGAATTTTGTCGGGTGTGACTGGCCGAGCTTGAGGGCGGTCTTATAATAGCTACCGGGACCGAAGCGTCGTGAGCAGGCGTCGCGCTCCTGTTGAGGGGCCAGTGATGGCCGTGACAGTCCAAATACTCACTGCCAAACCGCCAACTCCCTGCCAATGTTTACCTTTCATTTGGACTTCATGCAAAACGCTACTATGGAGTGATACGACCCAATGGATGCTGAAGGTGACTCAGTCAGGCAGTTACGTTACCGTCAGAATTGCTTCAGGTGGACGGAGGGCGAAACGCTTAGGAAAGGAACGGTGGACAGCATTGACGTGGCGTGGCGCAAGACCGCATTGGTGCCCCGCCAACGCATTGGTGCTAGAGTTGAGCTCCCGCAAACTCAATCGTGCGTTATGACTGATGATCTTGACCACAGTTGAGTGCATCGATACGAACCCGCGCGCTCCGAGCAATTGCTGGATCGGCCTACTTACAGAAAGAGTCGCAACCTCGTCCACACCCTCAGGGGTGCAATCGTTACAGGAACATGTTGTCCAAATAAGGAGAACTCGGCAGGCACAACATCGTCACGCGACGACCCGAAACTTTACATGGGCTCCACCTCTTCTCAAAGCCCGTCGGTCGGCAACGGGCAGGAGCAACTTCGGAGCGATGGAGACGAGGAGTCTTGCCGGGGAGACCACCAGACGAGCTTCCGCATCCAAGAGACGTGTCATGATGCAGATGAGTCAGGCGGTTCCCCCACATCTCTTACGACTCTGCCTGATGGGATAGATGTCCAGGAACTGGACGGCTGATTTGCGCGGATACGTAAGTGTGCGCTTAATTGCGAGGCGCTAAATGCTTCATTGGCTCCCGTCCGATTGAAAGAAGCGTCAACCACCTTGTGGCTCGCACAAATAGAGTCGATTCTACGTGCTGAACAAGTTTGCAGGGCCCATTGCTGGGCAGCGTAGTCCGAGAGAGTCGTCAACCTGATCTCAGAGTGCATGCTTCGATATCATGCCACGGCATCCTTCAGATGACGCTTCTTGACCGTCTACTGACCTGCACTAAAGTACCTCACACTCATGTAGTATGTATGTACCTATTTTCCTTGTGGAGCTCTTGACTGTCACATTTCAGTGACCGCTCCTAACTACTCCGGTGCATACAGTAGGCAAAGCGCAAGGTATCTGTGCTTCCGCCTTCCAGGTGACCTGCAGATCGTTTCATAAAACAGAGGGTGCAGCTCCGCCAAGTAGGTAACGGCAGGTGTTTGATCTTTGCGATGCATGCAACGTGGTAACGGGATGCGCGCGAGGAGGAGGAACACTATGAGCTATGTTTCCAAGAATCTGCAGACTTTCGCAGCCAGTAACAGCTGTCAGCCGAAACGGCACCGTATAGTAGCTCAATCGTGTGATCGAATCCCATAACACCACAACACCCGCCTGAAGCTCTCACGACAGTGCTACGAGCGAAGTGAGGCCCACAGCCAACAAGGGAAGCCAACTTGAGATCGAGTGGCGGTGGGGAGCGGCATTCCGGCTGGGAAGGTTACAGGTGAGGGCTGGTCCGCTCGTAATGTTATTCTGCATAGACCGGATCTCGTCGTCTGTAGGAGGCTTGGGGGCGGAGCTGGCTGCTTTGACGTCTGGGTTACGCAAAGCACAGAACCAAACATCCGCATCCACAATCTCGTGGGTGTAAGACGACAGAACAGCCATGCCACCACCATTCTCGCACTCTTGGACTTTGGTAGAGTCGACAGTGCCGAGATAGAAACAGCCAGGAATAGCGAACTCCGAGTTCCCGACGCGGGCCGAGAATAGTTTTCTCAACTGATGTGTGTTGTCGCTCCACCCATCTGTGTACTCTTGTCGTGCTTGCGTCCAATTGTAGTTGGGATCCATCACCCGATGGAAGGTGACATCGAAGACGCAGGTCGCATTGGTCGAGTTGGAGGTTGCCATTTGGAATCTCGTTGTGACGGTAGAAGCTTGGAAGAAAGGAAGAGCAAGAATGCAATGGCAAATCGGCTCTGGGTCTTAAGTGTCGGGGGCGAAAGTCTTGAGCAATCGCCCATCAAGCCAGGATACATCAGCCGCAGGCGTCATGGAGGTCGGCACCTAACATTAAAGTTAGGTTTCGCTACTAATATCAACGGCATCCTGGGGCGCTCGCTTCATCATGGCGGGCTATTATACAGACAATTCCCTATGAAACGGAAACACCTGTCACACGATACCTGCAGTGACGTCAAGGCAAGTGGATGGTTTCGGAGGCGCTAGCCCATTAGCGCTGACACCGACACCGGCAGAGCGATGAGGATCCAAACATGAACTTCAAAACCTCCACTTCCTGTGACGCGCCCCTGGGTGGTGCTTGCTCCTCTGCCCATCCCTTGAGCATGTGGCCTACAGGCTGTTGATCCACTTCTGTGGTTCCGCACCTGAATGCCTGAATAAGTGACTGTTGGGCTGGGGCCCCCCTCTTCTCTTTAGAGAGCAATCCCATCGCGCAGTAGTCACAAAGCCATGTGCACCGTTTTTGCTGGCTCATGCTGACTGCCCGCCCACTTAGGCTGTAGGGGTTCGGCGTCAGGACCAAGTAGAGGACGTCACCTGTCCGAGCGGAGGCAGGCTACCCAGAGGCATATGAAAATTCGATCTCCAGATCCAAGGCCCGTTTTAAGCCAGGAGCACCTTGCGGCCTGTCGCACTTCGCCGGTCAGTAGTGTGATCATCCTGGCGAGACAATTTCGTTCTAGACCCATGATCATGAAGGGGAGCAGAAGTTGCAATGTGTCGGAAGCTAGGCTCTTTCTGAGTTATCACGTTGGTTCCGGCCCAGGCTGTATCGCGATTTCCCAAGCACCCCGCACAACCGATCAGTAGATGTAGGCCATGCACTGTGAAAGGGGATTGGCCACCGCCTTCATAGCACGCCCCAAGTGAGAGGGATCCTCAAGGCAAATCGAGGGCGACATCGTCACAGGTGGCGCATGGAGAGGAACAAGGATTTCACCGGGCTACGACCCATGATGCACCACTCATTCCAACTTGGGCAACTGGCCACGGAACGAGTGAACGCGCACTCATCGGCATCATTAGGGGGGTAAAGCAGACGCTCGACCGGAACCCTAAAGTCGATCAACGGAAAGCTTGTCAAAGTCGGATGACTTTGTTCCCACCCAAGCAGAACGGAGACATGTACGCAACCTCTCCGCAACCCAGGCCCTCAGGGCATAAGGATGTGAAGCTTGGAATGCAAGAGACCCTTGGTCCTGGTCGTCAAGGGTTGGAGGAGATAGTCTAAAGTGGCACTTTCGTATGTGGCGCTCACAGCGTTGATGCTACCCTGTTGAAACTCACGATAGCGTCGGCATTTGCCAAGTGACAGATACACTTTCGGGGTCCTTATGTGCAATGCGTGGCCCTTGTGACGAGGTTCTCAAAGCTGTAGGTTGACATGCCTCATATGGTAATCTTTACAAGCCCCAGGTGGTGATACGGTTGTGAGGCACATCTCATTCGGACGATCGTCAGGTGCGCCAGGCAGAAGATGGAGGTGACCTAACCGAGGTCACTGTCAGGCAGTGGGAACCCCATCAGCACCTCACTTCAAGGTATATAAAGAGCAGTGTGAGGGCTATCTTTCCTGCATGGTTCTCGCCTCCGGTATTAGCCATTTCGTGAGTGTCGGAAAGCCCGAAGGCCCTTGCACCTCAGACTGACCGACTCCCCAGTCAACATGCTCCCTCGTTTGCTTCTTCTCCTGCCGGTCTCGCTTGCAGCTGTATGCTGCGACTACATCGGAGACATCAACGAAGATGCCCTTTGGAAGCTGCGTGAGAACTTCTGTAACAACGTCAAAGGTGCAGAAGGTAATAAAGACGAAGGTTACTACCTCAAGACCTCCGTCGAGGCCGATAGCCTTCACCGTACAGAGTTTGCCTTCGCCGCGCAGAACGTTCAAGACGAGTTCCCCAGTTGCTGGGAGGCCACCGAGAATCTCATCAACCAATGTGCTCGTCAAGGCCATGCTCACGGCTCTTGGGAGAACGACGCGGAGTTTTACGGGATGACACTCGGAGACAGCCGAGCGAACGGTCGCCGCAAACGATCCCTCGACGAATTGCACCCGGTCACCACTCCCGAAGACTTCAGGAATCTCAACAGCGGCACTTATACCCTGGACGGAGAGGATGTGACAATTGAATTCCAAGACTCAGTCCCTTCCAGCGGTGCGGGAGGTGACGCCATCACTCCGTCCGACGGATCTGCCAGCAAGGATTTCAAGACCACTCAAGGCATCGCAGCGTCCTGGAACCAGACCTTCAGCACCACCATCGATCTGAAATCTGTCATCAGAGACATGATCTCACAGGAGAAGAAGGCACGCCGAGGCTTGGGAGTGAAGAGAGACATCCATCAGAGATGTGATACGAAATCCTCAGAAGGCAACACGCGATGGGTAATCCTTCAAGGCGGAGATTGGGAGAAAGAACCCGAGAGAGTGTCCGGATGCCTCCCTGGCCATGAGGATTACTTCAAAGGCTCCGGAAAGGAGACGTGCCAGACGTTCAGCCTGGACTTGAGCGGTGCCCTCGAGAAGGCAATTGCTTCAGTCACGCTGGCATTCAACGCCGAATGGAAGACGTGCGTCACACAGTCAACGATTCAAGGATGCGGATGGAAGCAAGGTGCGTATATAACAAGGAGGCGCTCACACAATCAGGAGCCTGCCACGTCATGTGGACTCAGCAGAAGATGTACTGGCAGCGCGGTTTTGCGATCGAGACACGTTACTCGGGCAACTTCATGAACGCGGCTCCTCACATCCAAGCTGATGTCAAGTTCGTTCACACCGATGGGCCCCAAGACGAAGTCATTGTTCTCTGCGACCGCGGATGCTGTGACCTCGGCGCCTGCACTGATATCCCTTCCAGGGCTCAGCTGACTTGGGATGAGTGTGAGAAGGTCCCTGAAGACAGGAGGTCGTGGTACGCGACGTGCACGGACAGAAACAGCTACAACTGCCACCTGGAATAGTTATATCATCGCGCTATCTCACTTGACTGCAGAATAATCCCTCAACCTCAAATTATATAACTGAAGCCTTTGAAATGATATGCAAAAGTTCTCCCTCTATCCGTTCTATCCGTGTATCACTCGCTGTCCATCACCAGATCGCGGAAGCTAAGGTCGAGAGTCGAGTGAGACATACTTCAATAGCAGAAAAACTTGTCGTCAGTTCGAGAAACCCAGGCAATGACTGAAGAACTGGCATAACGCGCTGTCTCTTGAGATGGTAGGGAGACTTTCACGCGGTCGCAAGCAACGTTTTATGGAGCAGTGGGCGCTTGCAATCTGTTCGCTTTGGGACGATTAGTTTCTGTCTGCTTACACTTGCGCATCTGTGTCAGTTACACAGCGGCGACTTTGAATTAGTTCTTGCTTTGTTAGTGCGAGCCTCAACATGCGGAAATGTTCAATGCTGTACGCAGATGTGCATCGGCTGTCGATCACATGTCAGTGACTGGACGCAGTCATACTCTTTCCGGCGTCATCAAGACCCGAACCCTACTTCGTCTCCCCATGTACTTGAACAGGGCTTTGGCGGAAGAGAGCAAGTCGGAGGTGGGCGGCGTGTGGGCGCGTCTTTAGATCCGATGGCCCCGCTTGTGCTGCACTCGGGAACTGTATGCCATCTTAAGGCTACGAAGTCATCCCTGGCTTTGACAAAGCTCCCCCAAAGCACTTCAGATTTGCCTCAAGTTGAGGTGAGCATTCCGTTCCCCGCGCACTGTTTTTAGCTGTCTCCGCCGTATTTACTCCTTATACTGTACATTGTCCAGCACTCAACAACTCCTAATGAATCGGACACCGCTGATCGAGAGGGGTCAAGTTATGCGCTAGAGATTGGTGCGGTCGACGAAGCAGGGAGGCAGCCACGCCGTGAGTACCAAGCCTCAATGCCCTTGTGGCCTCCGCCGTTTGTTGACCTGAGGCTCCTTATTGCAGCGGTACTGGGTAGAGTTTATACATACGTCTCCACATGTCAAGGGTGATACATTGGGGCGTCGTTATTGTGGCTTACCACCCATTAGTGCAGCATGCACCTGCTGGAAACATTATCGAACTGGGCGCTGAAGATCCTCACAATTGCGCGACGGCGGAGGTCAAGGCGACAGCGAGCAAAGGGAGCCAATGTGAGAGAACGGCTCGGTGCGGCGCATCGCTCTCGTTCTGGTCGGGCCGATTACAAATAAGGGGGTTTTCGGACACGTTGGACTTCATCAGGGAGAAGTAGTCGTCGCTGATGGGGTCAGGGGCGGGCACCTGGTCACTGGTACCGGGGATCCCGCAGTACCAGACATCAGCGTCCACGATGTCCTTGGATTTCGTCGCGACGACGGCCATGCCTCCGCCCGCCTCGCATTTCTTGGCCCTTTCGTTGTCTAGAACGCCCAGATACCAGCACCCGGGTAAACCGATCCACTTGTCGCCCACTCGTGTCCGAAAGAGGTTGCCCAGCGCGTGTGTTCGTCCAGTCCATTCGTCGTGGTACTGATCCCATGCGGAGGTCCAGTTGTAGGTGTCTGGATTGGCCACCCTTTCGAAAACAGAGTCGTAGGGACAGGTCGCTGTCGCGTTGTTCGTTGAATTGACGGCCATGGTGAAAGGGCGTGGTGCACAACCAGCTGTAAAGGGGATGAACGTGTTATGGTGGTCTCACGACCACGCCTTATAAGTATGCATAACGCCCTTGCAGGTAGACGTGATTTGGGAGACTACTCGCCTGAGCTGAGCTTGAGGTACATTCCAATCTTGATTCGCTGGCAACGACCCAGGAGAGTACGAACGGGGGTCGGTGCGCTCATCCGCGTCACGTTGCACAATGGTAGTACGGCATCCGCCCATGCTTTGCCTCACATGCCCGTCAACAACGATTGACGACCCTCATACCTGAACGAGCGTAACTCTGGGGTCCCGCGGTCTGCCGGAAAGCGATGTCGGGGTAACATTGACTGACCCTTAGGACTTTCAGGATCAGTGTGAATTGGACACATGTTGGGGAGAAGATCTGCCGGAACGAAGTGCTTGATCAGGTTAGATGCATCAGGATACGGAAACGTTAGGCGCGAATTTGGTGGCCCCGTCCTCGGAGTGCGTTAGCATCACTGTTGGATAAAGAACGGTGGGCGTCGTCGTATCGAACCTCACCACTTTGTGACGCAACCTGCATGCACCGCCTCGGACAGCACCCGCCCTGCCAGCGCGCTAGCCTACCTTATAGCCCGATAGCCGAGAGCAAGAACTGCAGATCTCGGAAGACATGCCGATGGAACCCCCGCATCGCTAGGGCAGTGTCATTAGAGACGTCAGAGCGATGGCGATCATGGGCATCCAACTTGACAGTGGAGGTCGAAGTACGGCCGAGTTCCGAGTGGGCATGAGACAGGTGATGGGTTGCGGGCCACCCGACGCCGCGCCTTAACCTGTTGAGGTCGTCTGTGGGAGGGTTCGGCGCTGGGAATTTGCCATTGGTTCCACGGAGACCACAGAACCACACATCGGCGTCCGAGACATGTTTGATGCGCGCGATGTAACGACAGCCTCCCCGCCTTCATCTTCGCATCGCTTGACCGTTGTCTCGTTGAGTATTCCTACGTAGAAGCAATCAGGGAGGCAAAACCACTCGCCCCCGACTTGCCGAAGAGTTGCTGGAGCGCGTTCATGTCGCCTATCCACGCATCGCCGTAGGTGTCCCACGCTTTCGTCCAGCTATACGAAGGGCCACTCACTGTGTGAAACGCTGCATCGAAAGCGCAGGTGGAGTACGTTGAGCTTGCGGTCGTCATCACGAAGGGGTAGTCCCAAAGATCGGGAAGTCGACGGGTGGCGGCGGCTTTCAGCCTGACTATACACACGTGCGGTCTCTGGTGCATCCTTCAGAGGCTCTCGTGCATTCATCAGAGGCTCCCACGTTGGTGCCTCGTGAGCACATGTGATCGCGGGACCAGCCTTGGGGCAAAGTCTGCGTGACGACGGCTTGGCGGCCAGCATCATGTGCCCGGTTCTCCCTAACAGAGCCTTCCAGTTGTTGCCTTCAACCCGAAAGAAGCGATGTCTACCTGGCAGTCCGTTTGAGCTTCTTCTTGGTAGGCAGTAAGTATAGTCTCGAATGGCAGTGTGCTGCACTATAACCCACTGGGGCTAGCTCAGTGGTGCTAGAGTGAGCTGATGGAGCTTGAGCTGGCTGCCGACGTTTGTTGAATGCAGCACCTCATGTCACAACAGAATAAATTGGCATGGATGTGCATCTTCGACCCGCGGCAGCCATAGCAGGTACCCAAAGCCCGCGTCAGTACACGGGGAAGCCCTCATCAACCTCACGACTCCAAGCCACTAGCCCACCCCGGACGTCCCTCGCTATTCTGCCGACCGTGCGCAACTTCGCGGCGGCGATTTGGCTGTCGTTTCCACGGCGACAGAGGAACGTGACCTCTCCGTCGCCTGGTACATCCTCCGGCCGCTTCAGAATTTCATCCAAAGTGATGTCTGTTTCCCGTCAGCCACTGCCTTCGCTTTCGCACTCACTCGTCGTCCCGGGTAGGGAGCAGATGGCGAACTCGGTTGGCGGTCGTGTGTCCACCACGGTGGCCCCGGACTGCAGGAGCGTCTGCAGCTCGGCGGCCGATATCCGCTCTCCATCCTCACCCTGGGCGTATCCGTTGTCGGTCTCCACAGCGCACAGCTGCGCGTACTCCTCCGCCTCCTCATCCAGCGGCTTGCCGACCAGTGCGCAGCTGGGGCACCCCTCACGCGGAGGACGCACCTTCACTGTGCGCACCATCGGACTTCCGCCGAGCTGAAGGCATTTGAGCCCGGGCTCGTAGCTCTCCAGCAGAACAGCAAGAGCGTCCGCTGCCATAGCAGAGCCTACTATGCCGACTGTCGGGCCCCAGACTCCCGCGTCGGCGCAGGACTGCGAAGCTCCCGCGCGCGGCCACACGCATCGGTAGCACGCACGCTCCCCCGGAGGGCCGTACACACTCCACTGGCCCAAGGTAGAGATGCCCGCTCCGCTGACAAGCGGGATGGCGAGGGAGCACGCAGTGTCGGAGACGAGGTAGCGCGTAGCTGGGCGGTCGGTGCAGTCGAGGATCAGGTCGTGTCCCTTCAGCAGCGAGACGGCTGTAGAAGGCAGGAGCGGTTCGGGTATCGGATCGTAGTTAACGTGTGGGTTCAATCTGTCATCAGCTAATTGAGGAGATATCAGAAAGCTGCTCACGCTCGCAGGGCTTCAACAGCGCTCTCGGCCTTGTTCATACCAGCCCGCCCGCCGTGAAGAACCTGCCGGTGGAGGTTTGAAACAGAGACTGTATCGTGGTCGATAATCGTGAGGTGTCCTGCGGTCAGTTCTTCACTCACGATTGAAGCTCACCAATACCAGCACCCGCGAGATACTGCAGAGCCGGACATCCAAGGCCACCGGCACCAACGACAGCGACCCGCGCGCGCTTCAGCTTCAGCTGTCCTGTCCGTCAACTTGGCCGGCAACGGCAAGCTCACCCTCGAGCCCCCAGCCGGGCTGGATCATCTGCCGCCCATATCGAGCGTACTCATCTAGCGACAAGCCATTAATATCGGTGTCGGCCATGTCGGGGCTCGGCGGTGTTGACAGCGTCAACTGTCAGACTTTTCTGGCGGCGAGAGTTGGATGGTCTTGTAAGGCGGCGAAGAAGTGGAGGTGGAGGCTCACGAAGGTGGAGGGATCAATGCACGTGACCGCTTGGCAACCCGGCGGAACGACCTCGGATAATCGACGACAACCATCCCCTTGTCCGCCCTCATGTGCTGCGCGTTTCCTATCGACCTCCGTCCTGCTCTGACAGCCCAACTCCTGAAGTCGCTTCAACAGAGTTCAACGCACCCCCTTCTCAATCTACAGAGTTCGAACGGCGCTCCATTTTAGAGCCCATCGGGGGTTTCGTCGACCTGTCTTAGCGTTTAAACCTCGAGCCTTTAAGCATCTTTCGTCACATCGCAACATCAGCAACGATGGGACACGGCCGTCGTTACTTTCAGCGGTTTGGCCCTTGCCTGAACAGAAAGAGTATTGGCCTCGCCCGCATGAGAAGGTTGAAACAATGTCTGGAAGATCACTTCTACTCGAAACATCGGTCGCTACTCCGAGACTTTGAGTGTCTGCCATGGAGCCCAGAATGCCTTGTGCTTGCTGGGCGCCAGTCTGGAGCTTATGCCGTTCATAACGACGGTCACTGACCACCGCGCACAATACTGAGGGGAGCGTATGGCGGCCATAACTACGCTTTCTGACGTTACAGACCACGATGACGTGCAGAGCTATTACTGCCGTTCTTTTGCAGCGCGCGGTTGCACATGATACGGTTGTCGACACTCCCTGCCCATCTATCCTACTTCCATCTCGTGAGGACACCCTCCTACTCAGCACGACAACGCTTCGTGCGCCGCCGGTTCCTCATGAGTCGCGGTTTCTCGTTAAACCCTTAATGAATGCTACGAACCTGGCTCGGGAAGACCCAAAGCATATCCAAACCCAGCTCGCCAAATGAATGCGCCATCCTGCAGGGAAGGCGAGGAAAGACACAAGACCCGGAACTAGACGACATGATCAGTGCGTAGGATGGAAACCGCTCATGGCGAGCGCAGGGTGTGCAGCGCGGATCCGGACTCTGGGAAAGCTGTGCACTTCTTCTGCTTTGCATGTGCGTGCACGTCGGACGTGTTTGCTGTGCCTCGCGAACGCCGACGAAGCAACGGAGGCACAGGGTAGCCTCGGCGAGCTTGCAGAGAACCAGACAGCATCCACGCGTCCCCCGCACCTCCAAGCATGCGTTTCCAGTGCCTTGTATTCACCGAACTCTGGACTCATGTGTACCACCGGGCACCGGGTTCGGTGCGGTCCAGGACCGATTCATCTGCATTCACTCAAAACCTCGTCTTACCGTGTTGACAGCGACTGTAAAGTGAACGTGAGAGTCCCAAAGCAACGGAAATCGACAAGACGCGTCGGACGTGACTGGGCAGGCACGCCGTGCACCAAACATGCAGAATTAAGGTTGCTGCCCGGGTTCCTTCTGAAACCCGTCTCAGGCTTTTCAATGAAGTCCCTTCCGACCCCACTCACTCATCTGGCTCGTCCAGCTGGCGTGGGTACGGGCTTCTCTCGTCATCTCATTGAGGTTGCGTGATCTTGCGACCCAGCAATTCAGACGGTCAGGCGCCGACGATCGTGTCCCATTGCATCGCCTGCTCGGTACTGCTGCGGCCCAGAGTACTGGCTCTCACTGACAGAGCGTAGCAGAGAACGGCTCGGCAAGACACGCAGTGTGTTGCTTGTGGGAACAGTGGGTCTCAGAACGTCCCAAGAGGTTGACGGGGATCGACCGAGACAGATAATTGACCCAGAAGTAGTGTAAGACCTTCGTACACCCTCTTTTGGGCGAAGCTGTCAAGCGTCGCTGCCCTCGGTGCCGGCCCTCCTCGCGTCCGAGGTCGCAACGGTTTGAGTGAAGGTACTTTCTCATCAGCGCAGGCTCTGCGATGGTGAGTCGTCAAGCAGCAATGTTCTGCCTGGCAACGGTGTCCGAACACACTGCACAGAGGTGCTTACTCCTGCACACTCCTGGGTGTCTCCTGGCCCTTACTCCTGGAATGTCCTACACGTCCCTGGAGTTTCAGTGCACGCACGTCGTGTTTCATGCCTGAACCGGTGGCAAAGCGGCGATGACGCAGTGCACGCCCGCCTGCAGTCTGATTCGATCGGCGCCGGTGTGATGAACTTTCCACAACTATTAAGCTCGGCCAGCGGTGCGTAAGCCCGCTGCAAGGCTCCGCAAGCTCTGAGAAAGCTTTCCACGCAGCGGCCATCGTGACTTCCCCGGTGGACCCAGAAGTGCGACTTCCGGAAGCAGCCGAGGTGAATGCAAGGCACGCTCGAAACACCAAGCTCCAACTCAGCCAACAGCACCCAACTCAGCCAACTGGCCCGCCAGCCCGCAACACGTCGCTTGTTCTTTTCAGCGGGAACAGAGCAACTCGGCATAGAGTTAAGGTACTCACAATTGAGCGGTCCCCAAACCTCATTCCCCTCGTCAGACCTGCTCGACACCGCTCACAGAAGGAGCGATGCACCAAGGGCGATGTGCGCATCGCATGCGGCATAGGTGCCCCGCGCGCAGCGGTCACACAGCGCGAAAGGGGTGCGACTCACCTGGTCACTCACTCGTGCGATCGGTTCTGCTAACACCTGTCCCCAAGAACGTTGAGTGGGACCAGCCCACCGAATTCCAGCACTTGCACCAGGCGTCCTACCGGCTGTCGAGGAGCTCACGGCCCAAACAGGCTCAAGCTCAAACTCGCCCTTTCCAGCTGTCTGCCTTCCCTTGCCCCTCTCCGCGGCCGCCGCCGTCATGCACCTCCTGCACCCACGCTCCCTTCGCATCTCGCGCCGCCTCTACTTCGCACACCACACGCTGCATGCTCTGCATACCTGCACCTCGCACCTTATGCACTGTCGCCCCTGCCGTCCCTGTCGTCGGTTCCCGGCAGCGTCTGGCGGACTTTTGTCCTCGCTCCCTCGCACACCGTTCGTTCTGACCCTCTGACTACAAAAGCAGGAGGATCTTCTCTGCTCTTGAGGCTTTCTCCCACCCAACAACCCACGCTCGTTTCTCGACACTCGTTACCATGAAGCTGCACGCCATCGCTGGCATTGCTGCCGCGACCGGCGCGTGCGCCGCAGCTATCCAGCCCGACGGTGCCAACGCCGGCGCCCTTCACGCTCGCCACGGTGGTGGTCGTTGGCCATTCGGCGGCTGGCGCCAGCACCAGACGTTCGACCCATGCACCCCGTCCTCCGACTTGCAAGACTTCCACGGCGAGATCGAGGAGAACGGTCAGCGTCGGCAGTTCGACAACTGGGCCGACTTCCACCGCGAGCTGCAGAATCAGCAGAGCAATGGCGGCTGGCGCAAGTGGGCGCCGTGGCTGTTCCCTGCGACGTCTTGCACCACCGGCGCTGGCAGCCTGCCCACGCTCGTTGACGGTAAGCAGAACGCTGCCCCTACACTGTCGCCCAACCCCACTTTGACTCTCGGAATCACGTCCAGCGCCGACTCGGAGGGCACGGACACGGCCGTTCCTGAGACCACGGACGGAGTCGTCACCTCCACCCCAGACCCTAATCTCACTTCAACCTCAAGCTCTACTGCGAGTTCCTCGGCGAACGGGGTGGACAGCTCGCTTGTCGGCCCGTCGTCCGCACCCCTTTCCAGCTCGGCCAACCTCGTCACGAGCAGCAGCGCGGACCCCCTTGCAACCACCGCTATCGACCCTACCTCTTCTTCTGCCGATTCCCTCTCTTCGAGTGCCAACTTTGACGCGCTCACTTCATCCTCGAGTGCCGCTCCCAACGCCTCCACGTCCTCAAGTGTTGACCCGAACGCCGCTTCCACACTGGCTCCAACGTCGACGCTGCCGAATGCGACCGCTGTGCCGACGACGAACGCGACCGTTGCACCGACCGCGACCTCGGCCAACGTAACCGCTGTTCCTACCACCGGCACCGCTGTGCCTTCAAACGCCACGATCCCTCCGACGAACACGACCCAGGCACCTCCGCAGCCGACGATCCACAACAACAGCGGTTCGATCGACGACCCTTCCGTGGTGCAGGGTCTGGACAAGATCCGCGGTGTGAACCTCGGCGGCTGGCTCGTGTACGAGGGCTGGATCACGGCCGACGGCGGCGGCTTCGGCTCGGGCAAGAACTGGGTCGACGAGTGGACGATGGCGCAGACCTACGACCAGAACAAGGAGTACATCGACAACCACTGGAAGAGTTTTGTGACCGAGGCGGACTTTGCCGAGATCGCCGCCGCAGGCCTGAACACGGTGCGCATCCCTGTGGGCTACTGGACCTTCATCCCCACGGCTGGCGACGAGCCGTACCGCGGCCAGGTGGTGACCTGGGAGGTTTTGAAGCAGGCTTTCGGGTGGGCCCAGAAGCACGGCCTCCGCGTCATGCTGGACATGCACGCCGTGCCTGGCCCGCAGTCTCTCGACGCACACTCGGGACACAAGACGGACCGCGCGGGCTTCTTTTTCAGCGAGGAGAACAAGAAGCGCACGATCGACGCCCTCGTCGTCGCAGCCACCGAGTTCACGCAGCCCAAGTATGGCGGCGTGCTCAAGTCGCTCATGCTCGTGAACGAGCCGCGTCTGCCGAACGAGCGCCGCGACGAGGCGCGCCAGTTCCTGAAGCAGTTCTACGTCGACGCGCACAATGCGATTCGCGCCATCCCCGCCCCCGGCATCCAGAACATGACTATCCTCATCCACGACTCCTTTGATGGTGCAGAGCGCTACGGCGACTTCCGCAACGTCACGGGCGACCCCAACGTGGCCATGGATCGCCACCTGTTCTCCATCTTCGAGCCGAGCAAGGCCAACTGGACCGGCGCGGCCGTCCTCAAGGCGCAGTGCGAGCAGGCCAACTCCCTCGTCGACTTTGCGCGCAAGTACTTCACGGTCATGGTTGCTGAGTTTGGCGCGCCGGCGCGCGGAGGCAGCTGCTCGTGGTTCGAGGGCGTTGCGGGGATCCAGAACCCCGGCCAGTGCCCCGGATGGGGCGACGAGCCCGACCGCGTCACGTAGGTCAAGGAGAGCCTGTTGGCGCAGCTCCAGGCGTACGAGACTGTCGCAGGCTGGGTGTTCTGGACCTGGAAGACGGCCAATGGAGATATCGGGTGGGACATGAAGCGCATTATCGACAAGATCCTCCACGGACTCTTGGGCGTGCAGCGCTTCGACCAGATCACGCTGGACAGGTGCCAGTACTACAACGCTTCCATGCCCAAGACTACTTAGAGCTGAACACGGACTCTCGACGGACTATATCATAGACGAACATCCTGCACCACACTTTATGCCATGCCTAATGTACATTATACCCATACCCGGATCAATTACTGTGAAGCGATACCGTCTTCCCGAAGCAGGCGGCAATGGGACTTGATTACACTGGAGCTTCGCTTCGTAGCGAAGGGGCTGATGGAGATGAAGATGGCGACTGGGGCACCGGAGCGCTGTACGGCCCGTCTCACGGTCGACACGGCCGGATACCCTCATGTTCTTCTAAAAGCGTAGCACATTGGAACAAAGAGGCAGCCAGGGTCAGGATCGTCGATGAGCCTTTGTAGCTGTGCGTCGGGTGGCCACGGTTGGGGAGAGAGCTGGTCCGGCTGCGACACCCTAGGCAGCGATCGTCAGCGGCTCAAAGGGGCGTGTGGCAGGATCAAACCGATGCACGATGATGATGCCCCACTGTAACCATCGAGAATCAATGCTCATGAGTCTGCGAGAATGTACGCGCTTGCTCTAAAAGCACCCAAGGAGAAGTGACTCCCCCCGACGTGTCACCATCACTTCTTCGTCACTCCCCACTGTCCCGTCCATCGAGCAACACCACTGCCAACACGGATCCGACCATGAGTGACCTCCAACGCGGGCCCTCGCTCAGCAATCGCTTCAAAAACACCTTCAGGCTGTCCGGTTCCGGGGATGAGGTTCTATCCGCACGGGTCTACAGACTGAAGGAAAGCCCACGGCCTCTTGGTCCATGGGATGTTTGCTCGGAAGTTCCAGGTGCGCATGCAGTACATCGGGCGACCCTACTGAACGTCGACAGGTTCAACGGCGGGGCGAATCTTCGACTGGGCAAAGGCAAACAACGAGATGGTCTACCACTTACTTCACGACTGCCCTTGCAAGTCAGTGGCTCCAGTGGATTATCAAAGCGCAATGAAGATGATGCAGGCTGCTGAGCTGGGCTTCGTACACCAACTGACCTGCACCTCCCGCCTCAAGGCCCCAGTGACTCTCAGCGACAAGTTTCTGTTGCCCTTAGCCAAGGACGAGAAGGAACCCCCTGAGCCCGAAGAACGCTGCCTGTTACGTGGATACCAAGCTTGGACGTTCGATATCCCTCGCATTGGGGACCACGGTGAGGCGGCCGAACGTGTGGCTTGGAACTGGTTCAGGAGCCGGATTGAGGAGGCCATCCTGCTGTCACACACTGGTCATGCCTACGCTGAGTTCATCGAGTACAAATGGCGCCCTGATAACTACCAACGTTGCCCGCCCTTAGTCGTGACCTCAGATATGGGTAAGTCTAAATGCCACCGACTGTGCACATGCTGACTGTCCCTCAGTCGGACCACCTCGACAATTCGGACCCGCGGGGTATCAAGGGCAGACTCTGATCCTGTACACCGCCGGGAAATACAAGGGAGAGGATCCTATCAAACACACAACCCTTTGCGACACGTGGTCGGACTTCATCTTCCGCTTTGAAGATCCAGGAACGCTGAAGGTCAAGGACAGACCTCGCTTCCTTCCCCTCACGCACATGGTGGCCGCCATGGTGCTTGATCACCGCTTCACAGACGATATTGCCTTTGGTCTCTTTGCCACCTTCCCCTCATGCGTTGTCAAGCTGGCTGTGCACCCCCTCAAATGCTCCATCGGTCTCAATGACTGCCAAGCTCGCGAAAGTCTGGCACCATTCGGACCCAAGACCCTTGAGAACATTAACGGTGCCACGGTTGTCCTCCTAGCTTGCGTAGTCGTCAATCACCCACTGGCATGCGCAAAGCTGCTTTCTTTGCCCCGAACCGGGGCTCTTATACTCCGAGACCTCAGTTCCAACAATGTGTGGGGATACATCACCCCGGAGAATCACCTTTCGGAGTGGTCGACACGCATCCTCGACATCCTTTGGGAGGGTGACATCAGCACGTCTATGAAGACGTGGGCTCGTTCATGCTCCCAGCTGGTTGCCTCCTACGTTGGCCGTGATACAGGCTCGCTGTACTGGTGGAACAACAAAGTACTGTCTCACCCCGAAACCCTCGAACCATTCCCCACTGCAGCAGTGCTGTGTGACGCTCTGGCGCATGGACAACTGCTTCTCCCTAAGAGAAGCGGGGGAGCCATGGAGTACCTCCAGAATCTGGCATTAGCTGCGGCGTGCACCTTTGGAGCTGTTTTATCTATCGTCGAAGCAGAGATACAGAAACGCGAGCGCCGAACGCAGAACATCCAATCTCTCAGCGCGGTGGCTATCGAGTGGGGCGCGAACTTCTTACGCTTCGTCGCCATCGGGGGACTGAGCAGCCTCCAAGTCGACCTCGACGCCACCAAAGGCTTCTTTGACAAGTGGTTGGACGATAAGCAGGATGCCTATGCCAGCAAAATGAAGGAAGGGCTAATGGATCTGTGGAGCCAACTTCAGTTGCTTCTCGAAACCGCCTTCGCGGATGCGGGGCAGTGGGATGGATCAGAGCTGGATCGCAAACGCTGTACTGCTGTCGCTCTAAGCTTTCAGACGTGCTTCAACAAGAACCTCCTGCTCTGCCTCAAGAGCGCAGATCCTAGTGACTTCCAGATCCAGATCGATGCTTTCAACTCGAATAGCGGCCTCCTCGACTTGTTGCGCGACGATCCCCACTACCGCGACTGGCTTGAACCGCTCCTGATCCGCATTCACACCACCGTGTTCGTGAGCAAGACTGCGCCAATGCGTCGCCCGGACGGTAAGTACCCAGTCCAGTGACGACCCACTCTGGCTGGTCAGCATCAGAGCAGTGTTTCGACAACCCACTCGCGAGTCATGGTATGGTGACTCACTGAGAACCCAGCGCTACTCTGGAGAAGCGGCCAAACTCAACCCATGTACCAACTTCCTGGGGTTGGCGAACCCGCCGCGCTCGCAAACTTCTTCAAGCAAGCTCTGTGTGTTTTCAACTAGGTTCCTGTGCTGTAGACACGGATAATGTGTGACAAGCTACTCATAGCGCATGAGACGTTGTGCCTGTTCATTCTGAGATGCAAGTCTTTTTACGGGCTAAGGACCCGTGAGCAGTGGCAGAAGACATTCTGTAGCCTTGAGCGCCAATTTGCAGCAACACCATGAGGGCGACCAGATGCTGAGGGTAGCCCAAGGAAGACCGTCTACAACTGTCCTTCCGGCGATGGCGAAGCGTTTGCTGCGCTTGGAGCGGGTGACTGTCATCTGGCGAACACCAAACAAGAAGTGTTACCAAGCCGCTCAGCATCTGAAGTCCCCGAGGAACGATACGAACTCACTTCTGCACAGTCAACAACACAGATGAATGCTAAGATGTCACGAGTGTCAGCTTTGGGGCGGAAAGAGATCCCGTTCAGTCGAGGATACCATCGATCCGACAAGCTAGAACCATCGGCACACTCCCTCCACGGAGCACTCTCCACCGGCACACTCAATGTGAGATATGCGATGTGAGATGTGGAATGGCAGTTTGATGCGCACTCCGACTGCCACGACCTCGCTCTCTCACTCGCGTCATCACAAACGTGTCCAGATGAACTCAAGGTCGATGCTTTCAGTGGGTGCCACTAGCTTTGGGACGTACGTTGTTGCAACAGTGCATGCTATGCGCTTGGCAGGCGATATCACAGCCGCGTGACGGCGATAACCTCATTGACTGAATTTCACTGTAGTTTCCCTTGAATTTTCCCTGAATATTGTCATTTTCCCCTCTCTTCGACAGTACGATCCGGGAAAGAGCTCCTACAGCTTTTCCAACGCGTTCAGGCACTGCCTTATAGTCGCGAGAGGATAAGGCAGTGCCTTAAATCATGCCTTATAGCTTGCTCGTCTGTCCAGGGTCATTTGCAACTTTTTTGGCCGAATCGCACTCCTTCCGGCCCGAACTCGCTGGATAATGCACGTGAAGGGCCAGCTATCGTCCGAGCAGACGCCGCGGCGGGTCAGAAACATGCTCCTAGCCCCCCGGGCCGCCGTTGGAGCGTGCTGAAGCAATAGCATCCAAGCAGAGCATGGGGCCGATGGAGCGGGATACAGAAATCGGCGCGACGCGATATGCTGAGCTCTTTGAAACGTGCGTATAACATGATCCGGTGAAGTAAACACCGAGATGCCAGGCCCCTGCAGCGTGTCTGCCGTTTATCTCGCCAAGATTAACCCAGCCAGGTGACAGCCCCTCCTCCTCCCCCTGCCGGTACTTCCGGCGGCATCGGGGCCTCCATGTCGGTGAACCACTGAGAGGCGCCGCAGGCCATGGAATCGAGAACGTGCGTGCTGCAGTCTTGCGTCTTGACATTTGGACTAGTCTATTTCGGCGGTCTTGCCCAGGAAACTCGTCTGCTCCACACGACCCGCACACGACCACTCGAGGTGCATGTGCATGCATGCGATGCGACTAGCGCGGCATTTCTGTTGGCAATTGTGCGGGCTGGAGCAGACGGCTATGCTGCCAGAGGACAGCTCCGGATGAGTATATAACCCAGCTTACTGATGGGAGCGATAGGAGAATCCCCAGAAGTACCCCCAAGCATGAGCGACACCCACGGCAGCACCACGCTCGCGCACGAGAAGGAGAAGGAGAAGAAGCTCTCCCTCGCTGGGCCCGAGGACCCGCAGCCCGTGTTCCACTCGCGCCTCGCTGAGCTCGAGGAACCCTCCCGGCACGTCTACAACCACACGACCAAGATGTGAGTTCGACCTCTTCCAGCGTGTACTGACGTCAGCTCGGCGATCGTCACGGTCATCTTCTCGGGCATCGCGCTCGTGTCTGACGGCTACAACGCGCAGGTGATCGGCTACCTGAACCTGCTCTTCAAGGAATGTAAGTTCATGTTAGCCGGGTTATCACGGCTGACAGTCCAGTGTATCCGGAAACCTTTAATGCGACGATGAAGACGCGCATCTCAAACTCGTTCTTCATCGGGCAAATTGTCGGCATGCTCGTGTTCGGCGCGCTCATCGACCGGATCGGACGCAAGTTTGGCGTCGTGCTCACGACCTGCGCCCTGATTGGGGGTATCGTCATCTCGTGCGCGGCACACGGCACGTCCGAGCTGGGCATGTTCTGGATGATGCTCGTCGGCCGTGGTCTCGCCGGTGTGGGTGCCGGAGGCGAGTACCCCGTGTGCGGCACGTCCTCTATCGAGGCGGCCGACGAGACCTCGACGGTGCGCAAGCACCGCGGCTTCCTTGTCGCGAGCGTTGGCGACTTTGCCATCGACTTTGGCTTCGTCCTCGCGGGCATTGTCGTCATCATCGTCCTCCAGTGTTACGGCTACGGCCTGCATAGCACGGGCACGCACGGGTTCGAGGGCACGTGGCGTATCTGTCTCGGCCTCGGGCTCATCCCCCCTCTTGCAGTGTTCTGGGCCCGGCTCAAGATGGTCAACTCGACCGCGTACCGCAACGCAGCGATGAAGGGCATGCTCGGCGTGCGCGTGTACTGGCTCGCGTTCAAGCGCTACTACCCGCGCATCATCGGCACCTGCCTCACGTGGTTCCTGTATGACGCCGTGTCCTATCCTTTCTCCCTGTTCAGCTCGCAGATCATGAGCCAGGTGAACCCCCAGAACAGCATCGTGCAGAACATCGGGTGGAGCACGCTCATCAACGCCTTCCTCCTCCCCGGCTGCCTCATTGGCGGATACCTCATGGACAAGATTGGGCGGAAGCAGACCATGGCCCTCGGATTCGCGATGCAGGGTATCCTCGGCTTTGGGCTTGGCGGGGGCATGGCGACGGTGCAAAAGTCCACAGCGGGGCTGATCATCTACTACGGCATCTTTCTCGCCTGTGCCGAGGCGGGTCCCGGAGTAGCCACAATCCTGATCGGCGGAGAGGTCTTCCCGACCCCGCTGCGCGGACACATGCTCGGTTTCTCTGCCGCGTGGGGCAAGGCCGGCGCCGCGATCGGCACGCAGGTGTTTACCCCGATCCAGAACGCCTTCCATGACGAGTTCAAGGGGCAGCAGGTCGTCTTCCTCATCGGCTCGGCGGTTTCCATCGTCGGCGCCCTTGCGACCTGGTTCCTCATCCCCGACATGGACCTCGAGCTCGGCTCAGAGGACGAGAAGTGGAAGGCATACCTGAAGGAACACGGCATCGACACTTCGGGTATCGGAGAGCCCCTCGAGGCTAGCGCGAGCAAGGCCGTCCGCAACGAGATTGTCGAGAGCGGAGCGTACTAGGGCGCACCATGGGCTCCGTTCCAACACATCCCACTTACCACCACCTACCTCTGACCTCTGTCCCCAAAAGCGACACTCAGTCGCATGTTTCTCTCCGGTACCGGTGTACCGCTTTACTCTTAGATCTCCCCTTTGTTGTAACCTGAAAACCCATGCATGACTGCTATCCAAACATCAGCGAGCTTCATCCTGTCGCGGGCGCCACTGCTGACTGACGTTGTTGGCTACAGCTGCGACAGGCACCACCAACCACAGCAATCCACAGAATTCTGCGAAACACTTGGTACGAGTCGGCGGGAGCTCTCGCCTTGCCCTCCCCTCCGCCAAACTCGAGGTTGATGACAGCCATCACTAATGCATAATTTACAGATATATCCTAAAGAGTCATTTCAGTCTAAGATCGAGCCAAGGCACCTTCAGAGCCGGGAGCGCACACTCTACTCGTACTTCCTGATCCAGTCCTTGTGGAACTTCTCAATCTTGTCGACATACTCCTCGACGCCGGGGCAGAGCGCGGTGACGCGCATGTGGAATGTGCCGGGCTCCTGTCCGAAGCCGCTTCCAGCCACGGCACAGATGCCGGTGGCATCGAGCAGGTCGAGGGTGTACATGACGTCGGGGGCCTTGCCGCGCTTCTCGGCCTCCTTGATGGCCTTCTCCGGAATCTCGATGCGGGGGAACAGGTACATCGCGCCGTCGGCCGGCTGGCAGGACATGTTCGGCAGCTGGGAGAAGCGCTCCTGCATGTACTTGGACCTTGAGGCCAGGTTCTCGTGCGTGAGCGACGTCTCCTCCTTCCACTGCTCGTAGGACTCGTCGCCCTCCACTGGCGGGTTGACGAGGAGGTCCACGCCGACCTGGCCCGTGACGGGCGGGCAGAGCGTGACCGAGGCCATCTTGTAGATCTGGTCCACGACGTCGGGCTCAATGTTGCACAGCTCAAAGTATCCGCCGCGGCGGCCGCACTCGCCCGACACGCCCTTCGAGATCGAGTGGAAGGACACGAGCTCGACACTGTCCGCAATGTCCTTGTCCATGCTCTTCACGACTTCCTTGAAGGAGATGAAGGGCTTGGTGTCGTTGTTGAAGATGTTGCGCTGGTACACCTCGTCAGCGAGGAGGAGGATCGACTCCTCGTAACACAAGCGCACGACGTCCTCCATCGCCTCGCGCGTCAGGCACGCTCCGGTCGGGTTGCCGGGGTTGATGACGACGAGCGCCTTGATGGGCGTGCCGTCCTGCTTCGCCTTGGCGACACCCTCGCGGAGAGCGGCAGTGTTCGTCGACCACTCGGCGTCCTCATTCAGGTAGTAGGGAATCGGCTTGCCGTGGATGTAGGAGAGGGTAGCGGTGTACAGAGGGTACTGAGGAATCGGGATCATGGCGCCGTCTCCGGGCTTGAGGGCGAGGCCGAGGATCTGAGACACACCGGCAGAGGCACCGGCAGTCAGGAAGATCATTTCGGGGTCCGAGGGGTAGCCGTCGCGCTCTGCGTTGTTAGCTCGGGCCATCCTGTTTCCTAGCTATCTCGACAACATCCTCCGACTCGGGGGCGGTCCGAGCAACTCGCGAGAGCACCCGGTGTCCCTATCGCTTTCGACCTACGCCCCGTGCGTTACTCACTCTCGATGAACTTGGCAACACGCTGGCGGATCTGGAGAACGCCCTTGGAGTGGGTGTACGCGCCGACCGATCCGATCTCCTTGTGCAGGCTCTGGGCGCGGCGGATGACATCAGCGGGGTAGATGGTCTTGATGCCGTCGAGGTGCTCCTCCATCAGCATCGGGTTCTCGAGCAGCGAGATGACCTGGCGCCAGTACGTGATCGGGCGCTGGTTGAGGCCCTTCTGCTGGGGGTTGCCAATGTTGGCGGTGACGACCTTGTCAAAGGGGAGCGACTTGTCGCCGTCCTCGAGCTGGTGCATGTACTTGTCGGCCTTGAGGGCGAGCTCGCCGCGGACGGCGTACTGCACGTCGAGGACGGCGGGGTTGATGCTCTCGAGCGTGAGGGCCTTCTTGTGCGTCATCCTGATGCTGATGCGGTTAGCATGGAGGGCGGGGGTGGTCGTCTTAAGAGCCGAGCGGGAGAGGGAGAGGAGGCTCGCGTGACGGGAGCGCATAGCCGAGAACATGGCGGGCAAGGTCCGGCAGGTCCGGGCCGGTAGCAGCAGAGGGTGTAGGAGGAATAGAGGAGAAACGTCGTCGACGTTGTTGTCGGAAAATAGTCCGTTGCCCGGTGCAAGCAGGGGCTAAGGGGGGATGGGTGGGCCAAAAGCAAGTGTGGAGAGGGTTTGGAAGAGACCAGTGATATGACAGAGTGCTAGCCGCCACCCCCGCAAAGTTGGGTGGAGACGAGGCCGTACGGTGGACCCCGGTCCTGATTCGATTCGACTCGGAGCCAATGACTCCCAAGCGTGCCAGGTCCGCTCGCACCCACCCCCGCAGCCAGTGGTGCGGGGGCAGAGAAGCATGAATAGAGACTCCGGCAACGCATGCCGTGTCGTGGTGATGGAAGGTAGCAGGAGGTCTGTACTCACGTAGTAGATGTGGTTCTTTTGTGGATGGGTGCGTGCTCGATGCTGATGATATGCGGTCGGGGGAGTGTGGGTGGATGATCGGTTTATGTAGGTGTGATAACGGCTACGCACGGAACTACACCCTCGGCCGGACAATGTCGTGGGGGCCATTGGCTGGGCCTCCACTTGGACAGGCACCGCACACACCGCGCACACCGGCCTCCACCGCGAGACGATCATTGCATCACCCTCCCCCTGCGCTCACACGCGCTCACGCCCACCTACAGCATACACACAACCTCCACACACCTCCACAATCCACGGCTCACCCGTCTGGCGCTACAACGGCTATCGCTCCCCAGTACTTTCACCGATTCGATATCCCTTGCCTTGTCCTCTGTCGACTCCTGCTCTCGGACCTTCTTGCGGCTCCCCGCCATTCATCCCTCCTGCCGCCGGCTACACGCCCACCTGTGACCCCCTTCCCCTATCACCAGGTCTCTCCCTTCTTCTCCCTCTCGTGCCTGGAATCCCCATCCACACGACCATCTCCGACTCAACCGCCCCTTTCCTCATGTCCGATCGCTACCGACTCTTGTCCCGATCTGCATGACAACCCTCTCCCTTCCAGATATCAACAGCTCCAAAGGATCCAAACTGATGTCATGACACGTAATGAAACCACTACTACTATTAGGTACTGGAGCAAGGAATACAACTGACTGAACCTGGGCTGCTGGAGGCTGGTATGGCGCTCGAGGGCGGTGTGGGGCCCTGCGGCCGCGCAGCCGGCCACGACTCAGCCTTAGATACGCGGCGCTTTGCCGAAGAGAACGAGAGAGATGAGAACGAAACCACCGGATAAACTAGTTCCACTGGCCGGCATCCTGATGTCAGCTCCGATCTCACATTCCAAGCAGCTCACCATCATGCGCTCGTTCGGGTTGCCCTTGACGTTGGCAGTCGACGAGGTCCGTCGCTCCATCGCCAGCTTCTGCGAGAGCTGACCTGCCTTTGCGTTTGTCGGCGACACACCGCGGTTGCCGGCCTGTGCGTTAGCTCTAGATCATTCCTTCATGCAGCCGCATGTGCCTTCCCTCCTCGTCCTGATCCTTCCAATCCGCCTCGTCCGCACTGTACGCCGCTTGGGACCCTCGGGACAAGGACACGATACAGGGGTAGCAAACGGTCAGACCAGGTGCAGCTCCGTGCGCTCCCCGCACCTGCGCGCGGATCGTCGGGCAGAGCGGGGTACTACGGCAGCCTCGCTGTCCGTAGACGAGATCTGGGCGCGGTCCTGCTAGCCATCAACCCGTAGCATCCGTATCCCCTCGCGCTCCTCCCCCCACCTGTGCAGACCAGGGCCGTCATCACTCACAGCCTGAGCCCTCGCCTCTGCCGCTCGCAGCGCCGCGGCGCGCGGGTCGTCCGGGTTTCCGCTACCGCCTATTGTGTTCCCAGAGGGCGAGACAGGCGTGCCCCCCACGCTGGGGGCGCTGGCACCGGCGCTGGCTCCAGCGCTGGGCGGGCCGGAGCCGAGCACCTGGCCTTGTTTCTTGGACGAGAAGCAGTTGCCCATTTGTTTCTAGTTATACGGCTTTGTTGCGTTGTAGCCTCGTCGTTGTCGCGGATACGTCGACGGCCTGGCAGGGCGAGCGAGGGAAGACACTGATAAGGTTCGGTCGGTGGGAATGGGAAGGGTGAAGGAGCGTCGAATTCGGAATGTGCGTCGGTCTCGGATAGACGGAGGCGAGTCTGATAGGAGTGTATGAATAGTGATGGACGATGAGGGAGTGACTGATGGTGACGAGGTGACGAGTAACGATGGCGCCGTCGCGAACGTCCGATGACCCGGGAGCCGCGTCTTCCTCGGTTCCGCCGGTCTGGGCTGCCGCTTGGCGCTGACACTGGAGGGGCACACCCAGAGTGGAGGTCAGGTGGAGGTTTTGTGGAGTTCGCGGTCATGTCCGCCAAAATATCAGAACCGCCGCCGTCGCGCGCGCCTCCGCCGATCCACTGAGCAACGTCAGGATGGTGCTGTCGTACTCACCAGCACCAACATGTCCGAGTCCAAGAAGAGCGTCGAGGACACCCTATCCAGCGCCATTGCGCAGCTTGAGGAGGAGGCCGCCCTGAAGAAGGTGAGTTCAGTCCGGGGAAGACCAACGGTCCGCGAGGTCGGAGAGGGAAGGAGGTGGAGGAAGACTGTCGCTTTCGATGTGTGACGCTGGGTTAGCAACTGTGGGCGTGCCGATGGCAGCAGGGAGACTTTGGCTCTCAAGGTGGACGAAGATGAGTGAAGGTTGAGTGATGAAGTGGACGAAAGGAAAGGAAAGCGATTGCAAGGTTGACGTAACCTGCGATCGGAGGAAGGCAGAAGGTGGAGGAGGGAAGGTCACCTTTAAGCGCAGGCGGATCGCGCTGGCCACCGTCTGTCTCTGACTACGACACTCTTCTTGCTGCGATGATAAAGAAGCAATTCCCATTCGCAATGCTGACGTCCAGACGATCAAGGAGGCCACCGAGCCCGTCGAGGACATCGTCCGCCAGGCAACTGCCGAGCTGAACCGCCTCCACTCGGCCAACATCTCCCAGCGTGAGTTACCATTTCCTCCAACGTCGTCACCGCCACGCCGCCAACCAGGCGGACGACACAGCTAGTAAAGCTCCTGGAATCAAGCTAACATGCAGATGAGGCGATCGCGAACAAGGCGCTCGAGATCGTCGCGGGCGCCCACACGCACTGGGCTTCGATTGCGACTCTGATCCCCAAGGGCGAGTTCTTCCGGTATCAGTGGGCTCTGTCGCCCATGTTCAAGAGCCTCGTGAGCTCAATCGCGATGGCCCGCTTCATCCTGCACGACGAGCTCGTCCCCGCCTTCACGGCCGCGAGCCTCATGGGCCGTAAGCTTAATAAACGCCGGTGCAAACTAACGTCACAGTGCAGGGCGAGGACGTCGGCGAGCTCCAGCTCGTCTCGGACGACTATCTCCAAGGTGTGATCGGTATGGTGAACGAGCTGGTGAGTGCTTCGGGGAAGCTGGGTGTATGCCTCGAAAGTGGCTAACAACAGCCCCGTCTCGCGGTCAACTCGGTTACGGCGCAGAACTTTGGCCTGCCGCCGCGCATTGCGTCCTTCATCCAGGACGTTTTCAGCGCCTTCACTTCGCTGAATCTCCGAAACGATGCACTCAGGCGCAAGTTCGACTCGATCAAGTACGGTGTCGCGCGCTGCGAGGACGTTGTGTACGACCTGACGCTGAGGGGACTGACTTAGACAAACGATATGTACGATACTGGTTAGACTAGAGATGGCGGCGCTTCTTTATTGGCACACTCACCTCCTCTGCTGACGACTGCGATCTTTCCTGTCGCCGGCAACGTCGACTCCACGAGCCGAACTCGCCCATCCTGGCGTGGAGTGCCGGTCAATAGCTGTCTGCGGTACACGGTACCTTGCCCTGCGCCGGCCCTGGGAGTCAGCGCATGAGGCGAGTTCATGCGGGATGCGACATTTCGTCGAAGGGGGCGCAGGATGGTGTTGATCGTCGGACGGAAGCAAAGAACGCTCAGAAAGCTCGACGTGTCGCTGACCAAACACTTCACAGCTGGAGGTCTTAGGCGCTTTCAAATTGCGACCGTTAGCTCCACAGCGGATCATAATGTCCCTGTTCAACACGCGCGACAGACTGAGGGAGAAAAAGATCAAGTTCAAAGACAAAGCCGACAAGCTCAAGGTCCTGGCGAAGAATGCCATAGAACGAGCACATGATGAGACGCTCGCCGCCCAGGTCTACAAGCTGGCGGAAAACCCCGAACGTCACGCGCCATGGTTTGTCTGCCACAAGCTGCCAGGTGCGCTACCCCAGCGACACCGCACAACGTATGGCTCACCGTTTCCCAGACAGTGCCGCCGAGCTTTTCCTCTTCTGGCTCTACTGCCACGACCAATTGACCTTCCACTGGTTCGGGGACGATCTCACTGCCTGGCCTGCTCTTGTCAAGGACTACGAGGAAGTCGGATCATGGGAGCGCTCGAAGAGGGATGCCTGGTGGGCCCAGTATCTGATGGATCGATTGAGGCTGTTGACCGATACATCTCATCCAAAGATTCCCGCCTCGGTAATCTCCGCCTGGGGGCTAGACGCCATCCACGACGCCGAAGCAGCCGTGAAGGAAGAACTCGGCCCCACTTTACGAAGCCGTTCACCGGGCTCTGTGGCCTGCATCTTACGCTCTGGGTCAGAGTGGGAGTTCGATATAACGAAGGGATGGATTCCCAAGCACGTAAAGTTTGATTGGTTCCTCAGCCGAGTGCAGGAAGCTATCATCCGGTCTTACACCACCCACCAGTACGCCGAGTTTCCCGAGCACGAGTGGTTGGCTCCACAATCAAAGGACAAGAAGCACCTGCGAGGTAGGAGCCAAGCTCTGACGGACGCGTAAACGCTGACGAGGCACCAGTTGCACCCCCCAGGAAGTTTGGCCCTGCGGGAGCCCAGGGCCAGACACTCATCCTCAAGTACGCCGGAGAATACGTGGGAGGCTCGAATGCGGAAGATCTACGAAATCGGTGGGCGAAGTTCATCTTCCGCTACGAGGAGCCCAAAGGCAGCGTCAAACCCAGATTCCTTCCCCTGAGTTTCACTGCCGCGGCCATGGTCCTCGATCACAACTTCGACGACTCTGTGGCGCTGGAACTCAATGCGTCATTCCGCTGCTGCGAAGTCTATCTGGGTGTCGATTCTGTACCGCTGAGCAACACCCACCAAACCAACTGCGAATACTGCCCCACGAACTTCCCGCCATTTAAAAGCGAGACTGCTGTCAAGGTCAACGGGGCGACTGTCTTGTTCCTGGCCTGCATTGTCCTGCATAACCCTCGTGCCTGCAGCAAGCTGTTAGGAATGCACTGCACGGGCAGTCTGATCTTAGAAGACCTGCAGCATCTCGACTTGAGCCGCTTCACTTCCGTTGACCAACACCACTCCTATTGGCTTGGACATCTGATGGACTCAGCTTCCTACTTTAAGAATACCTCGACCATGAGACTGCTGAGCCGCGCGATGTCTCAGTTGATTCTTTGACCATCGGGAGATCAGAAGTGTTTATCCGGTGGCAAAGCAAGAGCACTGTGTTTCCCGTCCACGTCCTTTTGAACGAGGGACTGAAGCTCGCCACTCCCACAGTGGAAAACTCGCGGCCGACCCACATTATTCTGACAAGGATAGCGATTGTAATGGGATGCGTTCTCGGCGCCGCGGTATCTCTGCTCGACCAGATCATTCGCAAACAAACACAGCAGGCGCAAAAGCTGAAGAGCCTGAGTGCGGTTTCCCTCGAATGGGCCGAGATTCTTCTGAGCGCTGCGCCTATCTCTGGCGGGGGCAACCTGCAGCTCTCGTTTGGAGCTATGAGGCAGTGCGTTGAAGATTGGCTCGACGCCAAGCTCGACGATGCCACTCAAGGACTACGAACCGCGATCGTCCACATGAACGAGCTGCTCCTCCGACGGATCCACTACTCCATCGAGCTGCTGTACCCCAAAGCTCCAATCTTTCGGCGACGTGTTGTGGAAGCGTATTTGGCGTGCTTGCACCGCACCTTCCTGCTGACGCTCTCTGATGATCAATCATGCGATTTTGAGGTCAGAGAGTTTGCAGTCTCCATGCAGCACAGCGACCACTCGACGGCCGAGTGGACTGTCAACCGGCTGGTCTACTGGGGATTGGAGTCTCAGAGCGACCTGAACAAAGCGATTGGAGTCACGTTCTTCGCGGAGGACCACAACTATGCTGCCGCAGTCATGGCTTTCCTCGCTGCTGGTAAGGCACGGAACGAAAGCTAGGGGTCTACTGACGGCTTCAGGCTTGAATCTGCCGACTGAGGACTCAATGAACACCGGTAAGTTCAACGAAGCTGCCATATCCCAGGCACATGACGTTGCTTTGGCTAAAGACGTTAAACTGATAGACATAGACAATGTCGCAACTATAACTGTGCTCTGTCAGTGCAACTTTCAGAAAGGGTGTCGCTCACTGCAGATGATGATGAAGAGTCGTCTCCGCCTGCGATAGAGGCCTCGGAAGGAAACACGCCGTCTGTCGAGATCGAGACCGTCCGAAGCCTCTGGTTCTCCAGCTTCTGTGCTGGCACCGGCCTCACGTTGGCAGTCATCATCCTGTTGGTGACGACGAGGATTGGAGGCAGCCAGTCCGACCACCGCATGCCAACGCTAGATCCGTCATGATGGAAAGCCGAGTCATTCGTTTCTGACTTTGTGCCGGCCGCGCCTCAAACATGCGTGCGGTGTTCACTACAGCCCACCCCCCGTGACGGGCACGGCGCACGGGCACGGGAGGCACCGTTGTGCAATCACACTCGTAGAGGATGGCGTAGTTGTGAGATGCACAGTAACGTTTATGAGAGGTACACTGAGATGTTTTGCTGCGTTCCCACCTAAAATCATCGCGACCTCGCTTTCCTATCATGCATTCGACGGTATGAACGGCGCGGCGGACACTGTCTAAATGTCCTCAACCACTTCATTCCCCGCACAGGATCGACGGCGGGACCAACGATGAACACGTGACCTCTCAAAAGTCAACAAAGTTCGGCGTCCGCTGCGCATGAAACCGGTCCGCTCTGACCTCACCCCGTCGACACCCACACACACCGCAGGCAAGATGGAGTCCGACGACGACATGGGTCTCGGCGACCTCATGCCGGTGAGCTGACAGGTCGAAGAGTAGAGCTGACATTCAGCGCGAGCCGTCACCCCCTCCCCCGGAGGCCACCTTCTCGACCTACACGCTGCCAGAGGGCTATGGCCCGGATGAGCTCAAGATCAGGCTTGTCGGAAGTCACCCGCTGTGGGGACATCACCTGTATGTGTCCATCGCTTGGGCGTTGTCTCCCCACTTTCTCCCATCACATAGGAGCTCTACCAGCTCTACCAGGCCAATGACAGTAACCCGATTATGACGCCCTCTTACAGGCTCATGGACGGTGCGGCCATTCTTCCTGGGACGGCAGTAGCTGATGCGGAAGCCCAAGCTGACTTCAGGTGGAACACGGCCCTCGTCACTACCTCGTACATTCTCTCGCACCCGTCTCTTTCGCGACACAAGCGTGTGCTGGAGCTCGGCGCCGGTGGTGGTTTGCCCTCGCTCGGCTGCGCGCTTGCGGGTGCCAAGACCGTGCTGATCACGGACTACGCTGATGCCTCTCTCGTCGAGAACATCGAGTACAACGTCGAGTCAAACCTGGGCGGCAGCGAGGAGGGGCGTGCCGTCAAGGTGCTGGGACACGTGTGGGGACACGACGTCACGCCGCTTCTGGAGTGTCAGAGCGAGGCCGAGTCCGCCGTCGACGACCCATTACCCGGGAACGTTCCCAACTTTGACCTCGTCATCCTCTCGGACCTCATGTTCAACCACTCGCAGCACGCCGCGCTCATGAAGACGCTCGAGGGCACGCTGCGCGGCGGTCCCGTGCCCCAGTTCATCGAGGGCAAGACGCCCTGCGCGCTGGTGTTCTTCACGCACCACCGCCCGTGGTACGCGAAAGAGGACATGGCGTTCATCGAGGAGCTTGGCAAGAAGGGATGGCAGTGCGACCGTGTCGCGGAGCAGTACACCGGCGCCATGTTCGAGGACGATCCCGGAGACGAGCGCGTGCGCGGCACCGTGCACGGATTCAGATGCTGGCGGAGCAGTGCGCCGCGTGAGCCGCAGCAGGAGAGTGAGGAGGACAAGGCACCGGAGAGCTAGAAGCTACCGTGCCACGCTGAGGAGAAGGTGGAGAGCAGTCCCAAGCTTCCCCGCGACCACGTCGCGGCCGAGGTGCACAGGGCTAGGGGTATAGAGGAAGAGCGACCATGGACGAGGAAGAGCTAGAAGCTCACTCCCTCCGGAGGCGCGGCAGTGTGCCTCCTGCTGCTGTGCTGGGTATGCGGTGAGCATCCTGCTGCCTGACCTTTCACTGAAAAGTAACATAGACCTAATGTAACATTGCTACGGAACGAAAGTGAATGCGACGCCGCAAGTGTTTACGCCGTATCGAGCGCGCGCACAAGCAGGGGGAGCTGGTACGTCGTCTCCTCGTCTTCGCCCTTGACAGCAGGACGGAGGATGACCTTGAGCTGTCCCACGACCTCAGGTTTGCTCGGCAGTTCCTCAAAGCTGAAAGCCCTGATGAGCGTGAAGAGCACAACCTTGACCTCTGTGACAGCGAAGCGCCACCCGATGCACCCGTGCCGGCCAGTAATGAACGTCATGATGTTGCCATAGACGCCGGGAACGGTCTTGGCGGGAATGCCAGGACGGAGGAAGCGGTCAGGGTTGAACTCGAGCGAGTCCGGCCCCCATACCTCGGGATCCCAGTTCATGACCTGCATCGGGATGAAGGCCGAATCGCCGCGACGCATGAGCACCTCGGTGATCATGTTGCCGTCGCGGCCGCGCACGGGCGTCGCGAGCTTGATGACCGTGTCGCGCTGCGCGGTGCGGATCGACGCCTGCACCACCGCGTCGGTGCGGAGGACCTCGCGCACCACCGCGTCGAGGAAGGGCAGGGCGTCGAGTGCGTCGATGCTCGGGCGCTCGCCGAGCGTCATGCACTCGGCGCGCAGGCGGGACTGGATCTCTGGTGCTTTCGCCATGCGCAACAGCGCCCAGCATGTGGACGACGCGGACGTCTCGTTGCCGGCCAGCATGAACGTACGCAGCTGGCTCTGGATATCGTAGTCGGTCAGGCGCTGGTTGACCTTGATGTCGGGGTTCATGTTGCTCCTCAGCATGAGGCTGAGGAGGTCCTTAGCCTCCGTCCCCGAAGGGCCGGTGGCGATCCCTTCCTTCTCAGCGGCCATTTGTGCCGCAACCTCAGCCTTGCTCTGCCTCAGGCGCTCGGCCAGCACCGATTCCGCAAGCTTGGCGCACTCCTCGACCGTCCGTTCCGCCTTGGTCCTGCCCCGGAACCAGGGAATCATCTCGAGGAACATCTGCAGGCGCGTGTTGGGCATGCCGCCCTGGATCATGTTGCGGAACGCATCGACGAGCTTGTTGTCCTCACCCTGCAAGGTACTCAGCGCACGGAGCTGGTATCCGAACCCTGCTTGGCCGATGATATCAATCGCCATGGCCATGACGCCCTTCATGACGTCGATCTTGCGCCCCCCCTGTGCTTCATCCTCAGGTTTCGGCGGGAAGGGCGCGGCCTCGGCCCAACCCGCGGGCTCGGTGCGCGTCGCGTACTTGAGCCAGATGTCGCGCAGCTCTTCGGCCTTGTCGAAGAAGGTGGGCCCCATCAGGCGCACGTTGCGGTGCGAGAAGGCAGGCATGCACACACGGCGGATGCGGATGTGCTCCGCGCCCTCGATCGCTGTGAGCCCGTTGCCGAGGATGCGGCGGAGGAACAGCTGCGCCTCCCACGGCTTGTGCCATGTCTCGCAATCCGTGAACATTGCCTGCACGAAGGCCGCATCCGTCGTCAGGATGCGCGCGTTGCCGCACGCCACCATGTAGCGGACTGTCGGGCCGTAGGTCTGGATCCAGGAGTAGAACGCAGACGACGGAGGCGCGTACACAAACTCGAGCATGTTGCCCCAGAGGAGCGACTTGCTCGGTGGGCCGGGAAGATTCCTCCACGGCAGCTGCGAGGGGTAGTAGATGAACCATGACCAGTAGATGTAGGCTGCGTAGGCGAGGAGGGTCGCAAGCAGAGTTCCGAAGAGCGAGGCAGGGGGAACGCGGCGATGTAGGGGCCGACATAAGGCAGCGAGCACACCGAGGCCCACACGGTGGCCGTTGTGGGAACTGTGATGTCCTTCAAAGCGTCGAGGGGAGGCGGAAGCGACCCGAGGAGTCGTGAAGTCAGCTCCGAGAGCGGAAGCATGGTCTCGATTGCGTTTTAGGTATGCGGTGCTGTCTTGCTGGAAAAGGAGGACGTGGGCCGGCTCTCTAGCCTCTTCTTAAGAGTGCGTCTGCGCTTGCAACCCCTAGCGATCGTCGACCTCGCCTGGTTCTTTCCCGTCGTCGAGAACAATGGTTTCTCCAGTCTATTATGGTTTCGCATCATTTCGCATTTGAGTGAGCAGCGCGTCGGAGCGGGGTCGCAGTGGCTTTTCTTCTCCGCTAGATATATGTGGAGCACGCCTCCGCGACCTCGGGCGTGAGCCGTCAGAGTCGGCAGTGAAACACCCTTCAGCAGTGAACAGCCCTGTAGCCACAACTGATCGGAATGTCCTTCTGTCAGATTGGAATTAACACAGTCTGACGGTCCGAGCACGGTTGCACTTTATTGTTGGAACCACGCGCCTGGAAACCGTGCCTTTCTGCGTCTGTTCCGTGCTTCGTGTTTGCTTCAAGCTTCGGGGCACTTGGCGCAAGCCACCTGCGACGCCAGGTCGTGTTCTTAAACAGATCCCACGCCCGCTTGGTATTGTTTCGCAGTAGAGTCACCGACGAGGAGCTAGAGCTAGATCTAACCCATCGGCCCGTAAGTAAGAGTCAGGAAGGCGTCCATAAAGTCGGACAGCGAGTCGCTCCGCTTCATTGGATCCCGATGGGCGACATCGTCTTACACCCCGATGTGTGGAGCGTCTCGCATCGAAATGGTGGAAGGAGACCGAGTGCAGAGTGAGTGACGCCAAAACGTCTGCGCAGCACAAACAATCCCGATCCCGGCCCGTGCATCCGCAATCGAAGGCCCCAAGCCGGCTGCTGAGGGCGCCTCTTCAAGCAGGGCGGGTCCGGCGATTCCGCAGTTCTACACTGTGGGTCGGGAACCACGGGCAGTAGAACTGACCGGGGGCTCTGCATTGTTCTCAAGACCCGTTCGGATCTCGAATTGGCGCTTAGTTTTCGAGGGCCTCCTCCCACGTCGCGGTCTGCGTGTGTCAACTCCAGAAGCAGCGACCTTGTCAGTTCTTCTGGCATCAGAGTCTGGCCGATTGCCCAGTCAGTAAGTGTGCGAAGTCCAAACACAGGGGCCGCAGAGCAAGTGATGGGGACAACGCGGAGACGGCTTCGGTCATGTCGGACGTCAGGTGTATGGAACGTGCACAGCCGGTCCCTCGTAACAATCACGGCGCATTCTCGGACGATTGATCGAGAGCATCTCCGTTTCCCAATGGGTCACTAACCCCGCGCCGAACCTAAAAGACGTCCGCGATCGTGCGATGTGCGGAACGGCGACTGGGTCTGCTATTGCATCGAAGCCAGGGCCTAAACCACAAAGATGTTGAGAGCCATTGATGCGCAAGGGACGCGTTTTGAGATCTCGAGAGTCCAGACCCTCGTCGGTGCGGGGCTCTGCGCCGAAACTCCGTCGCTCTTCGCGTCCTTCGGCGCGTCACGCGTCCTCGCCGCGCCGATTGTGTGATCGCCTGATGTCTGAAGCCTGAGGTCCGATCGGTGACGGCGTCTGCTCCTGATGGCACCATTACTATCTATTCCAGATTGTTTGCCCGCGTCTGCGCGCCCGAGCGTTTCGCCGAGCTATCTACCGGCTCCGCATCCTTCTGACGGGCAGCGCTCTGCCGCGCAGCCCCAGACTGGGCCCGACGCTCCGGGGTTTGTTCGATAGTTCTTTTGAAGGGAACATGAAGGGACGGAGCAAGGGCGGAGCAGGGAAGTTGCAGGGACGGTGGAAGGGACAATCTGTGGGGAAGCGGAACCGAGGAGAACCGAAAACATGACAAGAACAGCCGAACCACACGACGCGCCAATGAGCGGAAATACATTGGCGAGCAAACCGAGGTTCACGGCGAGCAGACACCGATATGACGGAGTCGGTGTCGGATGCTAATCTGAATGGGCGAGTGCGCGGTTCATCGCGGGTACGCGAGTGTGAGTGTGAGTGGGGGTGCTGTCTCTAGCCGAACAGCATGACGGCCACATGCTTGCTGTGGCACGCGCAGTAATCGCGGCGATCGTTGCACTGACCTCATCCCGAGGAAGTCAGAAAGCACATTGGCCATCTGGCCCCCACTCTACCTGCGCATATCAACATGTTATGCGCGTGGCAACTTCGCGGACCGACGAAGACCGAAATGGATGATGTTTGTCTCGGCGGATTTGCGGGAACTCGACGATGGCGATGTTGCTAGTGGGGGATGCGATTGCTTTAGTCCAAACGGACAGGTGAGGGGTTACCGCGACGTCAGAGTGCTTCCGGTTTCACGCTTTAGCGCATGCTGTTCTCTTAATTAATGAAGAGCTCGGTGTGACGAGAGTGGGTGCCAGGTGCGGGAGAGGGAGAAGGTGGAAGGAAGGTGAAGCAGCCGCGGCACCGACACGGACACTTCTCCTCGAGACGAGCCGCCTTGAACCGCTGCTCCTTCACCTTGTATCGCTGTATCCGGCCACTCCGCGATCGGAGCGCTTCCCGCCCCATCAACCTCGAGTCGTGCATCGGTGATAGCAACGCGGCGTCAAGCACGCGTTCTTAGATCTGATACCCCCTGGACAACCGGCGCGGAGATTGGGAGCAAGGTGGGGGTACCGCACCGCAGGAGTGGTTGCGGCCTGTTTCACGCGCTGCAACAGTCTCCGCCCCGGAGATCAAGCAGAAATCAATCAATCGTACAATCGCGATTGCAAGCCAGTGCCGCCGGCACTCGGCTACTTTCCACCTCATGTGAACAGATGCATGCCTTGAGAACGCATGGGCGGTAAGGTGGGGGAGCGATTTCAGAATTTATCGGCGATGCTCGGGATGCGCTGACGTGGTGACTTCGGAGTCTGAAGTGCTGGAATCGATGCCGCTCGATTGGTCGCGGTTCCTGACAGAGTGGGGGAGCATGCACTTCGTGCTTCGTGGTCTCATGCTGCTGCATGAGTACAACGAGAGTGAACGCTACTGACCATTAATCGCAGAAATAGGGGAATGCGCCAGTGTTACGCACTCGAGACAAGCGAATCTCGCTCGAGGTCCTCCAGGTCCGCCTTCGCTTACTGTTATCTCCAAGCGCGCAGAAGATGATCGGACAGATCTGCGCGGCACGGTATACTGCCTCGGTTGATGATAAACCGCTCGTCGCACGCCAGTGGCGCCTCTGCGGCTGCGATCTGCAATCCACGTACCTTTGGAGAATGCTAAGCGAGGCTGGTTGACCTGCAGGGCAATACTTTCGGAAGGCTTTGACGGGGTCGAATTGGTATAGAAGAGTGACTGGGAATGCTAAGCGAGGGGATCGACGAGACAGCCAACCCTTCCTACCCGCAGGGGCTTGTTCGGTGCTCTGCTAAGCGAGGTATGCTGCGTCTCATCCGTTCCACAACCCACATCCCCGACCACTCAACCCGATGGCTGCAAACCCGAGGCCCGAAGCGTCGGGCTTAGGCCCTCTCTGCAATGCACTGCCCGAAAACTGCTATTCGAGTTAAATGAGCTTGAGTCACCGACGTGTGACAACAGAAGTGGTCATCTTGTGACACATCACCTGATAGCGCTGAATTCAGCTTATTACCACACTTTATGCCTTCTACCGCCATCGCTGATTACTTGAGTGCTGCGAATGCCCAATCCCGCTGAGCGCCCACCACCGCAACCTGCTTGCCGCCATGGCAGGATAGACCCCGCGTCGAGCCACCACTGTTCTCGTGTCGAGCAGCAGCTGAGCTACCTTTGTGCACGCCATATCATTTGGGGTCATTCAAACATTGTCCTCGCGACAACTAGTACTCTTAGGAGCATGAGAGCACAGTCTCACCCCTCAAGGGACGAGATTTCGGGTTCGGTCAAGGGACGCTCAGGGCAGCAAGCTCAACAAGCCTCGAGCTTGCGTCGTCGATGTTAGGCTGCCTCCGCTGACGCGACGACCACCATGGTCACCTGGAGGCTCGGAGCATGGGCTATCCGTATTCACAGTGCTCAGCTCAACGTCAACGGCGGGCTACTGACCAACCATGCTCTCGGAAGCGAGGTGCGTGATGCGCTCAGGGCATCCCACCCCCAGGGCGGACAGGAGATCAAACATAGCATGGGTATCTATTGCATCTATTGCATGTAGCAAGAGTTCGGCCTGATAAGTCCTCGGCGCTCGGCGCATGATTACAGCCATTGCGCCGTGGCCAAGTCTAGACCCACGGCTGCGGCGGGGCGGGCTAACCTCTGGCGAAGATCTCGGCCAACGCGGCTGCGGCGTACATCCCTTGATGGTGGCCAGACCACACGGTTGTCGGAGTTATCAGCAGCCAAACAGAGCCTCTGTCGGAGGACGAGCAGGAGAATCGGCGGCGCTACGGCTTCGGACCGGACGGGGGAGCCTGACACTGAGTTTCCACTCAGCGCGCCAAAGTCAGTGGTCAATGGTGCCGTGCTGGCCTTGGGGAAGCGAACAGAAGCAGCTACGGCGGGCAGATTCTATCACCCTGGCGCAGCATTGCTCAGTCGCGACCGTTGGCTAAGCAGCATGACACGATAGTCTGTCCTCGCATGTCTTGGGGAGGCGATCGCAATTAAGCCCATGTCAATGCTCGGGCTCGCTCGCGCGGCGGCTCGTAGGCTAGGGCTGAAACGCTTCAGCACTGCATTGCTTGAACGACGGCGGATGTACAAGCAGCGCACAGTCGATTCCTTGCCAGCTTCTCGCCAGGAGTATCCAAAGAGGAGGTGAACCACGGTCAAGCTCAAAGGTTACACACGGGACCGACCTTGTGTTCTGTACAGGGCAGTCAAACGCCTACGGCATTGTGACGTAAACCTTCATCGCAATCCCTCGACGCTAGAGCACATGAGCTTGCCGTCCTGGGGAAACTGCGAGACTGCATAAATGGCCTGGCAGAGCGGCCCCTATCATCTAGTCTCATGACCTCCGTCAAGTCCGAAAGCTCTCAGATGGAGAAGCCCCCTTGTACCCGTAACATTCCAACCCCACAGGTGTGCAGCGGGCCTGTGCCCGCCTCTTTCGCCCGCAGCGGCAGAGGGATGCTGCGACGGAGCCTCTCTGGGCCCGAGCTTGCGTACATGCCTTTGTGCCAGAATGCCGGTGTGCCGAGACCCAGCATTCGCAAGCATCTACAGTCCTGTCGCTTTGGAGCAGAGACGGCCTCGCCGAAGAGGTTTGAATGGCTTTGGATATTTGGACGAAGTCACGCGGACACACGGTCAGATGGCTGCGCGGACGCCCAGAGCACACAAAGGCTCAGACGCGGCAACGATGGCCCGCCGGCAAGCGGCCAAACAGCGAGATGAGGCGACGCAGGTTCCTGGTGATCGTCTGGTGCAATGTCAGTCACGGACCAGGCCGCGACAGATTTACTCTCCGCTTGATTGTCTTAGCGCTGAGATTACCAACGCGCAGAGCCCGCGGCGCCGCGTCGATGCTGTCGTGCTCACTCGACGATTCAGAGCACGAAGCAGGGGCCGAAAGCCGCTGACGGCCCGTTATAGCCTCCAGTCTGGCCGCCCTGGAGCCAGGCAGATGCGCAGATGGCTCACGGCTGTATGATACATGGCGGGGCGACAGAGGCACCATGAAATCAGCTAGGGGAGATTACCACGGCATGTGAGGCACAGCACTTCGAGTTACCCAACATGAAAACGGTCGGGCCCAGAAACGACAGGCGCGCGAGTGTCCGCTGATTGCCAGAGAGCCTGGGGATTTCCGCACTAAGCTCTAGAGTTGGGTTGCCACTGATTAAACGCACGCATTCTGCGAATTTCGCGAAATCGTGAATTCATTCAGCTTCAGCCATGGTAAGAATCTCAGCATGCCCAGCTTCTGCACAATGAAGTTCAGGGTTTGTGACCCAGCACAGGGTCGATGCAATGCATGCCTGCAGTTCTCCTGCTGCCTCCTGTCGCTCCCTGCCGCCTCTGACGTGCAGGCTCTCGATTCTGCAGCGTCGGGTATTCAATGGACCCGCTCTTGGTAACCTGCTGCCCGCTCTCTGCGGGGATGGCTCAATAGCGGCACAACGAAGGCTGATGTCGTCCTGCATCAATGAATCAATGACGCTTGTGCATACACCGTGGCACGCCCCCCTGGCCAGGGTGACGAAACCCGATGAGGTATTGGTCGTTGGCGGAAACCGGGCGACCGGCCAGCTGCGACATGCGAGTCTCACAGGCTGTCTTCCAGGTCCAACATTGCGACGTGATCGGATGTGCCTGTATGGCAACCTCGGCAGTCGTAAGTGAGCCTGGTGACTGGTGACATCTAGCACGCAGACGCGCGGTTCGCCATGTCTTCGTTGTCGAGCCTCGTGAGGGTTACGCCAAGCGGCATAAGCTCCAGGTCAGGGCTCCCAGGGCAGGGGGTAACAAGTCGGTCCATTCTTCCGTGAGCGGCACGGGCAGTAGCTGACGGTTGATCTTGCCCGGACCTGTCTGGCATCTGCTTATGTTCCTAGCACCCTTGCACCCTTGTGCGGATCACAAGAACATCAACCGAGGCAGCGCAGCGCAAGGCGAGGGTGTGTGGCCCCTCTTGTGCCTATGTTCACCAGGCCATCGCCGCCAGGATGGCCACGCCCTGAAGCGTATCCCCAGACATCCTCTGGCGTCAAGGATCAACCTCAGCCCGGCCCTGGGCAGATCCGGAGATCTTCTCCCCAAGCATATGCAAGCTTGTAGCGTCGAGAGTTCGTGCGCATGTCCCACCGAGGAGGAAGGAGCGCCGCTTCTCAGCTCTCAGTCGTTGGGCCGGAAAATCACCGGCTTGTTTAGCTTTGGCTTTGGACCTTAGACCGCAGCGACGCAGACGTCCAGTCTCGCGCCGCCCCCATGGGCTTGCTGAATGCCAGCGTAAAGCCCAGCACGTCAAGGACCCAGCCCAGGATCTGGTCCAGGACGCCAGGACCAAACGGCCCCCATGTCAGGCAGGGCTCACATCTAGCCCGAAATGACACTCAGGTCATGGGTTTGGCCCGATGGACGTTTGGATTTGCGGACACCGCACGCCAGAGCCCGAATACCTAGTATGCCGGACGCCAGCTGAGACTGCCAGTTAAGCCTCTGGCCGACCGACCGACCATCTAGGCCGCCTCCAGTTTGCGGGACCGACTGGACCGACTTTCAGATGTTTCGATAAGTCAGACACAGGTCGCGCCTGTCGCGCATTTCCATCTCTTCGCCTCTTTGCACTCAGCAATTATCGAGAATTTCTGAAAACGTCGAACGCTTGCTCGACCCAAACTCTGCTTTCCACATACTTGACTCTTCGACCTACAACGACGTCCGTGCAAGGGACACCTTCGGGCTAAGCAGTCTGGAGTTGCGTACCTCGATCAAATAGAGCGAGCGATACCTTGAATTTGGGCGCCTGGGTGACAACCTCCCCGCGACTTCAGCTCGCTGTGACCACCTCCTCTCTGGTGCGACTCCCCACTTTAGTCCAGTCGCACATCCCCGAACCCCCCACATCCCCCTCCGCCCTCGGCCATTCTCAATCCTCACACTTTTGTCCAGCATACCAGACTACTGGGGCGACCATTCGACCGCTCTCTCAACTTCTTCTCAACTACACCGCACCACGACCATCTACAGCGACGACCGCACGTCAGGCCCAGTGATCGCCAAGCTGCCGACGCTTACTGCTCAACCGCCTCCAGCAATTCCACCGTCATACTCTCGCCCGTGATTTCAGCCTCGACAGTTTCGATATCGAGCTCACTCAGCTCGTCTTTAGTCCGTTCAGCCCGCTGTTCGACGTCCCTTCCGCCTTGCGCGCAAGTCATGGCCCGCCGAAATCATCAGCCATGAACGCGCCAGGAATCACCGGCGCAGCACCCGCCGGCCCCAACCGGCCGCAACAGCCCTCCCTCCTTCCGGTTGTTCCGCCAGGCCCCGCGTCATCCTCATCTGGGCAAACATTGTCGGCAGCCTCTGGCCCGGCCTCCGTCCCAGAACTCGGATCAGCAGGCCCGTCTGGACAGGCTTCGGGTTCTGGCCCGTCTTCTAGCCACATTCCTTCCGAGTCGCTTCCAATTGAAGCAGGTCACTCGCAAACGGCTACATCACCCGCTTCCACTAGCGCGACCGGGAGTTACATGCAGCGCAGCCGGCGACGGTGGACGGCAGAAGAAGACGCAAAACTGATCAGCGCTGTCAAAGCCTACGGCTCGGCACGGGGGCCGGGATCGGCCTGGTCGCTCATCTCCCAAGGCATACCTGGACGAACAAACAAGGTGAGTGACATACACATGCATGCGGCAGCGAAGAGTGATCTGCGTCGCCACCCATCCGTAAAGCATAGCCTTGCATTGCTCGCTGCTCTAAGAGAGAAATATCACTGCACGTTACGGGAAACCCGTGACCTTCTCGGCCTCGCCGAACCCACCATCCAGCGCGCCGTCTAGTTCACTACTGTTATCAACAGCCGCGCCTGTGATCTACGCATCGATGCCAGCTGCCATGCTGCTAGCGTCGTCGCATACCCGGGGAATGTTCTTCGCCGATACATGAGCGGCAATGCCGGCGGCAACGCGGGCGGCGTCATTCTATGCAGCCTAAGCGAAGGCACTATCCCCAGAGTGCTCATGAGGGGTAGTCACTGTCGCCTTGCTTCCATGCTCTACCTCTTATCCTGGCAAGGCCCGTGCATCGACCCATACACGTTCTCGACGCTTTCACCACAGGACAGCTCAGTTGACAGACAGGATTGCCGCAAGCGGTGGTTCCACTCGCTTGACCCCAGCGTGCGGAAGGGCAAGTGGTCCCCGAACGAGGACGACGCACTGCGTAAACTCTACTCCGAGCTTGGGCCACAATGGAAGGAAATCGGTAAGTGTCAAGTCACAAGTCGCACGGCTGCTGGATACGAGTACCCGAGCCACGTCCCACGTCAGCTGTTGCAGCTGCGCAGCGGGCGGCGAAAGCGCGCTCTTGGCTTGTTTGGCGTGCTTGTGTATCACCTGCCATGTTTGCCCCGCAGGCTGCAGGTGACATTTCGGACGCTGCGCAAGCCGCGCAACGCCGCCACCACACCCTGCGCCCATGACTCTCAGCCTTTCCCGGGGATCTCGAGTCTTCGAAGCCTCGAAGCGCCCAGACCTTTCACACCTTATTCTGTGTGCGCCGTCCATTGAAGCCTTGCGATCTGGCCGCAGCTATGCATGCCCGCGGCGTTGGCGAGACCCGACGCCAGCGGTCGAATTGGCGAGGACCCTTTCTCGCGACTCCACTCATGCATGCATGGGGCCGAAGTTTGTTCTGGCCGCTGCAAGGTCACAGGCATTTCTGGCCGACCCATTGGCGGCTCGTTGGGAAGCGGACGCGGACCGCTCTCCCATCGAGGCTCTTGGGCTACGACTCCTAGAGGCTACGGGGATCGGAGGTCGGGCGTCGGACGTCGGGCAGTGACGTCGGACTCATGGTTCACATGACGATCACATCATCGGTTCCGAGTAAAGCAGCAAGGAACGGCTACGCGGCCTCGGCCTCGCTCCGGCCTGTTCGGCCTGACTCCGATTCCGCACGCACCAATCGTTTTCAGAACGCTGACATGCAGCTCTCCGCATCCCTGGCCGAAAGGACGACCAGGTCTCGAAGCGATGGCGCGACGTGCTCGCGCCAGAGCTCACGAGCAAAAAACCCTGGAGTGGAAAGGAGGATGCACTCCTCCTTGAGCTGCTCGAGAAGCTTGGCCCAAGATGGACGGCCATAGCAGACAAGTTGCCAGGACGCTCACCGATCGCGTGCCGCAATCGCTCCAGGAAGTTCCGCAAGCAGCGGCCTGAACCAAGTGAGTTTATTTTCCTGGTCCCCGCGACCTTGGCTCGGCGACACTGGGCGAGACAGCCATAGGCACCTGACTCTTTTTCTCCGCGCCATGCGTTGCACTGCCTGCGTCGCATTGCATGCGCGTCATGTAGGTCAACGTCATGGTTGTCGAATATCCGTGATCAAGAAGCGCACTAACCCCGCAGTGGCAGACGACACGCCATCGAGTACTGGTGCGAGTGGCAGTGGCAGTGGGACCGCGAGCGCGCGCAGTGGGTCTGGCAGCGGGGTGGCCAGCGCTGGTCCGAGCACCGTGCCCCTGCCCTCGATGATGACGGAAAGGTCAATGCAAGAGGACGGAGAGCCCGACTGGCGGCTCCCAGCCGACCTGAATCCGAGCATTTCCGTGAGCTCGTTCAATTTCGACCTGGATCAGAACCGTCTTGTCGGCCCTAGCCCTCACGATCAACCAGGTGCGCCTGGCCCGGGCGGCCCGGGTTCACAGGGGCCGCCAGGATCTGTCCCTGGTCAAGCCCCGCCCGCACCGCCGTCCGCTGCGAGCGGACCACAAAGCACTGGCGGAAGTATGATGGGGGACAGTGTGATGGGTATCGCCGCCAGTCCCGCCGTGAACACGAGTGGTCTGCCAATGTCGCACCAGTCGGTTTCCCCAACGACACACATGGACCAGCTCCCGCCCCAGATGGAGGGGTGGATGCCACCGACACCGATGCAGATGGGCATGCCCCTGTTCGACCGCGCTGTGGACGACATGTGGGGCCTGTTCGTGGCGCTCGACCGAGGCGATCCTGCCGTTCTCGTCGACAGCAATCTGCTCCGACAGCTTGTCGCCGGCGCAGCTTCGGGGATCGGGCACCCGCCGATGCCAGGGCGTACTTGACGTGGGCGTAAGCCTGGTCAACATCGACATCGAGAAGAACAAGGGATAGAAGGAGGATAGATGGGGATAGAGATGGGAGGTGAAGTACAATGCAGCCAAGCAGCGCACAGTAAGCAAATTACGCAACATCCAAAACGTTCCAGAATCTCCAGATCTGCACAAGAACGGCAGTTATTCGATAATCTCGGAAACACGATCAACGAGCGACGACGAGAATCGACGAAAATCGACGAGGAGAACAGAGGCTGTAGCTCCTAATTCTCCAGGTGAAGCACCAACCGCAGCAAGCAATAGCATATTACTGAGCGCAGACAGAGTAGGCTCGCACTATTCTGCATCTGCACGACCGGACGTTTCCATGTATTTCTGTATTCATTGGGATATTTCTGCCGTCTTTCATCGCTGCTCTTCTCAGGGGGGGATCGGTCACCTTCTGCACCTGTGCACTGCGCGACTGATACCGAGTTGCACAGTGGGATCGGCGCCTAAATCGCATTCAAGAGCGCAGATGAATGAATTACGCATCTGAACTAAACTTAATTCAGACTTTGAGACAGATCTGCTGACTAGCCCGTCTGGAGAGCCGCGACGAATCGAGGTGGCGTCGGGCATCGGAGAGTTGCGTTTAGACCGAGCGTTGTCTGCGACGCTATCTCCGGTGCAGCTACTCGTCCTCTTTGTACACTGTGTCTTCATGATCGTCCGTGGTGTGAGAAATCAGAGCATACGGAGCAAGCGAAATGACCCTGTGCACGGACATCGTTGTGGTGGCGTCGACGTCGGAGACGATGGTGATACAGGAACATGATGGAGAGCTTCGTTACGGCATAGCCGCTATTGAGATCTGCGCCAAGGACGGATAGTGAGAGGTAGGTGTGAGTCTGAGATGAATGCTTGAGCCTGACATGCGTCAAGAAAGATTGTGCGTTTAGTTTACTCGCCGAGGACGAGCGTCTCTGCCGAGCCCTTACCGCGATACACCGCTCAGACCTGCTCAGTCGGTGCTGTGCGTACTCGTCGATCTCGGAGCGAATCGTATACCTTGATGTCCTGTTAGAGCTGGACAGAGATGAGGCGACTACGAGTAGGAAGATGCATCGCCTGGGACCTAAGTCGGTAATCAAGTATACGAGACGGCGGAGACGATGCCGCTTGATGAGTCACGGGGTAGGATTGAACACCCCGACATGCACTGGGCGGCACCTGCTCGTCTCTGCATTCATCGAACAGGAGTGCCTCGTCGACAGTGCTTTATGTTATTCCCAGTTGCTCTCGCCCTGCACAACAACAGCTCGTCAATCGTCAAGCTCGTCTCGCATGCTCCAATGATATCTTTCCCGCAGCCCGCCTCCATGAACATCGGCGGCGAATTGCGAGCACGATCGGGGCTCTCTCAGGCATATCGCCCGTCCCCGGGGCTGAAGCTGCCGGAAGGGCGCTGAGCAATCACAGGCATCCAAAAGGCGGAGCATGCTCCGCTGGCCCATGCTGCGGTGAGGGCGCCTGTGAGTATGACGCAAAGATCACTGTGGCGCGGATGGGCAGGCACAATCGCAGGATCGTCCGCCGATCCATCCCTATCGCGCGATATCCGTGAATTCTCCGATCCTGCTCGGCTTGGCGTTCGCTCGGCCTCTCGCGCTCAGGCTGTACTGACAGCATCGATTGAATGCATTCTGCAGGTGCAAAGTGATGCTGGCCATTGACCGGGGGATGCTGTCGATAGCCGCGGTTGATGACAGTGGCCAGATCGTCGTGCCAGTCTCTGCCACGATTGTCATTGGCAGCATGTGCGACGAGACGTAACAGTAGTTCAATTCTGCGGGCAGCGGGCAGCGGGCAGCGGGAAGAGTGGGTGGGTTAGTAACGGTGTCAGGTATCTGGTAGAAACAGTGTCAGCTTCAACGTCAGGCTCTCCCGCCAGTCATGTTAGCAAGTACCTTCAAAAACGCCTAACCTCTGTCGTTCGGGCAGCTGCACCGCCTATCTGCCGGACACCTAACTTGACTGGGACCTAGCCTCGGCGAGGATTGCAATGTGATGCATTACGTGCTCACAGGCATGTGACGACTCGTCATAAGAACCTCCGCGGCCCGAGTCGCGAGAGCTGGAATCGGGACGGAACAACCTAACATTGCCGCCCTGACGTTTGACACGGCCCAATACCTTCTCAACGGCAGCTGGAAGCTGGGCTGGAGCAGGCCGGTGTTATTCGGCGATGGAGGGCGGACTATGCTCCGTTGAGGAACGGCAAACGGAGACACAGAGAGGGCTTGGCCATTCCGGTCCTCGGCGTTAGACTTCTTATGGGCCGCCCAGGCGCAGCTGGAGAAGGTGGATGATAGTACGCATCGCCCTGTGTTCGCCCTGCCGTAGGTTGAAGCTGCACGAGCGGACGAGCCCCGCTGCGACCTCCACGGAAGGGGCAGTCCCGAATGCTGAAGTCCAGACATCACTGAGTGGATCAGATCTTCACATCCTGGTCTATCGTGGCCAGACCGGTCTGGAATGTCCATTCGGCCGCGCCTGTGCGACGGCGTCGATTTCAAATTCCGCCCCAGGGGCAGCAGTGACGACCTTGAAGTCTTCTGGTCCCATCTCCTTCTCAAGATCTCCCAGCGAGATGAACGACACCGCATTCTCAAGCTTGTTCATGAGAACCTCTCCGTCGGCACCAGCGTCGTACATGCCGCTCGCATGCCGCGCCAGCTCGCGCAGCATCCACCGAATGGCGGAGGGCACGTCGTCCTGTGTCGGAGAGGAGGCCCATACGGTCCCGGTCGGCGCGACGAGCTCGTCGCTAATCCAGTCTCTGCTCCATTGCTCGGCCCCAACAAAGCGATACCGGTGCCCTTGGTTGAAAATCCAGTCGGGCACGATGTGGCTGAGGATATGGTCGAGCACCTTCACACCCGACTGACCCGCACACTGCTGGCAATTTGGGCTGTGTCCGTGCCGTCCGCTCTTGACTGGCGTGAAGAGGAACGTGGAGCGTTTTGGGAACGCAGTGATGGTGCTCACGCTCTGCACTCGGGCAGTTGCGACAGATCCGAAGGCAGGGTCGTATCTAACGTGATACACCGCCTCTTCCGCGAAGGGGTCTTGCAAGTGCGCGACGGTGTGGTAGAGTGCCAAAGGGTACGTGTCGAAGAAAAGCACGACGGTGCGCGCCGGCTCGTCGCTTTGCGGATACAGCTCTGTCATCCTCCCGCGCACTATCCGCGCGCCAGAGGAGACATACCCCGACAGTGTCTGCTGCAATGTTTCAAAATCCCGCACGAGTTTCGATGTCGAAGCACCGACTATCGTCATTCGTGCGTCGATGTCGACGTAGGCTGGCGATAGGTCATCTGGTTCGTCAGCTCTCCGCGGTCCTGTAGCTTCGATGACCATGGCTCTTCCGCTGCGCGAAAGCGTGCTTCGCAGATGGCCGCATCCTCCTCTTACTCACCGCTCTCACTCCAATCATCACCCCTCACGCCCCCGAGCCGCGAGCGAACGCCGTCGTACCGGAGTAGCAGATGATCAGTCAGTCGTCGGTCTACGCGTCTCCGTGTTCCCTGAGACGTGAGTCTGAGCGCCTTTAGCGTCGGTGCGTCCGCGACGCTGTCCACAACCTCGTCAAAGATGTGAGGAAACGCGCCGGCGTCGAGTAGGACGGCATCTCTGACGACGCCCATAACTCTCGCGTACAGCCTAGAGTTGGCCCTCGAGTCCGGGAAAGGTGATGTTGAGCGAAGCTGTAATGAGCCGGGTGAGAAGCCGTAGGATGGATAAGATGAGGAATTGAGATCGCGATACAAAACTAAGATGCCCACGTCGCTTGGCAGGAAATGTCAGTGTGAGTGCGGGGCTCCATGACGTCCGAAGCTGTGAAACGAACCGTGATGCGATGCGATGCGAACGCGAAAGAAATGTTCGCCTTGCATTCTTTCCTTTCTACCACTTCTTCTCAACTAGCTATTGACAACTAAGGAATGCTTACGCGTGACTGACGACGGTGGACTAGTGGAACCGACATATTGCAAAGCGAATGGAACACCTGACGTGTGGAGAGCCCAAAATAATGATCATGGAAGGAGTTTTGGACGGATGGACGAGGAACGAATTGGATCCAGTGGAAGGAAGAGGGTGGTTGAACCAGCACAGGCAGAGATGAAGATAGCCTTAAGATCAAGGATGGGAAGCTCACTGGTAGATCTTTGAAGCCCGGAGCGCGACGACGTAGATGCGTAGTCTGCTGGACTCAAGCCACATAACACCACGCATCGGAGTCATCCTGCGTGTTCTCCTGTTGGTTCGAAGAGCGTCGGCGAGGGGGCGTGTAGGTGAGGTTGTGGATTTGGTCGGCAGTGAGCTCGGGTGCGGGCTGGTGGGGAGCGGCCTGGTAAGATGGGGACTGGTAAGGTGCGGACTGGAAGGGTGCGTACTGCGCGGGCGCGATAGTGACGGCGGCGGGCAGCAGGGGCATGCTGCTGAATGGGTTCAGTGGCATGAAGGGAGGCACTACCGGGCCGAGGAAGTGGACCGGATAAACGTAGGGAAAGCCCCAGACAGGCTGGGGGGCGTTCTGGAGAGCGTTCTGGGCGGCGTGCTGAGTAGCGTACTGAGCATGCTGATGGCCCTGCGCAACGTTCGAGTCATACTCCTGCTCCTCAAAAGTGTAAGCGACCCAGCCTCCGGGAGGGTAAGGAGTGGGCTGAACCTCGGCGTCTGAAATTAGCATTGGCGGGTGTTTGTACTCACCCTCGGGCATCTGAGAAACAAGAGGCTCCAGCTCTTCCTCAGTACCGTCGTAAAACGATCGCAGATAGTCTCCATCGCGGTCGGAGCTCTCCGTGCTCACATCTGTGAGCCAGCCATCGTCCTCACTCTCCTCGCTCTCGCTCGGGTCGGCAAAGATGTCATAGGCAGAGACGCTGGTAGATCCCTCCGAACGGGGCTGGTTCTGTCCCCCAGTCTCGGCGACAGCCTCGGTGTCGGCATCGACCTGCGCTATCTGCTCGAACTGATCGGGTTGCTGAGAGGCAACCCCCTCATGCGCGGCTTTCGTTAGCTGACTCAAGGCTTCGGCTTGACTTACCTAAAGCGTCGGCCTCGTCGAGCCTCCTCTCGAGATCGAGGCAGTTGATGTGCGCCTCTTGCATCCAGGCGAGATCAGCATTGTCCCACGAACCCTCCGCGCGCAGGGCGTCAAAGTATTGCTCCGCGCGAATCACGCGGGCGGTGGAGTCCTCGCGAATCGCGCGAATCTCGCCCTGCATGCTGATGACGGACGTTATGGCTAAGGCCGATGTGGGGACGAAAGACGGGGCTGTTTACAGCAAGATCTGGCGGTGCGGATGAGGATCGCTGTCGAAGTGTCGAAGATGAACTGGGCTGCGTTGGAGCTTCAGGTCGATAGCTGCGCGAAAGAAGGTGAAGAAGAGACGCGGATGTCAAGGTCGAGGATTTTAACAACGTCAGGACGGAGGTCCCCACACACTTGTCGGCTCGGTCCATTCCCGATAGGGAGCGTCGACTGCGAGTTACAAACAGACTGCGACTGATGTACAACGACGAACAGACCAGCCACCGCCCGCAAAACAGCGTCGCCGTGGGAACGAGCAGACAGCCAAGGGTGACGAACACAGGTGATGCACACGATGGGGTGAGACGAGGGTGTTGCATCTTCTCGCCCTTCCAGTCCGCCTAGCCTACCCCGCCTGCCTCTCCACTCGGCACAGCCAAGCATACGAAGGCTACACAGACGACGCTTGTCCTCTAACACTGCGGGCTGTGCAGTACTCGGCATTGCTGACTGAGCCGAGCAGCAGAAAATACCGCACACTCCTCCGACGCTTCCCTTCTTGCGACGTCCGCGGTGCCTGCCGTGGGCCAACTTGCTGTGAAGAGGGTCGCTGCTGTGGTGCGATGGACAGTGAAGCTCGCTGGCCCGGAAAAGTACCGTTTTTGCCACCCGCCGCCGCCCACCCGCTGATCCCTAGGCTCGCCGTCACTGAACGCTCCATCACCACCACTAACAATCAGCAAAGCATCACAGGATTGCTGTTCAATGTTAGGAGTAAGGCGTAGAGCAGTGTCAGCCATGACAACTGGCAGCCGGAAGCGATCCGTTGCTGCGTTCTCCTCGCGCCATTCGCTGGTCGTGCACGGCCATCGCTCCGGCGATGAGCAAGTTGTCCAGTTGTCAGTGTCTAGTCATCAGAGTCGCACCAAAGGGACATGTGATGCTTGCATGGTTAACGTTGAGCACCCTAAGATTATGATTGCAGGTGTTGAACCGGACAATCTCTATTATGCTATTCTCGCGGGCGAGCAACGGAGTAAGGTACAGTGCATGTTAGGGATGGGGCTATGCGTCTTGACAGACGCCGACGTCGTTCAAACACGTTGAGCTGACGGTCAGCGCCTCAAACGCTGGAGCGCTCGCCGGGGAGGTCACCGTCGTCGGCCACAAGCTGTGGAGCGATCCTGCTAGCCCTGGTCCTGGGGCCAGTCGCTGCAGCGGTCTTGGCAGCATCCTCCGAAGTGCCCAATAAGGACGCACCCGAGGGCTCGCGCCTGTACGCGAGCAGCTCCCTCTGAGCCATGACGACGGACATCCTGTCAGTCCAGTCGTGGTACTTGGTCGCTTGAATCTGGGGCGCCATTGGGGACGCAAGCTTGAACGACAAAAGAGTGGCCAAGCTGCCATTGGTGGTCGACACGATGGAGCGGGCAGTGTTGTCGTTGTGCCCCGTCATATCCTGGAACAGCAATATGTCCAGCATGTTGAGATGCTCTTCCTCGGTTGAAGAGGCGTGGGTAACGCTCTCGAGCTGGCCGTGGTTGCGGATCATGTTCACTGCACCCTGTCAGCTTTGTCCTACCATTCCTCCACGTCAAGCTCTAACTCACGATCCCAAAGACGGATTTGAAACTGGCGGTTATGCTTGAGCCACTCCAGCTCATCCATTTCCCACTCATTGAGCGCCTCGAGCTGCTTCTCGAGCAACGCCGTGTGCGACTTGGGTGAAGACTTGATGTCGTCCCAGACAGCAGTGCGGGCGATGTTGTAGAACAGTTTGACGTGATTGTACCGCCAAGTGTACTCATCGTGCAGCTCTTTGGGTGACTGGAGGAAGATCTGAGGCTTGATGTCAGCGGCGACATTGTTGGAAACTGGTGCCTCGGAAGCTGGGGCGGTGCTGAGAGCTGGGCTGTGATACTGGTTGCTCGACATTGTCAGTTGTTGATGACTTGATGGTGAGGAAGCAGAGAGAACATAAGAGAGGCTGTGTACTGAGTGGAATAGTCGAGCATAACAGCATAGCGCAGTGCACGAAGGGGCACACGGTGCGAGGGGGCGACTGGAAGCTGAGGGGCTGGCTGTGCTGCCCAGGCGTGTGTGCGCTATATGCTGCAGGCCTACCAGACTGTGTGGCCATAACCCCGATCATGGATCAGCTGACGATGGTAGTTCTGGCAAGAGGTCAGTGGGCAGCATTTGACATAGGGTCAGTCTTTGCATGCAACATGAGAGTGACACTCCGATGAAATGCATGTACAACGAAACTATGGAAACATGAAACTTCCTGAAATCAGCGGCGATGGTGGTGGCGGGTGGCGGAAGGGGAGCGGCGACGCGAACCTTCGCCGCGGGGACGGTATCCGCCGTAGCGCCCGTCGTTGTAGCCATGACGGCGTTCGCGGTAGCGCTCGTCGTTGCAGCCATGACGGCGACGGTGATCACCATCCCACACGTCGTGATGAGGGTGGTACCTGTCTGGTGACGCACGGGGGTGGCGCGCATGATGAACGTTGCGCTCGTCCCAAGGAGGGGGGCGGTAGTGGTCGCGGGGCTCATAGGCGTGATGGTTGTTGCGAGGGCGGTAGTCGCCCGGATGCAGATTGCGGCGCCATTGAAGGCGATCAGGGGGGTTTCGGGGTTCGTTGTGACCGTTCGGCAAGTGATAAGGAGCGGGGCGAGGCGGGCGGTGCTCGCGAATCTCACCGGGCTCGAGGGGCTCACGGCGGCGGCGGTGGCCGCGGTGGTCGCGGCGGTCGCGGATGTGGTTGGCGTCATCCTCGGGGAAGTAGTGACGGTAAGGAATTGGAGGAAGGTAGTGAGCACCCGGGATACGCCGATGATGCGGCGGTTGATGATGTTGCGCAGGAGCGGTGTGACGGCTATGGCGATCGATACTCTCTGGACGCAAGGCTTTTCTGGGCTCGGCATCATTCTCCTCACCGCCAGAACGATTGCCTGCAGGGGCGGCTGGCCAAGCTTGCTCGGGAGGGAACTTCGTAGTCCACTTCTCAGGCCTCAGGTACTCGTGGGGCTCGGGGCACTTCATGATGCCATTTTCTGTCATCAGCGGGGTGCGGGTGATCGGGGAAACACACGCTTGGAGAATACAGTACTGCGCATGGCGGAGACGCGCTGCAGAGGGTGGTAGCTGTCGATGTGGAGTTCGACCGGAGGGGGACGGCGTTGAATAGTAGCGACGGTGAAGTCTGCTGTCAGCTTCGTCACTTTGCGGCCTACCTTTCTCTTGCGCAAGTATGGCCAGCAGGCGTAGGCGCAAGGCCTGTAGGGCCTGTTCAGTGTCGTTCCGCTGGCCCATGACGACAATGGAGCCAAGCTAGGGTGTAAGCAGTGATTCAAAAGTCGCTGGTTGCTGACTGACCCAAATGTAGTGCTGAGAAGAGTTGATGAGCAGTGAAAGAATGATGACCAACACTTCCACGTCCACCCCGCTAACACGACAGCCTGTCCATCATGTGCTAGACCTGCATGCACACGAAGGTAAAGGTACGGACTACACGGCACACATGGTACTATCTGTTCAGACGGTCGAACTCTTTCGCCAGTCTTCGCAGCTCCTGCTGCGACTGCAGGTCAGTCGTGGTGCTCTGTGCAGCGTACAGGACACTGTTGAACACTTTAGCTCGTGCAGCTGCTCTCGTGTCTCCTGCAGAAAACGACGACATCGGCGAGAGAGGTATGTCCGACATCGTTGGTGAGCTCGGCGCTGTTGTTGGTGGAGTACGCGTCGTGGACGCCTTGCGGTCTGCTGTGAGTGCCTGGAGCGAGGGAGCAAGTAGCCACTCACAGTGAGCGACGGAGCTAGCGATGGACGTGACGGAGGGCGCCCTCGCCAGCCTCGCAGCCCTAGTGAAGTCTACGGCAGTGTTCAGCGTCTCGACTGTCTCGGACCTGGGTGGGGATCTGAGCGGGATCTGTGTGTCTACTACTGTGGACATCAGAGGAGACAAGGGATAGGCCGAAGGGGGCGAGATCGGCCGCCGGGGTCGGCTTGGCGGGGGCGATTTGGGTGGAACGCTCGGCGTGGTGTCCATCGGGATTGCCTTGAGAGCTCTGTCGCGCTTAGCCTTTAGGCGGTCGAGTTCGTCTTCTCGCATCGAGTCCCAACGCAGGTAGTCCGCGACCTTCGAGCGCGGCGGCATTCGCCGGCCCCACTTCTGGTAGCACCGAGCTACGTCAATCTCGTACTGGTCCTCGACCGCGTTCCACTGCTTGGACGCGTCGTGTCCAACATGCGTTATCTCGACACGCGGACTCATAGGCACAAGATGAGGGCGTAGAAGGAGCGAAAAAGGAGCGAGACGAGCAAACGAGGAGCAAAGGTGAAGATAAGGAGGGGTAAGGGCGAGATCGCTGTCGCCACCGGACCAAGTTAAGGCCGCCCGAATGCTGGAGAGAGTGACTGTCGGCGTGAAAGAACCATCAGAAGCATCTGGCAACAGGCGCGTCTTTGTTTGTCTCAATTCCAAGAGCGCCCGTGCGCGTCTGCACCGTGCAAAGTGCCCCGCTCCGCCCCGTGCACGTTCGATTCACACTGATGCACAGATGCTAACAACAGGGAATCTGGCCATGCCGCTTCCTTTTGCGCAGCCTTGAAGGTGTCCATCAGTAGCCAGCCACTTGGCATTAGATGTCCGTGCGATCTCAGAAATGCTGCAACGGGAAGCACGGTGCACAAACACATTGTCTTTAGGCTTATGGCTTGTTCACGCGGTTGAACTCAGCGACCCAGTTGTCCAGGGCGCGAAGCGTGTCTTCGTTCGTAGTAAGACCCTTGGCTGTACGCGTCGCGTACTCAAGGATAGCGGAGCGCGCGTCGGCGGCGGTGGCGAAGGTGCTCACCCCCTCAATGGGCACGGCTGTGGTATAGGCAGCACTAGTCTCTGACCTGTCAGCGCGGACACAACCTGGTGTACTCACCAGAAGCACGGGTGGCAAGAACCTTTGACATGCTGCCAGTTGTTGATTCATCGGGCTCGCAGCTTTGCTGGATGTCGTTTGAGTTCGTACCTCGCACGGTCAGAACAACCAGGAACGTCTGTGCTGATATCTCACCTGGCTTCTCGTCCCGCGGATTCTTGTTAGTAGTGTTCTTCTCGTCGTTCATGATGCTGGTGTAACTGAGAAGAAATAGAAAGTGAAGAAGGTGATGTCCATTGTACATCGCAGCGAGCGCTGTCCATGAGTAGCAACCCTTGGCCACGGCGGTTCGGACACACCCTTCTTCGGTCCGTTCAAGTCTGGAATCTTCATGTTTGATTAGCCCTTGAGCAGACCGCAGAATCGTGTCACGCTTAGCGCCCCAATGCCCCAATGGAGACCTGTAATAGTAGAGGGGTTCATAGGGATCAGAATACGGGTTACTATGATAGTCCAAATAGAGAAGGCCCAATACGGGTTCGAAAGCAGAGCGAGGTTGAAGGAATGGACGCCACGGAACGTGCGGCAGGGACCGTGCGGTCAAGGTGTTACGTGGGACCAGTCTATGAGGACCCGTCGTCCTGACCCTCACCCAGGGTCAAGATGTTATCAGCGACCATCATTGCGAGAGTGAAGTCGTCATCCAAATCACTGAGTTCATCCTGGACAATACCCGCAGCGGGCATGTCAAGGGAGGCCGCGATATCCATGGCGATCGCGAGAACTGAAGCAAAGGCCTCCTTGCAAGCTTGAAGCTTCTGCTGGAGAAGCTCAGTGTTGTCTTCGTTGCTCTGGGCCGCAACCTGGTCGGAAGACGCAGGGGTGGTGCCTGTCCGTCAGTTTCCTTGCCATACGACAGACACACTGGTGACACTCTCGCTCTGGCTGGAAGAACCCTCGCCGGCGCTGTCCATGGCTCCCACGCCGGCATCCTCCATATCATTCAACATCTGGTTGTGCTTCATGTCCTTCCTGGCCTTGATAACCTCCATCAGGCGTCGCAAGGAAAGCTCAGCGTGGATTTCGTCGCACTGGTTGTCGAGGCGTGAGGTCTCGAGGTTCGAGGCAACGTCGTTGTTCATGCTGAGGACGGGAGAACGTTTTGAGAATGGGGTCGTAGGAACGGGTGCCAGTGTGGAGCTGTGATAAAGGCCAGGTGGGAGTGGGTTGGATATGTTGTGAAGGTGAAAGGTTTCGACGAGGAGGATGGGGTCTAGCAAGATGTTTAGAGTGTGAGGCTTGGTGCGAAGGTGCGTCGACTGCCACACACAGGTGCGCGCACCCACCCTGTCCCTCCATCCGGCCTCGTGGGCCTGGCAAGTCTACGCCAGCGAGCGTTCGTCAGTCGAGCGCATCGAGTACGTGGCCGCAAGGCATGCATTTGACTAATGTAGTACGTGCAGGCACAGTTGCCTATGAGCGATTTTTGTCCACCAGTGCTCCTCAGGAACGGCCATGGTTTGGTAGAACGGGCTTAGTTGCTCAGCAGCCGTACTGAGCAGCCTCTGGGGCATCAGCTGTATGTATGGCGCATCGTAAACGTACTCAGGTTGAGGTTATGCCAATTGGCTTCGAACTCGCGGTGAACTTGCGCGATTTCTTCGGCCTCGTTGGCGTGGCTGGCGGCGATGGCCTGCGCGAGCAAGTCGCCCGCAAGATTCTGGTAGGCCAACTGGCGCCTGCCGCTCCATGTGACACGGATTGCTTCAACCCTGGCGTTCAGATCCTGCTGAAGAAGGTAGCGGGCCATGTGAAACCACATAGGGCTGTTCTCCTGGGGGTAGGGAGGCAGGTTGCAGGGGTTCTGGTGCCAAAAGAGCATCGTGGTTGGCGTTGTCGAGCTGGGCGGCTGAGAGCAGCGGTGGTCGAGGGGTTTGGTTGTGACTGTCCACCACGGTTGGATGGTAGGAGGGGGGAAGTGCAGTGTCAGTTCCTACTGCGTACCCCCTCTCAAATGCGTCGCGCACCTGGGAGTCGCGCTACACAACGGCAAACGCGTTTGAGTGCACATTTTGCAAGGTGCACCGCCCAGCACACAAGCACGCCGCTTCACACGGTGCGAGACTTCCGTTCGGGGTCTTGCGGAGAGACTAGGCCGCAAGCGCTCCGAGGGAAGCCGCACTGAGGGAAGCTCAATGGAATAACCTGACCACTAGCTCGCTCCTCTCTCGCGCCTTCCTTGCACCGTTTCCGAAATCGCCACTGTTCGTTGGCCTTGCAGAGTAAGGGGTCCCGTTGGTCGTAGGACCAGTTTGTGAGAGGTGGAAGAAGAGTTGCGGCAGCGTAGAGAGAGGTATTATTGGCAGGCACAAGCATTGGCGACCTACCCAACATGCTCAACGACAGAGGTGGTGATAAGCTTAGCTAGAGCACAACAGATGCATTGATACAACATGATAATACAACGGTACAACGTGCTCGGAGGACTTGATGGACTGGCGGACACGTTACTTGCCACCAGGGTACCACCACTTGGCGTGGAGGGCAGCCTTTTTGGCGGCCTTAGCCTCGTTGTCCTTGACTGTTCATCAGTGCTGCCAGTCTATGTCACTCACAAGTGAGGTGGTTGTCCATTTCCTCCTGCTGGAGCTTGTGCAGGACAGCGCGCTTGCCCTGCTCAATCTCATCAACCATCTTCAGGGCACCCTGGATGGCGCGGGCGCTGAAGTAGTGAGTACGGCGGTAGTCGGCGCGGAGCGCCTCCATGTCCTTGTCGAGCTCATTGTGGAGGTGCGTGTACGTCTGCGAAATGCGACGACGGCGCTCGCCGGTGATCTCGGAGGGGATGGGGAGGGGAGCCATGCTGGGCTTGTCGTTGAAGGGGTTGCTGGGTTGCAGAGAAGGACCGAGGGCGCAGGATAAGAGGATCTGGGTTGAGTTGAGAGAGGTGGAGATGTGTTGGAGGGGAGACTGATGGAAAGAAGGTCGCTTTATGAAGCAAGGGCCGAGTGGAGGGCGAACCATGCCACACAGACATGCCACACAACTGCGTCACCTTGTTGCTCGATGTGCATCAGAACTTAGGCGTCCCCTTGTGCGACATTCGGAGACCCCGGAATTTGAGGTATTCTGAGCTGTGAACATGTACATAAAAGAGGCATATAGACTAATAAAGCTTATGAAGATGTGGCCTGAGTGTTCAGAAACGACGCTCATCTGTCCCGGTTGGGGCGTCTCCAGAGACCCTTCCGCTCCGGCGGCGAGAAGTTCCGTCTATGAACTGTCGGTCACGGTGTAATTGTTCGGGCTCTGAGGCTTCGCCTCAATCTCGACATCGTCGTTGGAGGCGTCGGTAACCTCCTTCTCGGCTGGACGGGAGCCGCTGGCCGCGGCGGGATCTGTTCATCAGTCCTATCGTCGGCCGTGGCAACTCACAATCGGGGTCCTCGAAGGCCCAAAGATCCGCCGCAGCCAGCTTCTCCTTCAGATCCTTCTTGAGGCGACGGGTTACCTCCTTTGTGTGCTTGCGCAAGGCGCGCAACGCCTTGGCTTGGCCGGTCTTGCGCAGCAGTTCGCGCTTGATCGCCATGGAGCGCTGGCGAAGCTCCGCCCTTTGTCGATCATAGTCGGTGATCAGAGCTTCCCGAGCTTCCTCCAGAGACTTGAAATCGTTGAAGGAGAAAACCGACATCTTTGAAAGTAAGACGTTGTAGCGGGTGGGAGAGTAGTGAACGTGAGAGATGATGATGGCGACAGAGGAGCCGAGCAGGGTGAAGTACAGGTGACGATCTCTTGTGGGGTGATACATGCGCCAAGTCTCGCCGTTCCACAGGTCCCACACCTCGCCGTTGGGTGCACACCGACGGGGCAGCGCCTCTACCTACCCCCTATTTGCGACCCAGGTGATGGACTAGTAAAGCCTCCATCCTGACCCGACCCAAACCCTTAGTCGTGTGTACTCAGGCGTAGCAGCACACACAACCCCCAATCACCCCGCCGGTTCTATCGGCCTTACGACCTTGCATCTACTTGAAATGGGTGCGAAAGTATTTTACAGTATACCACCGTGTACGAGGTACCCGTGACCAAGTTATTATAACGCATGCATGAAGGAGCAATTTCTGAAAATGTTCGGGGTGAGTAGGGAGTTTATTCGGAACCGGTCACCTACATTCCGCCTCCACCGGGGGCACTGCAAGGTTTCCCGGCCAGCTCGATTCAGAGTGACTTAACCGCGTGCACGATTGAACGAATGCGGAGAGGCACCGAGTACAAAGCTATGGATTCAAAGAAACAGGTTTCGGAAAACTGGGCATACGGGCGCAGCTGGATGAGCGTGATGGACATCGACCCTCACTTGCGACTCTTGCGGCGCCTATTCTTGCGGCTCTTGTTCTGTGTCTGAAGGGTTCCAGGCGAAGGGTTAAGGTCGATCTTAGCATCGATACCCATGGCTGGGAAGGGAACAGTAGGAAGCATATTCTTGGGATGACTGGCCTGCTCCTTGTCAGGCTGCTTACCCCTACGTGCTGCCCGTCAGCTATCGGCACGCCAATCTTCCAGCTTACCCTGCTCTTGAAGCTGAGGCTGATCAGCCTGGGCGGCCATCTGGGCAGCTTCAGTTGTCGGTGCTGGCTCCAGAAGGTGAGGGAGACCGCTGTCCATATAGATGCTGGCAATCTTCCAGTCCAGCTCCTCATTGAGCTCTGACATCGCAATCCTCTGGTGGAGATCAATGTCGGCCAGCTGCTCGGGAGTGAGATCGTATGGCGCGCCGTTGCGCAGGTAGTCGTAATAGGCTTTGATCTTGCTCCTGCGCACCTGGAAGTCGGCGATGATTCCAGCCGAGGTCGCGGTGCGGAGAGCGTTTGCTTGGACGTTCGTGCGTGGGACCGGAGCTAAAAAGCCGATCTTGGGCGGGGACGCCATGATTCCTAGGTGGTGATGAACAGAGTGTTTCGTGCTTTCGATGGTCGAGAAGGACGCAGTCCGCTGACAGACCACACAGACTCCACGTCATCCGTCCCCTGTACTCAAGCATCTTCACACCACTGATACATTCACACAGGCTACAGTAACAGCTACACTGGCTGTGCCGGACGTGGCATCCGCGTCTACAGAGTAAACCCCGGGAGGTCTTCGTCACACTCCTCCACAAGAAGCTCGAACCGGTCACAGTTGGACTTATCCGTCGCAGCCTTCTTGGTGGGCGCCTCCTTGTGCTTGTCATCGGCCTTGCGCTTACCGTAGGTCCCCGGGGAAGAGGAAAAGGTTTCTGACGAGAAAGTGTAGGAGAACGTGGGCTGGTAGACGGGGGCGGCCTGGGCGATGGGGTTTGCGGAAGTGTAGAGGGGCCATGAGGGTATGAACGATGTGCTGTTGAGGATCCCGGTGGGGTTCCCGGTCCCGAGTATGCTAGGGACATTCTGGTCGGCGACAGGGGCTGCAGCCGCAGACTGGAAAAGAAGGTCGTAGTTGTCGGTGCTTGACACAGGTTGAGCCGCAGGCTGCTGGTCTGCAGGCTCCTTGGCGGTAGGCTTCTTGGCACCAGGCTGCTTCGCTGCGGGCTCCTTGACCGAAGGCTTTGTAGGGTTGTCGGCCGGCGGAGTGACACGCTTGGCGGGGGGCTTGTCGGCGGGCTTATCCTTACGAGTCTTGACCTCCCCGACTTTCTGCTTGACCTTCTGGTTCTCCATACCTGGGATTAGCTCAACCAACTTGAACATCCGCTCACCGATGAGTTTGGCACGATGCGCTCCGAGGTCAAAAGAGTGCTGGACCTTGATCTTATCGATAGCCTGCATCTCCGCGAGGTCGTAGTGGTAAAGCTGCTTGATGATTTCAACCACGCGATCTGGCTCGGGGTTCATTGTCAACGCAGCGTGAAGCACGTCACGCTTCCAGCTGTAGTCCTTCTTGATCTCGCTGACCTGCTGATGGAACTTGTCCCACAGCTTGGCATGCCTTTTGATGTACTGGTCGAATTGATGAGCAGGCATTCTGAGAGTACGACAGATGCTGAGTTCAATGAGGATGTGAGTGAAGGGGTAGCGTTGAGGAAATCCAGTGGGTAATAAGAATGAATGGTTGAAGCGTTGATCACGACGTGAGTGCAACTGTGCCGATGCCAGCTATTGTTTACTTTTGCTCGGGCTCCGACAATCAGCGGGACCTGATGAGCGGTGCAGCTGCTCGCCACCGCGCATCAGTCATTCTAAGTCTTAGTCTCTGACGGCTGCGATACACAAAGAAGAGTGACCGAGGGGAAGTGGAAGAGGACGAAACGGTTTGATGGACAACGCGATGACGTCTAGTCGATTGGCAGATGCAGTTGCCGCGCGGTACAGTGGGTGGTGGCACCTCTCTGCCGCTTCGAGCACCTTCCCCACCCGCTCACTCAAGCACGTTCGTGAACACTCACACGAGCTGATGCCAAGCCCTCTGCGAGCAGGTACGCATTCCGAAGCACGGACGAAACAGGCCTCGTTGCTGTGAGACAAGACGCTGAGCTGTGAGCTGGGTAGCTGGGGAACGTGTCCTGCAGCGGGGCTCCGTTTCTGCCTACCTCTTAACTTCTACAACTGAGACACAGTCTATCGTCACGTTCGCAAAGCTCTCAGTTGCAAGCTGGCAAGACCGGGTAAGTGCTGAGCATAGCCAGTGCTCCCCGGTTACAGGATCGTAGTACCCGTATCTCTTTCGGCCGGAGCCCTGCCAGCAGTTTGCTCAGCAGGAGAAACTGCACTGCGATGCCTCACGTCACGCACCACCACCGCTGCGTCGCTTTCACTGGCGGGGCACCCCAGCCATGTTGTATCCCGATATCGACCATGCCCGTCATGCATGTCGAGGAAGGTATATAAACCGCCCTCTTCCCTTCTCATCGTAGCCTTCAACCCAACTCACCTTCGCCTCACTACAACCTTACCTCACACGCACTCAAGGCTTTGCCACAATCTACAAGCTCATCAAGCGAAACGCAATGACCTGCATGGGCAAGAAGGGAACTGGCGAGAACTTTGGTCGTGAGCACCTTCGGGCGACTGGGGCTGATCTCAGGCAAGTGCCGTGGTAGCTACCACCACGCCGACGGACGCTTCAAGTGCGGCTTCTGCAAGCGTCCCATGCCCGAGTGAGCGTGGTCGCCAACGCCTGCCTGCAGCAAACTACACTCTTGCTGCTGTCAGTCCTCGTCCTCCATCGGCTGCCATCCAGCTCTTATCTCATCCGACGGAAGCTCTTCATCGTCCGATGCTCTACAAGACTGGACCATCACACTGAGGCTGCCCGACGCAAGCTACATTTTGCTCCCCGGCTCCATCCTTCTCCGCTCTTGACATCTTGACCTATCTGGTCACTTCTTGATTCTTGTCCTGAAGCCTATAGTAGTCGTAGTCTGCGAACCTAGTGCATGCAGAAGATAACCCCCAGCCAGCTGTGCTGTCTCACAAACTAACCCACTGCATCTCTTCCACATGCATGTAAGCACTGCAGTCGCATGTAGACAGCAACTGGCCTTGTCGTACGAGCACGTCGTTTCCCCACATCTCATGGACGCGTCGAAATGAGACGATCAGGGCATCGCGCCGTCGATAAAAGGCAGGCACGCCGCCGTTGCCGCCGGCCACCAACACTAGCGTCCTAACCCCCTCTCCTGAATTGAAGATCGACAATCATGCCGAGCACGCCGAGCGACGCCACCAAGAACTCGAGGTCCTCTGCAGAGGAGCCGGGCCCTAGGGACATCAGGTGTCCTGGTGATGTGCTGACGAGGCGTAATGCTGGCAGTAAGTTGGACTTAGAGGGGCGGCGGAGAGGAACTGATGAGATGCAGAGAAATGCCTCGGCGCTTGGGACATTTGGGGTAATTACCGGTGCGACTTTTGCTATACGCCCATGAGGGTTCTTCGAAAGCGGAAGGTCTCTATGCCTTGGTAGCTGCTCCTCCTACTCTCCCTCTCCGTCAACCATCGCTCCATGCTACTGTGATACAGAGTCGCCTAGTTGTAGATATAGCCAGATGTAATGAAGCCTGATGAATATCCCTGCTTGTTGCCACCCTGCAGGAAACCTAATCCCCTTTGACCCTCACCAATCACATCCCTCCCATACCTTCCGATGCTGTCGGCGCTGGACCAGAAACAGTGCAGAGGAGACAAAAAGCTTTCTAGCGACGAGAAGTTTCGATCTTCTGCCCTTTGGGTGAACTCGTATGAGCCCAACGCTCTTCCATCTGAGCTACGTCGCTTGGTTGTTGGTTGCTGAGGAACGTCGGGCCGACGGCCTCAATGACCACAACGTTGTTTATCCGACAGTTTCCCGCCGATGATAGTATGACTGTCAGGGATACATGCAGGATAGTGCAACATGCAAGGCAAAAGGGGATACATGCATGCACTAGTGAGGCGGTGTTGCGGCGCGAGGTTCCAGACGGAGGGTCTTGGACCAGTCTTAGAATATAGATGACTGTGGCCCATTTACGCAGGGCCGCCCGATGCGCAGGCTCATCGACGCACCCACGAACATCAGAAGCTTGCGATCGCCGCGCAGTAACAGCATGGTGAATACGATCGTACCGCCGACTCCGAATCGATGGGGGACAAGATCCGATGTCGTACGTCGATCTCCTCCGTCGTCGATGCCTTTCAGATCCCACAGAGGTTCTATACTTAATGCAGTGATATCCTTTCTCCTCCCTCTCTACCATGCTGACTTCGTCCTCTGAATCCAGCCATATCCAGCAACATCGCCATAACGAACTAGTATGCGCTTCAAGCTCCCCACATTGTACGAGCGGCACAGAGACAACAGTCCCCGGTTCGAGAAACGGCTCTGCTCTGGTACGAAGACCAGACCGCACAAGAATCGGGCCAGTAAGTCGGCGAAGAGAAAGTGCTGATGAGCAGAGTGGTGTATTGGCGGATACGTTGGGCCGCATCCTGAGAATGCGGCTTGTTACTATTGCAAGAAGAAGTTGGAGGTGAAGCTGCCGTGAAAGGTCCCCTCCCTCGATCGATGCGATGCGGGATCGTTCGGACACATGTAAAGCCGTTGTTGCCTGTTGTCAGAAGTAGTTGTACCGTGAGATGCAATGAAGTTGTGAGGGTGTAGCTGCGCCCCAAGGCTCTGCACAGACGTGAGTGTCTTCCTCTCCGTGATGTCGCGAGGAAGCTCGCCGTCGCAAGAATATGACAACGATGCAAAGATGGGTAAGCTACAATCTGGATGAAATGCGGGGTATTCTGTCCTGTGTTTGACTGTGATTCCTATCCCCAAGCCTGCGTATTTCTGTCGTTAGTTACGGATTATGCGCGGCTAGCTTACGAGTAGTTGACGATCAGATGCCCCTCGGTCCCGAAACACTTGTACAGGCTCCCGACCGTGTCGTCGGGTGTTGGAGCGAACGCTCCGTTGATGTACGTGAACTGCCATAAGCTTCGAGTTCGATGAAATCGGAAGCTGCAGGAGGTACTCACTAGCGCGTCACTCTGCTTGATCCCGAGCTGGCCGCGGAGAAAGACGATGACGGACTGGAACTTGTTCCCGGCCGTGACTTTGAACACGTTGTTCTTCATTATTGGCGCGGAGCCGATAGACTTGAACCGCACGACGACTGTACGTCAGCTGTTCAGGTATGCTTACAACTATCTTCTTCGCTCAAGTAGTTGACGTCTGATCGAACTTGGGTTCTAGATGGACTCACTCTTCGCCGGGTCCTTGGCCCGATACGTGTCGAGCGCATCGGTCGTAGCCTGCGGCAGCGTTGGGGCGGACACGCCTGAACGTTAGCTTTGCACAATCCCCACAGCTTACCATCAATGGGCGCGCTCATGGTTGAGGTGGTGGATGGTCGAGAGAGTTGAGCAATGACCTCACCTCGTCGAGCGCACTGAGCGTCCAGACGCGGTGGAGGTCTCAGTCGCGTGTGTGGGGTCAACTGGACGCGGGCGGTGGCGAATTTGATCCCGCTTCTCACCATACGACCCTTCCACCAGGCCCGCCGTAGGCTGCCTCTCAAGGAATGTCGGTGACCTCCACCGAACGATACCGAGCGGCGGCCGCTATCGACGAGTTTCGGCGATCGACCACCATCGCACTCCGCAGCAACGTCGCGCGACGCTCTAGCCCGTCTAGCCCAGTCTGTCAATTGCACCACGGCGCGGACGATCGTGATGGTGCACTCTGGACGGCGGCCCGAGACCGTCCCATGAACATGTCGCAACCCCAATATGGCCCCCATCCTCCCACGCCTGACCACCTTAGGCTCGCTTTAGCGGTGCACCTGGTGCAGATGGTGCGGCAGCTGCACGAATATGTCTTATCTGCATGCCGCTCTGTTGGCACGATCCAGACCATCCGGTGCTAACACGGTGCGTGCCTGCTAGCTTGCAGGTTGGCGTGCGACTTCGGGGGTGACTCGCCGTTTCTTCGGTGCTCAGAGATCTTCGGGCCGGGTGCGTATGCCGGATACGCAAGCTGCTACCATGCACCTTCCTCGCACCTCGGGCCCTCCTTCAGTGTCCCCCTCTGTCCTTCCCTCTGACATCCCCAACATGCTATATAATCTAGACCCGCCGAGCGACTAACCTGCCCAAACCCCCAACTCAGCCGAGCAACATGGACAACTACAGCCTCCTCTTCGTCGGTCTCCTCACTTTTCCCCTCTCGACCACGACCACGCTCCTGGCCGCGGCTGCGCCCGCCTACGGCTCTGGCGCACAGCACGTTCGGCTCCGCGACACACACTTTTGCGTCGACGTCCCCACAGGCTCTGATGCTTCTGGACCCGTAGCGCTGCAGCTCTGGGACTGCGTCGACGGAAACACAAACCAGGCATGGCGGCATACCTCCTCGAGCCGGGCTCCGGGCAACCCCGTCGTGATTTCGAGCGCCACGCACAGCGGGAAGTGTATTGGCGTCACTAGCGACGGTGAGTCCACCCTTGTTATGAGACGCTAATGGAACAAGGGGCACACGACGGTGGAGCAGTGCAGCTCGTCGCATGCGATGAGAAGTTGACGGTTTGGGCGAACTCGCCATTCTCGCTTTGTTTGTGGGAGAACAGGGGTGAGTATACAGTCGCATGGAGTGACCTAGTGAGAGACGGAAGCAAGCCAGAAACCGAGGACGAGAAGCGATCAGGGAACCGGTCTTCGATCCGCGGTCCCAAGATAAGATTGGACCTGCGTCAATTCTCAACCTCTCGCTCGGAACCGGAACCTTGGCCTTCCCATCCATCGATTGCGCGCATGCCGTGATGGATGTTGCGAGCTGACACCAGACCTGTGCATCGACTTTGACGAGCCTGCCAACGGCGCAGGGCTCACGCTCAAGCAGACCCAGGCGCCCCACAGCTGGAGCCTGTACGACTCCATGAACTGATGCTCGTAAGGTGCGAACGTGTAACATAGGTCGAGAGAGTGCAGCGGAAAAGCCAAGAAATGCATATAGGGTAAAAGAAGATCGCTAAAACGTTGAGAGACCGATGCTCGATGTCAGGATACTAAGTCTACTCCTCCCCTTCGTCCCCGCTTCCTTCTCCGGCCAGCTCGGCCTGGAGCATGCGCGCAAACTCGTCCGTCTCCGTGTCGCTGCTTGTCGGGTCTGGACCATCGGATCCGTCCGCTTGCGACCCGTCCGCCTTCTCCACGCCGTCCTCGTGCGTGCCTGTAAGCCCATCCCCTGGCCTTGGCTTGTACACCATCCGGTTAGCCTCCGGGATATCGTCGTCGTCCGACGGCGCATCGAGCATGAGGACTTTCTGCTTCTTCTTGGGCGGGTATGACGGAATGTCCCCTGGTTGGGGCTCGCGCACGTCCTCGAGAGGCTGGTTCTCGTCATCAGCGTAGCGGACATGTTTCGGCGGACCAGGCGACGGGCCGCGGGAGAGGATCGACCGACTGGGCGTATTCTCGCGCGACCATCGATGCGGTTCCGGCGACCGGGACGCGGCGCGTTTCCTGTCGTTCTTCTTGTCCTCGTCGTCCTCGCCATCGGACGAGGACCAGTCATCGTCGTCGTCGCCGTTGATGAGCTCGTCGAGCTCGGCCTGCGCCGCATCGTCCCAGGCCGCCTTGAAGTCCTCGGCGTCCTTCTCTATGTCCTCCGGATCGATCTGCATAGCGTCCGGCACCTTGTCCTCGGGCTTTGGCGGCGTGTCCGGCCGCTCAATCCGGGGTAGTTGGGGCCGGAAAGGCTCCTCGGGTTCGCGCCGCCAGAAGGCTATGCTCGTCTGCAGCCACGCCAGCCACACAACTTGCACGTGCGGCATGCGCGAGGCCCGGCGCATCTTCTCCGTCCCGATCGACCCGATCACGCAGTGCGTCACCCGCTCGTCCAGCTCGACCTGGCACTGAGCACCAAAGGCTTCGGCCTGCTGCCAGATCTCGCTGTCTTGCGGTTTCTGGTTGATCGCGATCACGCCCGTGAAGACAATCACGCAGCCGGAGAGCATCTGGTCCTTGATCTCGCCGATTAGAAGGGGTACGTCGCACTGTAGGGGCATCTTAGTCGAGCCCGGAGACCGACTGTCGTACGCGTCATAGTAGTCTGTGTGGATCTCGGTCAAGATATCCTCGACGCGCTTCAGCTCGTGGTCGTTCACATTCAAGAACTGCCTGCGGTGGCGGTGGTGGTGCTCGTCGTGCTTTGAGACAGCCTTATCCTCACTCTTCGGCGGGGGCGCTCCATCCTTCTTCGGTCCATCCTCCTTCGGCTTCTCTGAGCCCTCGGCAGGGCCCGATGCCGCAGCTCCGTCCTCCTTCTTCTCCTCGTCGCCTGCCCCCTTCGTCTCTGCCTCGGGTTCGCCGCTCTTCTTCTCACTCTCCTTCTTCTCTTCGCCGTTTGCGGCCTCATCGTCGGGCTCGAAACCCTGTTCCTCCTCCAGCTTAGCCAGCGGACGGTTCTCAAGAATCTCCTGGAACAACTTCGTCTGCTGGTCGTGCCCTTCCTCGGTACTCGGGATGTCATTTGGCGTTTTCGGCGAAGGAGACGAAGCGGTCGAGGAGGCGGGGGTGAGAATGTTCGCCAAGGCGGTGACGGCGGGCTTCGTGGGAGGCAGGAATCCTCCGTTGATGTCACCGATACCGACGAAGAAGTCATCTGTGATGTTAGCTCGGCCACTCGACCAAAAGCTTACATGGAACAACCTTGACGAGGTTGGGCGAGTCGCCCCACACGTCGGAGCGATCGTCGATGATGACCACCATGCTCTGGTCGTGAGGGAACAGCCGTACCAGGCTCTTCGCACTCATAGCTGATGTCAGTTACAGCCAGGTTCTACGCAACTTACATCCACTCTCGTCTCGGCTGATGATGCGCCCACCAAAGTACTTGCCCTCTGGATCCACGATCTTGCAGATGGCGTCCGCGTACGATCGAGTGCCCATGGTGTAGACGTGCATCTCGTACAGTTTGGACATGTCCTCGAGGAACTTGTTCAGGCCCGGTCTGATGTCAGCTGTGCCTCGTTGAGATCTTAGCTTACCGAGGCTTGGTGTAGTACCATCGCACTGGCTCCGGCTGATGCCGCCGCGACACCCCTGGTGGGACGTCGTCGGCGAGCTGGAACTTAGCAACATCCTTGAGCGCCTCGGCGTTGGGGTTCTTTTCCCGCTTACGCTTCGGCGATCCGGGCGGGGTCGTACTCTCAGGCTGAGGCTCCTTTCCCGCGCCGTCGACGTCCATCTTGCCGTCATCGGCGGCTGTGTCTCCTGTCGTACCTCCATCATTCTCTTTGTTCTCTGATGCGGCCGCCTTCTTCTCCTCTTCAGCGTCCTCCTCGCATTCCTTCAGCCATTCCCCGACGGTGGGGTCGACAGTCGTGTGAATGATGGTCTGATCGAGATCGACGATCAGCGACAGGCGGCGCGTCGACAGCAGCTCCTTCTGAGAAATGGATTCTAGTCGCTTAGCCTCCTGGACAATGTCAGTCTTCAATCAAGAACAATGGACTTACATTCGTGGTGACGGTCACTCCAGACGCATCGTGAGTCATCTGGTAGCCGCCCTGCCGTGATGGTCCAGCCTCGTCCGCCGGCGCCGACATGTAGTCATCACTGGCGTCAGCACTGCTGCGTACTGCACATTGGAACTCACTTGGTGACATCCGCACCACAGACACCGCACATTCCATGGATTTGGACAGGATGGGAGCACGGTTGCTCGATTTCAATGATCGGTTTCCTGATTCCATCAGTTTACCTCAGCAAGCGGTGACTTACGTCGCCTGTCTCCGCTCGATCTTGCGGCCGGGCTGAATGTCGGCCTCCCACTTCAGGACAGTTCCAGAAATCGACGACTCCCAGCTGCCAACCATGTCACCGTCCCACTGTTGCGGACTGAGTCGCTTTCCCTGGCGCTCTTCGGTTTCCAGTTGTTTACGCTTGGTTGCCGAGAGGAACTTGTACTCCAGAAGAACATCACCGCGCTTCACGGACGTGCCGGCCGCAACGCGCACACGGACGACGGTGATGGGATAGGGCAGGCTGTCGGGCAGCGTGAGCGGCGTCGCGTCGCCCATTGTGGTGCGAGTTGGTGGTGATCGTGAAGTAGATTGTTGACGAACGCGCGACGAACAGAGGGCTTCCTAATTTATTGTCCCCGACGGGCGTCATCGTTTGGAGTGGAGTCTCCACTTCAGGCACGGTTGCCCAGCTGGTCTTTCCATTAGAAGCATTCGGAATAAGTTGTAATTAGAAGCTTCGGTACGAAGCGTGCTATTACTATTTGCCGTCAGTACGTTCGTTACGTAAAACCCAGAAGGGAGATTATCTACCCCTGACGGCCCGACCGCCAAAGCAGCTGGCTGTTCGAGCCAATTAATCTTCGCTAGTATATCGGTTAGTATAATCGCCTCTCATTAGAGAGATTCTAATCACTGATTGGAAAGTTCGCGATAGAGCAGGGTTCGACTCCCTGGCGGAGAATCTTTTGCCACCTGTTCGGGCTCGCAATGACATGCCTTCTGCTTTTGCAGAAACTCTTGAAACCTGACACTGTCGGTGAATTAGAATCGTATCGCAAGCTAGTAGTAAAAATACATGATGCTATGTCTAATCACTGTCATCTCCACTGCCGTATCCGCTCAGGAGCCCCATCCCTGCCTTGGCCGGGACCTTACGCGTGCGGTCTTCCTCAGCCTGCTTCCTCGCCAGTTCTGCGTAATACTTGATGTTCTCCAGAGTGTCGCCACCCAGAAGACCAGCCTTCGGCGCGGGCTTGCCGTCCTCAGCCTTTGACCTCTTGGCTGGCCGCGTGTCCTCGGAAACCTCAGGCTGCTGCTCGATCTCGTAGAGGTCGTCGATGTCTCCGTCCTCCAATGCCCTGAGGGTCTGGCTCGCCTCGATGAGGTTGTCGTCCAGCTTGCTGGCAATAACCTTCCGCCCCTCCTGGGCTATCCGCTTGTCCTCGGCCGCCTTGCCTCCCGGGTTAGGATCCTCGGTCGCCCATCTGAGGAGCGTCAGCACTGTTCCGTCAGATGTCAACTCACCGAACATTCAGAATCTCGTCCATATCCATGCTCTGACACTGCATCGCCTCCTTGGCGAATTGGGCGTTCGCTTCGTGGGTGTAGGACACGAAAGCGATTCCGCGGTTGTACAGAATGTTCCCTGCTGATCAGCGAAGTCCTCTCTACGTGATGTCCCGACTTACACTTGTCAATCTTGCCCCACTCTCCGAAGTGACGAAGCAGAGTCTCCTTGCTCTGATCCTTGTCCGGGCTCTCGTGCATCTTGCCAATGTAGAGTGTGCGGTTGGATCGATTGAAGGAGCCGACGCCACCCATGTCATCGCGGTACTCAGCGTGCTTCTCGCGCCCGAAGCAATCCCGCGAGTGGTCGATCAGCTGGGCAGGATTCGGCAGGCGGTGGAGATAGCTGCACTCGGATCTACTTGTCAGGGCGTGCCATGATCACAAACTTACCCGTAGGGACAGCGTCCTCGAGCAAAGAACAGGCAGCAGTACCGGTTTCCGGTCGTGTCGGCGCGGGTGTAGCCCGCATCGCGAGAGATCACACATCGCGTCTGAGACAGCGTTTGGCTTGCAGTCAGCTTCTATCTGCAGCATCTGATGCTTACCTAGCCAGAGCGTCCTCCTTGTCACCACCAGCCCATTTATTGTACCAGATGTCTGTAATCAGCGCAGTCCTGAATCGATCACTCACTGTATTCCTTTCCAGGCTGGACCTTCTCGCTAAGATCCACATCTCCCGGCTTCACCTGCTTGCGCGCGGGTCTGAGCTTCTTCTTCGTGACTTCGCCAGCCATGTTTGATACGGTTCAAGCGGTGATTGGGTCGACGGCAAAAGTGAAGTCATGGACGACTTTGTTGTCAGTAACCGATCGGTAAGTGGATTTGCTCCCGCCCGCCGCGGACCGATTTCGTGACGGAGAGATGTCCAGACCTTTCGTCATTGATTGCTGACCTCCCCTTATCACTCGACCCCGACCACAGCCTGCACAACACAAATGGTACAGGCTACGGAGGAGTCGACACTGTCGCCTGAGCGCTTCCTGGAGCTTCTCCAGGCGGCAGCTCACCCGACGGAGTCTGACCTGCCCTCCGAAACGCTCGCGGAGTCTCTCGGCATCTCGGCCCTGCCAACGGGACAGGAAGCCATCGACCTCGTCAAGAAGGACGTCCTTTCACCGCCGAAAGACCTCGCAGGTCCGGATCTCTGGAGATGGCAAGCCCCGCTTCCGTGTCCCGTTCCGCTTCCAGCTCTTCCTCTCGACACGCGACCGCCAACGCACATGGTCGCCCCGAGCTTCAAGGGCATTGATGGGACGTTCACGAAATGGCGCGACGCCCTCGCTCCCAAACCCCCGGCGCATCCGAGTCTCAGCTCTAGTATGCAGCGTGAACCTGCTGCTGCCCAGAACTTTGTTCGCGGTAAGAGCACGAATGCTCCTTTCTTGCCCGGCGGTCTCGAGCCGGCCATCACGTACGAGGAAGCAGAAGAAGAGCTTGAGGAGGAAGACGGCTGGAAGACCAGAGCTCCCGGTTTCCGACGCGGTGTCCAGCTGGAGGGAGGTGAGCTTGATTTGTAGGTGCCAGCTGACTCGCAGCCGATGACTTCCTCTCTCAAATGCTCGGAGACCAGAACATGACGACCAAGGCGAAGCGAAAGACACGCGGCGGCGACGATCCCTCCCTTCAAGTTTCAAGACTTGGCGACGACGAGACGACTGAGCCTGGAGAGCGCGCCCTGGTTCCCGCGGCCAAAAATGTCGATGATCTGCTCCCGATCGGTCGCCTGCCAGCGCCGCCGCCTGCTAGGAAGCAGTTTGAGAAGGTCGCTGGCAAACAGGAATGGGCTCACGTGGTTGATGTCAACAAGGAGCTCGTCAATTTCCACGAGCTCGTTCCGGAGATGGCCAGACAGTACCCCTTCGAACTCGACAACTTCCAGAAGGAGGCGGTCTACCGTCTGGAGATGGGTGACAGCGTGTTCGTCGCTGCGCACACATCGGCGGGTAAGACGGTGGTCGCGGAGTACGCCATTGCCCTCGCTGCTAAGCATATGACAAAGTGAGTTTCATGCGCAGCTAAGGCTAACACGCAGGGCGATCTACACCTCTCCCATTAAGGCCCTGTCTAACCAGAAGTTCCGAGACTTCAAACAGACCTTCGACCCGTCAACCGTCGGTATTCTGACGGGTGATGTCCAGATCAACCCTGAGGGAAGCTGTCTGATCATGACTACGGAGATTCTTCGGAGCATGCTCTACAAGGGAGCCGACCTCATTCGCGACGTTGAGTTCGTCATTTTCGACGAGGTGCATTACGTCAACGATGCTGAGCGAGGAGTTGTCTGGGAGGAAGTCATCATTATGCTTCCGGAGCATGTTAACATCATTCTCCTGTCGGCGACGGTCCCGAACACGAAGGAGTTCGCGGACTGGGTTGGGTAAGCTTCAAAAGAGCTAGAACTTAGCTAACATGTAGACGGACAAAGCGGAAGAATATCTACGTCATCTCGACCCCCATGCGACCTGTCCCCCTCGAGCACTATCTCTGGGCAGGAAAGGAGATCCACAAGATTGTCGATTCGAAAGGACAGTTCCTCGGCTCTGGCTACAAGTCTGCGGGAGATGCCCTCCGAAGAAAGCAGGACAAGGAGCGAGAGGCTGCCGGTCTTCCTCCTCTCACCCGGACGGGCGGTCGAGGAGGGGCTCCTGTCAAAGCGAGAGATCTGCCAACAGGCCGCTCTGCTCCGTTCTCCCGCGTGGGCGGAGGTCGCAGTCACACGAACCGAGGAGGTGGTCAGGGAGCACCTGCGCCCGCCAATGGCGGTCGTGGCGGCGGTGGCGGTGGTCGAGGAGGTCGTGGAGGTGGCCGGCCCGGCGGTCGTGGACAGCTCGACCAGAACGTTTGGACGCATCTTATTGCTTATCTTCGCAAGAACCATCTGCTGCCCGTGGTCAACTTCGTTTTCAGCAAGAAGCGCTGTGAGGAGTACGCTCAGACGCTGTCGACAACAGATCTGTGTGACTCAAAGGAGAAGAGCGAAGTCCATGTGACGTGGGAGAGGGCTCTCACGAGACTGAAGGGTACGTCGCTAATCCTCTAAGGGACTGTCTAACTTCAGGTACCGACAAGACTTTGCCGCAGATCACTCGCATGCGTGATCTGCTCAGCCGCGGTATCGGTGTCCACCACGGCGGACTTCTGCCCATTGTGAAGGGTAAGCTTCCGGAGCCCTGAATTGAGCTGACAGATCAGAGGTTGTTGAAATCCTCTTCGCCCGCGGCTTGGTGAAGGTGCTCTTTGCCACTGAGACGTTCGCCATGGGTGTCAACATGCCAGCGAAGAGTGTGGTATTCTCAGGCATCCGCAAGCACGACGGAACGACGTTCCGAAACCTGCTCCCTGGAGAGTACACGCAGATGGCCGGTCGTGCTGGTCGTCGTGGTCTCGACACCACTGGTACCGTCATCATTCTGAACGGAGGCGATGAGTTGCCTGCTCAGCAGGAACTGCAGGAGATGATGCTCGGCGTGCCGAACCGCCTCACTTCTCAGTTCCGCCTGACGTACAACATGATCCTGAATCTTCTACGAGTAGAAGCTCTGCGTGTCGAAGAGATGATTAAGCGATCGTTCTCAGAAAACGCGGCCCAGAAGCTGGCCCCGGAGCAACAAAAGCAGATCGAGAAGGTGAGCCAACTGCCGAAGGAATGAGCTGACCTTAGACTGAGAAGATCCTCGCCAAGCTGCCGAACGTTGAGTGCCCGACTTGCAAGCCGGACATCGAGGCGTACTACGACTTGTCGGCTGAGATTGTGCGCGTCAACACCTCCATGATGAACCAGGCCGCTTGGGCTCCTGGCAAGCACCTTGTTCCCGGCCGTATCGTCCTGATTCGCGATGCTCGTTTCCCTGGCAACGTCGCCATCATTCTACGCAATGCCCCGTCCGTTGTTCGCGAGGGTGTGAAGAGCGACGCCCGAGCCTACCACGTCCTCATCCTCGCCACGAAGCAGCAGATTGCCGACGCTTCTAAGCCTGAGCTGAAGGACTCGGAGCTTGCGCCCCGCTGGCCGCCTGTGCTGTCACCCAGTACCGCGCAGAACCCGCGCTACTGGCTGACTGCCATCGAGAGCTCGTCCATCGGCTTCGTGACCGACCGCCTGTTGAAGGTTGACGTCAATGGTATCCTGGACAAGCGCCAGAAGGAGCCGGCGCTGAAGGCGATGAACGAGCTCGTCAAGGTGCAGGAGGACATCACCTCGGGCGGAGAGCTCAACGAGGTCGACTGGGCGAGACTCAGCAAGCTGGAGTTCCAGGAGCAGTTGCGCAACCGCATTTCCCTCGCCGACCGTGTGTCCAAGCTAGGTTGCCAGTTGTGCAAGAACTTCGAGGAGGACGTAAGTTTCCGATGAAGAGGGGTCGAGCTGACATCAGTACGAAACGATCCACGAGCGCAAGCTGATGGAGGGTGAGCTCAAGTCGCTCAAGCTGGCTCTTTCGGACCAGAACCTGGAGCTGCTGCCCGACTACGAGTCTCGTGTCGAGGTGCTGAAAGAGCTCTCATTCATCGACGAGAACTCGACCGTTCTGCTCAAGGGCCGAGTAGCGTGCGAGATCAACTCTGCTCCAGAGCTCATCCTGACCGAGCTCATCCTCGACAACATTCTCGCGGACTACACGCCAGAAGAGGCGGTCGCGCTTCTGTCCGTCTTCGTCTTCGTAGAGAAGACGGAGAGCGTGCCCGAAATCCCGCCTCGCATCGCACAGGGTTTGGACACGATCTACGCCATTGCGGATAACGTCGAGAACTGCCAGCTGCGTCGGAACGTGGTCTTCGACGACTTCCGTGAGAAGTACAAGCCTGGTCTTGTCGAGGTCGTCTACGAGTGGGCACGCGGCATGCCCTTCAGCGAGATCACGAACTTGACGGATGTGCCCGAGGGCACGATTGTGCGCGTCATCACGCGCCTGGACGAGACGTGTCGCGAGGTGCGCGACGCAGCTCGCGTTATCGGCGACGCGGAGCTGTTCCAGAAGATGGAGGAGGCACAAGCGCTCATCAAGCGCGACATTGTGTTTGCCGCAAGCTTGTATCTTTAAGTCATAGATGCATATATGGGTGCTACTGTACAATGATTGCTCCTTCTTGGTCGAGCTCGTCGTATATGGATGACAAGTCAAAGTGTTTCGGTGGTTCGAAGCCGTTCTGCACATGGATCGCCTCAAGCAGCCCGACAACGGTGTTCGTGCGCTCACGCCCGCGCAGCCACTGCCGCACGACGCGCTCACGCCGTATCTCGTCAGGTAGTAGATACAGCCACCCCGTGACGTCGATCCACTGGAAGCGGCCGAGTGTAAGTGGCTGTCGTCCCGGCACGCTTCCACGAAGAGAGGCGCGCTGCTCAGCAGTAGGCGGGGACCGCTTCCGCTTCCCATCTCCTACTCCGGCCGCTTCGCCGACACGGCGGTCCAACGGCTCGTCATCCCGGATCACGTATTGCCGTCCCGAAAGGGCAACACGGAGGTCAACAGCCACCGCTTGCCTCTCCCCTGGTACGCAGAGCAGCACGAAGCGGTCTGTGATCGCGAGCATCCTGCCTGTCAGCTGAGAAGCAAGAGTTGACTCACTGGCCAATCAAGCGGAGCTTGCGCCCGACATGTCCCGGAGTCAGAGCCGAGAGCGATACATGCGCCGCGGACGGCGTCCCGTCGGCGTGGTGTACGGGTGGCGGGTTCAGCGTCCGTTCGGCGCTGTCCATGGCGACGAGGCCGGTTGAGTCATCTGCTGCGGAGGTGGAGGATGTGGAGGTTGTGACTTCAAAGGGTTGCAGCTGATGGTGATGGAACCAAACAAAAGCAATTGATTCCGCAACCACAGCCCCGCCCTCGTTGTGGCCATTTTCGAGATTTCCAGAAAATGGTCAGTCGATGTTGTGCCAGGTCAAGAAGGGACGGCATGCACACCCGAGTGGTGGCTGGGTGACTCGCAAGAACGAGAGAGTTACGAGTATCAACAGGGGCTCAAATCTCCTCACTAGCATCGCAATATCATCGCTACAACTCAGATCGAAGTTGGTTCCTGGGCCTCGGTCAGGCTGCGGGCACTGCGCTGCTCAGCAGATGGCGGCCAGTGCTACAGAGCCCAAGAGTGGGAGCCACCACCATGCTCCCATTTGAGAGGGAGGGAGAGCGGCAGTGAGCGCCGCGGAGCTGCCCCGCGTGTCGAGCATACGGTACGCGCCGGGCTTAGTATTCATCTCTTCGGTCAATGTCTTCGTGAGGTTGTCCAGACTGCTTCCGGGGAGCAGGGCACATAGATAGATGGGAAGGTCGGCGATCGCATTGGTGGAGGTGTTGACGATCGCACCACCTCCTGCCTTGGAGCACACATCGATCGAGTCCTGCACTTTTCCGAGAATGATTTGGCCATCCTCATCGAAGCTGTACAGGATCTCGCTCTTCTTGTCATCGTCAAGGCTCGACCACTTGTTGTAGTCTTGATCGGACATAGTGAAGCGTAAGATAAGAAGCCAGCGGCTGGGTGTACTGTTCAGTGAGGTGTAGTTGACTGGATAGGCAAGCGGTGGAACGCGGCAGAGGGAAGTAATGTTATGAGAAGAGACGGTGGCGATGTGGAGCGCCGAACGGACGCCGCTTAATACGAAGTGAGACTCGGAGCTGCCTGGCAGGTGGTCAAGCTATCGACTTCCCATCTTGAGGCCGTCCGCCCGATGTTAGTCTCCCAATGGTTATTGCGTTGTCAGAGCCCTCCTGTTCGACTCGTGCCGCTGCCTTGGAAACAGGCACAAAGCTAGGACTCAACAAACTTCGCCAAGCAAAGGTGGCAAAATAAGCTTCGTTGAGAGAGCAGATATAGCATGGCCCTTGACCCCTTGGGTTAGCCAGTGGTGCACCATCACATGGTGTGGGTACTCAGGCACGCACCGACAAACTCGCATCGGGGGGAGGGCAGTGTACGTGAGACCACCGTTTCGAGCATTCCATGCTGTAATGGGATTGCGTAGAGTTTCATACCGTTCCTTACTGCACCATGCGGTCTGCTTCAGGTCATGTCGATCATGTGGGCAGATGCGCACCGGGGCCGATCCGGGATGTCGGCGCCAGAGCGCTGGAGTTGTCGGCACGCTCAGGAATGGACTAGCATGCACCTTCATTACTATACATGCAGCCCCTTTCCCCGCTGGCAATGCAGTAACGATTGTGCTCCCATCATGGTTTTGGGCCGACATGGTGTGAGGTATGTAGACATTTATAGCTGAACGTAGTCAGACTGTATATAGAGGGAGGACCACTGGAACCTCCACAAGCGTTCATTGTCACTGCCCCAAGTGCAGCTGCTTAACGGACTGTGATCGTGAGACCTCAGCGGCCACGTCTAATCAGAGCTGAGTGCCACCAGATTACGACGGCTACTACAGAGCCAAAGGCAATCAGGGTCGAGCTGAAGTCCGGTTTCATCAAGTACGGTTCGCGTCGGCAAGCGCCGGTGTTGGTCTTGTGTCGTTGCAACACTCTCCGTGACCGGATTGCAAGACTAACCACTGCATGCATGGGCCCCCGTCACTGAAGGCCACAGTCTACCCATACAAACCAAAGGAGAGGGGGACGGGATGAAGCCATACATCCGACATTAAGGAGCCCATCCAAAATGCCCGCAGGTAGCTATGGTGCCTAGTTGGTTGCTAAGTCATGAGGAGGAAGGAGGAGCGTGCAGTGAAAACCATGCCCTTTGCGTTTGGTTCGGTCATAACAAAGACCGCATACTGTACAGTGCCTTCCTAAGAGTCAGCGGCAACTTCAAAAGCGTCAGACTCACCGCCTAGCAGACTACGGCCATCGCCAGGGAGGCGAGCAGCGGAAGCCACCACCACGCGCCCATATTGGAGGGCAGGGAAGCCGCCGGCCTGGCTGAACTTCCACTCGAGATTGTGTACATGACAGCAAACCAGCCGGTGGCGTTCTTATTCTGCGCATCCAGCAGGACGGAACGGACTTGAGAGAGGTTGCTTCCTGGAAGTGGGATGCACATGTGGGCTGGAACGTCACCAACGATCTGCTGGGCAGTGGGGCTCGAGATAGCTGCACCGCCACCTTCTGAACAATAGTCGATCCAGTTGTCTACGGGTCCTACGACGAGTTGACCATTGCTCACGTTGAAGGATAACATGAGGTCATCTTGGTGATCAGAGACGGTCTTGGTCCATTGTGTGTGGTTATCGCTCGACATGGTGAGAGTTGGAGGACGTAATATTGGTTCTGTTGCAGGCGGAGGGGATGAGCGTGATGAAGGCAATGATCCTCGCACTCGTACTCTTATGTGCCTCCTGCCCCACGGGTCAGCTGCCAGCTGAAACTCGCGCTGAATGCATGTCGGGGCTCAGGCACTCGGGGCTCCAGGAACAAGGTGTTGCGCAGCAACCGTTGATCAACGGCATCATCCGCATGACCTCTGGAGCCACCATACGTAAGGGGCCCCTGGGCCTCTAGAGTGCACTACAGACGGGCGTCGGCATGCCACTGTGCTGCCTAGGTCCTAAACTTGCTCCCCTGCCTTAACTCCGCTGGGGCAGCGGATCGTCGCACATACGTATTACGCCACATCTATTTATTGAGATCGTTAGTCACCTCTCAGTACACCTTCTCACAAGGCAGTCTCATGCATGAATCAGTGCCGAAAATCACAGCGTGACTGCGTATCTACTGATGCATTTGTCCTTCACTTCGACTACTGCAGAGCACAGCATGGGTCTTAGCTCGACAAGCATGAGTTGCCTCTTCAGCATACTACCAATTCTGATCGCCGACTGATAAGGTTTCAGGTGGTGTTTCGGATCAAGGTTGCACCAAAGGTCACGCTGCCGCTAATGTCTTAGTCGTACACATGTCGAGGACAGGCGTGACCCCGATGCCCAAATTGGGACGAAGCACGCTTGCACAGACGGTGGACGTTGACCGCCTCGCAGAGAAGGTGGCCCAATTGTCGCCGCCATGTTGCCCCGCTCGACAGTTGCGACACCGGCACTACTGACATGATGACGCCTTGGTGCCTGGCAGGGGGATGATGGCCACACAAAACGTCCGTCGGCGGTGCATTTCGAGTCGAACAAGGTCTCAGACCCGATATGTATGTCGCACCATTGCAAGAAGCGGTGAGTTGCGACAAGGCAACTGCAGAGCTCCGCATGATGAGAGCATGGCTCACTGCTGCATTCTGTGCTCTCACAGTCACAATGACAGCTCTCAGCTCGCCCGTAACTGCTCTAGTGTCAAGCGTATGTGACAAAGGCCGTGCAGACTCGGTGCTCTCGCGGCCTATTAGATCGATTGAAAGAGTTCGTGCTGCTTCCTCCTGATTTCATTCCAGATGTATTCGCTTTGTTGCTCGGCTGTTCCGGACTGACCGTGCAGAGCACTGATATCTGAGCGGTCAGATGTTTAACACGAGCTCCTCACACACCGTGCTAGCATAAGACAGTCATCGCAACAGCAGCTAAGAGTGGTAGCCACCACCAAGCCCCCAAGTGGGAAGGCAGGATAGCTGCCGGTAGAGCTGAACTCCCGCTCCGAATGGAGTCAAAGAGTGTATAGTTTCCAGAGGCGTTCTTCTTCCCGTCGAAGAGAGTCGTCCTGATCACATCAACGTCGCTGCCAGGATACGGGGAACACATGTAGACAGGGACATCGCCCACCACCTTCTTAGCGATCGGACTGGAGACCGCACCGCCGCCGGCCTTCGTGCAAGGTTCGATCCAGTCCTCCACTTTTCCGACGATGAGTTGACCGTCGGACACATTGAAAGAACGAATGAGCTCGTCCTGGTGGTCTCTGACGATGTCCACCCAGTGAGAGAGGTTGCCGTTCGACATTGCAGGAATCGGCGGAACGCTGCCACAATCGAAGCTGTGTCGGGATAGGGGGTGAAAGGCAGAGCCAGGGTGCGCAAGGCGACCTTCCGTCCTCTTATACTTGATGATGAGGGCGGGCGAGAATCGTGTTCCGCGCGTTCGCTGTAGGCCGCCCGTCCCACTCCAGGCGCAATCCGAAACCAGGCACGTCGCGATGGGGCGAAACGTCCGCCTGCGGGATCTTCTTGATGCAAAGTTTCTCTAGCGTCTTGCTTGAACCATCATTGGGAAAGGGTATGCTGAACAGGCAGCGTGCCGACTGCCAGATCGCCGGTGCCCCGCTCTTGAAGCGGTCGGCTCATGACCGCGTTCCACAAGCAGGAGACAGTGAACAGCTTCCGCATGTGGTGATTCTGACGCCAAGCGCCCAGTGCAATGCTAATGCGGCCGACATCGGCATCCAAAGACATTGCCTGTGCGGAAGTACGTAGTGCTGGCCGGTAGGAACCTATGCATCAAAGCAAGCAGTCCTGCGGGTACGGATTAGCTGCACGGCAGGAGTCGTGCACTCTCAAGACAGTAAGACAGTGGCCAGGTCACTTTCCACCTGACCGCCCAATCTGGATACTGCGACGCAAAGGATTTGTCTGGCATCAGCTCGGGCTTCTGCATAAGGTGCTTACATCAGTTCAGCCGGGCCACTGATGCAAAGAAAAGTAGCAGTAACCACCAAGCGCCTTGCGAAGGGGATACTGCAGTCGGGCTGCCGGCCGATGAGCTCGCTGAGCCGCGCATATCCAGTTCGGCATACCAGGCAGAACCGTTGTGGCCGTTCACATAGGCCTTGTTGATGCTGGAGACATTGCCTCCCGGTAGTACCGCACAGAGATATACTGGTATATCGGCGACCTGCTTAGTGGCAGGGTTTACGACAGCGCCTCCACCTCCTTCTGAGCAGAGATTGATGGAGTCTTCGACTTCTCCGACGACCAGCTGGCCGTCTATGTCGAAAACTGACATGAGCTCCCGACCTTTAGCTGTCCCAGTTTTGAGCCAATTGTCGTGGTCATTGTCGGACATGCTGTGGCGCAGATGTCGTTAGTCGTTGCTGAATATAGTCAATTCGAGTGCCGAACGGGAAAGTGGAGGAAAAGGTAAGCCGGTGTCCCTCTCAAGTACTTGGGCTTTCCAAGACTCCTATCGCAGCTCCCCACAGTTGACTGCATCCTGTCACATGAGCAACCAGCTTCGTGACGAGAACTATACACCAGGAGCGGAAGTGGGGTCGATGGACCAGGTACGACGGCCAAGCCACCAGGGCGTCAGATAAGGTTTTGGAATGAGACATCTAATACAAGAGAGCGGTGGGGGCCATGGTACAGTTCCCAGCTTTGTATTCAGGGTACGGCATTGGTCGTAATCGTGCACCAGCGATGAAGGCGCCGGGCAGAGTGAACTGAATATTTATACAACGGGCTTCGCAGACGGTTCACCTATAGTTACAAGCCGGTGGGACATTGTCCCAATCGTTACACCAGCCGTAGTATTCCTCCCTACCGCTGCCAGCTGGCATCATACTGCAGAAGTCGGGCACAGGCTTTGGGATGGCGTGTCCACAACAGCCCTTGAAGCAATTCTCGGCTGCGGCCTCCTGCGGTGAATCGGCATGGACGAGCGTGACGCGGACGGCCGTGGCGTCGTATGGCATGCCGGGCACGTCCTCGATCAAGAAGCCGCGCTGCCATCTCATCTTCTGAGCGGTGAACCAGACATGGCACTGGCCTATGGGTCTGTCAGCCTCTGGACAGATAGGTGCTTACCAGTGATCCACGTGCACGTTGAAGAGATGGACCGCGTCCAGCTTCGCGTCCACGAGTATCCGAAGCTGAGTGCGGCATTCGCAATGTCATTCTTGACACCCGCACTGATACCAATACTGAAGCTCTCGGAGGTGGTCTTTGACCACCCCTTTGTCTGCGAGCACCCTCCGTTCTGCCCACACATCATGGTGTTCGAAGAGACCTCCCAAGCGTCCTGCCACTCCCCAATCGCGAGCATGACGTAACTGTGCGAACCAACTTCGCAAGCTTGGCGGCGCTTCTCCAAGGTTCCTGATCGATTCTGTCTGCTGCGGACGACGCGGGCAATCTCGTCGCCAAGCTTCACGGTCCGGGTCGCAGTCAGATTCCAGTCGGTAGTCGAGCCCTTGCTGGTTATAAGGACGTCTTGAGACAGCTCACGAGAGGCTAGGCCATGGTTGTCCAAACCCTCAAAGTGGACCTCGACAGGCACGCCGTTGACTTCATAGAGACCGTCAACGAGGCCGTTGGTGATTGGTGATGCTGCGTCGCCTGATGCGTTCCCTGCCGCAGGGTGAGGTTGGATGCCAATCACCTCAAAGTCGGGTAGTGGCTTCGCATGATCCAGACTCCTCCTGCCGCTCTTGTATGAGAGCTGCGCCGCCGACATCGCGTACATCTGGCCGTAAGCCTCCCAAGTGCCAACACTGTGCTTATTGCGGGCGCACTGGGTGATGATCTGCTCCGTTGCGTCCCAGCATTCCGAAAAACTGCCGGTCTCCGTGTGAGCCCAGAAGGCGTACTCAACAGTAGTCCAGTAGCGCGGCTCCACGGTCACTTTGGCGAGGTAGCCTTGGTCGATGTACTGGTTGGCCCAAACGTTGGAGCATAGCTTCTCGCGTGCTTCCCAGAGCTGGGTTTCTTTCAGATTGTTAAACCAGCCGCAACACTGGGCGGCATCACTCGTCGGTAGTGCCAGTAAGGAAAGGAGGAGAGGGAGCATGGGGCTGAAACGAGTGTCGTGTTATAGGTTGGGTTGGTGATTGAAGCAGAGTGAGCTGGTCTTATATCGTTTCCATTGAAGACCACAGCTCGATTGCGAAGCTGAAGCTAAACAAATGAGTTAACTGCAAGGCAGAGGCCATCCCAAATCCTCTCGGCGAAGTGCGCAAAACCAGCTAATGCCAGCTGCGCAGAGCCACTCGCGCGTCACATGAGCATCCGGTGCCTCGTGCGCAGCGAATGCACGACGTTGAGCTCCGGCCGAACACCCCTGTTTCAGCCTTCTGCCTGGACAAATGATACTGCTCAGTTAGACTGGATGGCACTTATACCTGACACAACGATGAGCAGCCAGCGAGTGGAGGGTGTGACGAGCGAAATCCGCGGAAACTGTGGAATCCGCCACTCACGCTGATCGCCTCGTCGATCACCAGCTGTGAGTGCTGATCGCATGGTGGCGTCTGACCAAGGCTGGACGCCCCGGGTGCCCAGGGTCTACGGCTGTGGCTGATGTGTCGAAGTGCGGAACAAGTTTCACGATCAGGACGAGCTTGTCTCCGAATCGGTTGCGCAGTCAGAAGAGTGCGGCCATCTCTCAATGACCGTGCTGATTCGAAGGCCCCACACAGAAGCTGGGCACGCCCCCTACAGGACAAGCTACAGACACGCGAAACTGCAACCACAGCGGCAACTTGCCACCAACTATCACATCCACCACCAATATCTCAGCCCGCCCGAACCTGCATGCGAGTTGACTATCCTCCGCAATGACAGAGCTCCCACGAGCACGTCGAGAACACGACGTCGTGCCGCCTTGATAAGGCTCAGCCCATAAGTTACCCGGAACTGGAGCGTCCGCAACAGTTTGTCACTCGGGCTTACTTATCGATGCACAGCATGCCACCGTAGACGAGTAATGTTGTCCGAGACGCTTTGACATGCCCCATCAATTATCATTAGCATTATAAGAGCTATTACTATAGTACCGACTGTGCCTACTGAGCCGGAGGGGTCTTCTTCAGTTGATCGCCCGAGGGCGAGCGACTAGGCAGCGATCTCCTCGAGCGTCATCTTCGCTTCTCCCTTCGCGACTCGGTTCAGGATCCTGCGCATGACCTCATGCACCTCCTCCATGTGCGCCGTGTCCGTAACGCTTCCCTCGCGATACGTCGACGTGATCCTGATGCCGCCCTCGTGTCCGACAATGTTAGCATAGTACGGCGCACCGTAGGGGCTCGCGGTCTGGCCCCAGATCATGTCGCTCGCGCCCGGGGGAAGCTTGACGAGGCCGAGGTTGCTGACAGTGAGAGACTCGCGGTACGGTGTCGGTGAAGCGGCGCGGGCGTGGAAGTACTGTTCCCATCCTGTGGGCAGGGCGGGGTCGCGTTTCGAAGCCGGGATGTCCGGGTCCTGGACGTGGCCGAGGAGACTTATCGTCATGCGCCCGTCTTGCAGTCCCTGGTCAGAGGAGAGCTCCCCGGACAGCTGGGCTGCGAAGGGCCACCACTGCTGCTCTCCGCTGAGGACGTGGTGTACCTCGGTCGACGTTACGTAGTTGTGCGCGAGTGCGCTGTGCCCTAGCTTTACATCTCGCTCGTCGCGCGCCGTAGCGGCACCAAGACGCAGTGGAGGCCGTCCCTCGACCTTGGCAGCGACCTTGGTCGTTCCCCGTCCAGCGTGGACGTACCAGATCGCGATCATATACGCGGCCTTGAGGAGGGGGTGGAGCGTCTTGACCCCGTTCGCCTTGCTGTGCACTTTGAGATCCTTCACCTCCTCGGGTGTAAGGGACAATAGGCGGATATCCTGAGGCACGTCGAAGGGTGCCTTTTCCACCGCATGGCCGGGCCACGGATCGTCCTTCGTGAACGGTGCCTGCACCCAGAGCGGGAACTTGGGCAACAGCAGCTCGCGAAACACGATCGGCGCGAGGAAACGCAGCGTCGGCGTCATGGGGATTGTATCGTCTGCTCTCGTTGGAGAGAAGAGCGTCTCCTCGGGAATGTCACTGCCATCCTGCAGAGAGGTTAGGAGCAGGCTCGAGCCGCGCCCGTCGATCACGAGATGGTTGAATGCCAACGTGAGATAAGACCGCTCAGCGCCCGGCTTCGAGTACAAACCGACGCACCACATCGGTCCGTCCAGTGGCTCAGACGAGAAGCGCTCCATCTCGGCGCGATAGACTTGGAGCGACTCCTCGGGTTCTCCGCCAGAATAGGCGCCTTCGAATTGACGCACAATCGCGGACCTGGGCCAAGGCGCGCCCTCAACATAACCGGGCTTGTTCGTATCTGTCCCAGACAGGCGGGCGTGCAGGATCGGCTGGGCGCTTTGCAGCGCTTCAACGCGCGCCTCGAGCTCCGCCCTCGGAGGCAGTGAGGCGGAAGGGTACGTTACGACCCAGAGGATGACGTGCCGGAAGCCCGTGTTCTGGCGCATCAGGCTGTACCGCTCATGGTACGTCACTGGAGTCAGCTCGGGACGAAGCAGGGGACGTACTGGGACGGACGCGCTGCCCATTGTCTGCAGAGGGGCCAGTCATGGCGAAGAGTTTGATGTCTAGAAGAAAGACGACGTTGTCGCCTGAAGATGTAGAGTCGACGCGACTGGACGACGCGCTCGACCCGGTTCCGATGCCCGGCGGCCGCTGCGAAGGCGATGTGCTGCGCCCTGCGTCGGCGGAGGCCGAAGATCGGCGGGCAAAACACGTGGAAAAGCCTCCGCTTGAGATGAGACTGACCTCCACCTCCACCTGGCTCACCTCAGCATCAACCTCCTCTCGGCGCACGTCACGAGCCAAAGTATCGGCTGACATCTCACGGGCATCTTAGAACTGTACTCTACTCTCCACAGCTCTAAGAAATGACCTCCGAGAGACCTACGTACCACGGCTCCTCTTACGTGACATCTCGCCCGTGAGCTGTCCTCTCCGCTTCCGCTGACGAACAGGACCTACCCGCGCCGTCTCTATGACATCATTTACGCGTACCACGAAGCTGGGGGAGGCGAGTTCGAACACGCGCTCGATGTCGGTTGCGGGCCGGGCTTCATGGCGCTCGAGCTTGCGAGCCGCTTCAAGAATGTGACAGGCATCGACCCAGAGGACAGCATGGTCGCTGCCGGCTTGCAGCCTGAGTCGGGAAACAAGATCAGATACGCAAAAGGCACCGCCGAGGATCTCCCGGCCGTCGGACTGGGGGCGAACAGTATCGACCTCGCTGTGGCGGGCGAGGCGGCGCATTACTTCACGCACGAGAATAGCTGGCCACAGCTTGCCAAGGCGCTGAAGCCGAAAGGAAGCATTGCCTGGATCGTAAGTTCCTCCCTCAGAGGAGTGCTGACGGCAGGGTTACGGCCGCATCGGATTCCCCGACCACCCGCAAGCCAACGAGATCATGTCGTCCTTGATGGATGCTACGCTTTCTCCATACTGGTCTGAGCCGGGATGGTCCATCTCCGAAGGTCTGTATGACCGGATTCCCTTCCCCGTCCAGCCTGACGCCGACAAGACGCTCGTCGACAAGCTCCCCGACCTAGAGGGAACGGACACGCCCTGGACACGCTGATCGACGAGCCCAAGCCGACCGGCGACCCAGACGGCGCGTGGGACCCCTCGTCCGCCCTCCGGTGCAAGTCGGGCACGTCTGCGGGCAAGTGGTATCTGAAAGAACACTGGACGCTGGCGCAGGTCGAGAAGTGCCTCCGGTCTTGGAGCAGCGTGAAGCGATACCAGGACAAGAACCCCGGTGATCTGGACGGGGAGCAGCCCGATGTTGTCAGCCGCGTGATTGCGCAGCTGGAGCCGATCCTCGGGCCAGAGTTCAACGTCGCGTGGCCGCTTGTCGTGCAGTTCATCCGGCGCAAGTGAGCTGAAGTGAAGGATATGTAGCAAGGTCAGAAGCAAGCAGTAGTAAAAGCAGCGAATAGGCATGCATCAGTGAACAAGGGCAGACGGAGAGCATCGGTGGTTCGTGGGAAGCCGAGTGCCGAGTCGAAACGCGGATCCGGCTATCTGTGACAATTCACCGAGTTCATGTTCACTCCGCACAGTCCGCCATCAGCCACCCACCTTCCATCATCTCCTCCCTCGCTCTTCGCCACTGCGCCTCTCTATCCCACTCCTTTCCTACTCCATCCCGCTGCCGGTGTCAAAAGCGGCATCGGCACCATGCGGTCCGACCTCACCTACTTCCCGCACATCTGCGCCGCGATCGTCGCCTCAGCTCCAGCCAGCACGCTCCTCACGCTGCGACTAGTCTCTCCGCTCTTCGCCGATCTCGTCGACCGCCGCCTCCTGGAGCATGCCGTGTACGGTGTGCGCGAGGCGCGACTCGTGTCCTTCCTGTTGCCCGATCATCCACTCCCCAGTTTCTCAGCAGAAGCCGTGCGCGTGCTCGACCTAACCATGTCGCTGCGGTTCGCGGACCGGCCCCCGGACGACGCGCACACGTCCATCATGGGCGGCATGCTCGACGGCAGGATTGTCGAGGACGTGGCGGGCATAAGCGTCTCGGACGAGCTGTGGTCCGGCAACGCCAAGGCGCCGTGGGTGCTCGCCGACCCGCCGCGGACGCCGAACGGCTCCGCGCCCGACGAGGTGCAGTTGCCCGATGCGCTGCCCCACTTCCCGAATTTGAGAGTGCTGCGGAGTCTCAACTACCAGCCGGTCGTGTTTCCGCATTTGCTACGGTACACATACGTCCCTGTCGTCGTGTACCCTGCCTCGAGGGCCATCTCCTGGTCTCCCTCGCGAAGAGCTGGGGGACGGCTGGTCGGCGGAAGCATACGGGCACCCCGGGCCGTGATCGCCTTCGACTGCCCGCCGGAGGGAGACTTCAGCTTCTACTTCCGCGCCAGGCAGCATGAGAGGCTCGACATTGTCCTCGTCCCGGGGCAGTGGAAGGAGAGTCTCGGACGGTACGGCGCCGGCGCTGCTGATCCGGCATTTCAACCCCAGCTTCCGCCAAGTTACGACGCGGCAGAACTGCCCGGATACACGACCAGCGAGGCGATAGTGCACACGGGCAACGGGCTGGCGACCGTCGTTGTTCTTCCCGAAGTTGGGCCGAGGAATCCGCTCCGAGGCCCGCCGCTCGTTGATCGCGTCACGTCGGGCACGTTCTGGACCTGTCTCACGGATGAGGTCGCGCATCACGTCGAGAATGGGGGCACGTGTACTGTCGTCGGTCTCGAGGCTTGGGACGCCATGACGCGGGACAGCGCGCCGGGGTGGGATGGGAGCTGGGCTGAGATCATGACGCGCGACGTGGCCGTGGACGAGATGGAGGAGCTGGGGCTGGAGGCGAAGGAGGCGAAGGAGGGCGGGGTGGGGAAGATGGGCACGCTCAGCTTCGCGACACTCGATGAGTGGCGCGACGCCGAGGAGAACACGTACGTCTGGGATCTCGTCGTTTGAGACTGATCACCATGCATACAACTATACTGGAAACACCGAAAGAGCACCCTACGTGTATAGCAGGGGGACGCCACTGCCGCGCCATGTATCCCTCCCCCACGCCTTCTCTGTCCATGCCCGCGCGGCGTCAATGTCGTGACACCCGCATGTATCCGCCATAGCGTCAAAGATGCGCTGCACCTCTGGCCGCCTGTCTTCGGGCGCAAGCCCGCCTCCAACGAGTAGGGGCAGCATCCAGCGCACAGTGTAGATATCTCCATACACCGCCTCGGCGAAGAGCTCGAGGATCGCGTCGCAGCCGCGCACGAGCTGCGGGTCGGAGGCGGGCAGCCCAAACCCGTCCATGGCGATTATGCAGATCAGCGCCTGGCGATAGAGCAGGTCGCCGATCTGCACGCGCGGGCTGTGCGCCGACGCGTAAATGTCCACGAGGACCGAGTTTGTCAGCGTGTCGTACAGAGCCTTCATGCGGCGCTGTCGCGGTGTCCGCTCGCCGCGCTCTGCGCTCGAGCCGCGCTCGTACCGTCCGTCGTGGCCGTAGAGACAGCACACGGTCTCGAGGAGGTACTTGGCCATTTCGACCGAAATGCCGTATCCCTCCGGAATCAGGCGCGAGGTCACACTAATGGTGTCGAGCCACTCGGGCTCGATTTCGAGCCAGCTCGCTTCGCCGCGAATCAGCGCGTAGAGCGCGTCGAGGAGCACGACCTGCACTACCTCCATCGTTACTGGCGAGAGATTGTTGGGAATGTTGGGGGCGGCGCGCTTCACCCAGTCGCACTCCATCTTCAGCGTTGCTGGGCCTAGAGGGTCGGCGGCGATGATTCGGCACATGACCTGGAAGCCCATCGTCATCGCCATGCGGTAGTGCATCTCCTCGACCCAGTCGTCATCGCTCTCGACCTCGGGGCAGAGCTAGAGCACCTGCAGCAGCGCATTCGTGGAGAGCTGCAGCAGGGCGAGAGCCCCGGAGAGGTGCTGGTCCGTGCTGGCTACGCCGCGTTTGCGGCTCCAGTATGCCAGGTGCACGGCGCCGACGGCCACGAAAGCGTGGAGTAAAGCCGCCTGCATCAGGTTGTTGATCACGTCCTGCGTGGGGTTCAGGATCTCCATCGATGTCGACAGCATGCTGAAGCCGGGCAGACCATCAGGGAGCAATTTGCCGTGGCACTCGATGTAGGCGTTCCAACACCGCTCGAGCACCATCTGGCGGTACTCGCTGAAGGCACGGCGCTGGTCCGAGTAGTAGAACTGCGTCTCGGTTACTTCGGACGCCTCGATGAACCACGTCAGGCCATAGTCCTCTACCGCTCGGGACAAACGATCGACGTCCACAGGCTGTGGCGACAGATGACCGAGAGCGGCACCGATAGGCCCGCTCGGCGACACCGCAGGTAGCGATGCTGGATCAGCCAGTCCAGGCGGCGGCCGTACTGGCGGTGCCGGGTGCAGAGGGGGCTGAGTGTGAGATGTCGACGTGCTAGGCGAGTCTAGCGACGTGCTCGGGCCCGACATCGGGGGCGTGATGGGGACGAGGTCAAAGTCGTACACGCACTGCCGCGGCTTCTTGCGCGAGCTGGCGCTGCAGTTGGTGCACACCGGCTAAATGTTAGCGATCACTGGCTTCTTCGCACCTACCCTCTTCTCGTCACACTTGATCTTGCGCTTCTTGCATGCTCCGCATCCAAAGACGGACCTCGACTTCTTCGACGCTGACGCGCCGGCGCTCGCCGTCGGTGCCATGGCCCGCTTCACCGCGGGCTGCGGTATACTCGTGATGGCATCGCCGCGACTGTGGTCAGCTAATACGTCGAAAAGAACACGAGCTGCGGTGCGCTCGACCCCCGCGCTCGGACTCACGCCCATGGTTCGATCCCGCTGTAGCCCCTGCACACTGGGGCGTTCTCGCTGAGCCACCTGTTCGCGGCGCGTACGACGGTGTCCCACTCCGCATACGCCGAAGGATGGGCATGCCCGCACGTGCACGCGGCAGTAGCGGCGGCGGCGGCGCTCCCTGAGCTGCTTGCCGACCCCGAGGCTCCCGCCGCTGCCGGCCCCACTCCCGCCGCTGTCGAGGGTCCCGCCGCCGAGGGCCCGAGCGAGCTCGGAGGGATGGTGATCTGCAGCGATCCGTCGGGGGTGTAGCTGAAAGTCGCGTGGACTGTCGCCAGGGGTGTCGCTGGGGGTGGTGGTGCTGCCATGAGGGCCAAAAGATAGCGATATGGGCGATGGGGAAAGGGTTGAGTGGGGAAGTGGACGGTGACAAACTCGGTTCACGCGAAGCTCGGCTTACCCGGCGCGATAACCGTTGGCGGAGAGGGGGGCGAACTCCGTGTTGTGGCGCAGCGCTACGAAAATAGGCTGGGGATCAGCTTGGCAAATGTCGCGTGATGGCGAATGGAAGTGTTTGGATGGTGGGAAGATCGTGGAAGTGGGTGAATGAGAGGTAATAAGTGCAGTGTGAACGTGGATGCACTCGCGGTTGAAACGGGTCCCAAGGGAGATCTCGCCGGCGATCTCAGACACGGCTACGGATCAACTCGCTCCGCGCTTACTCATTGTGCCCCTCGGTAAAACGTCACGCTCTGGAGACTGTTCCGGGTATGACAAGTGTGTGCATTAGTCTGAGAAGAAACGTCACGTCGATCTCGGAGGGTAGGACCCGGCTGCAACTGAGTCCGGTATTCTCATGAGGACACTGCAACAGGCGCTACGCGCTACGGAGGCGCAACGGAAACGGCTCCGCTCGTTTGTGGCGTCGACCCAACAGTCGGGAGGAGGACTAGCGTGTCCCGGTTCCAGCGGAGCTACTGATGTCCAGAGCAATGTGGCCAGGATAGCAGAGAGGTTCATCCAGCCTTCCTCGTCAGATCTTGGCAAACCGGGACATTGTGCAGACTCGACCCACTGCGCATTGAGTTCGGGACCTCGGCACCCTATTGATGCAGAGATCGGTCAGTGGGAAACTGGCTCTGGGTTGGTTCAAGACAGTCTGAACTGAGAATGCTATAACCCACGAGATGACCTGCCCGTCGCTCCTCATCCTGCCATACTACAGCGCACGAGGCTCCAGCTCATGGCCACCTGCTCCGCCTCCATGAAGCGCACATCCATTGTCCGGGCCCCATAATCGTTCATTCCGCGTCCAGATCATCCCTTCATCCCCTCGTCCCCATCGTAACGAGGCAACATGTGCTTCCTCCACCGCCTCGTCCGCCGCGAGCAGTCCCAAAAGTCCGAACGGACTGCCCTCCTCTCTGGTCCGGCTGCCGGTGTCACCTCCGTCCCGATCTCAGCGACCACCTCAGAGACTCTGGGCACTTCGTCCACTCCAGCCCGGCAAACTCATCACGGCATCGGCCGTCGTATCGATAACAACGCAGTCGATCCCGTCGATCCCTCTACCTGCCTCACGCATGGTGCAAGAGAGTTCGAGACGCCGCCGGTATACGAGCGCTCGCCGTCTTATACGCCCACACCCGCCCCGGGGGAGAGGACACTGCGCTCCTCTGTCTCATCCGTACCCGCCACTCCTCCAAGCACCGAGGGCACAGGGGGCACAGGGGGGACAGAAGGCCCAGAGGGCACAGATGGCACAGATGGCACAGAAGGTGTCCATCCTCCCGCGTACGCCAAGCAAACCTCGCGCCGCTCCACCCTCGCGCTCTTCGTCGAGGGGGACCGCTTCTCCCGTCCTCATCCCCCCCTTTCCCCTCGTCACCTTCGTCCCCTTCGTTCCCTTCGTCCCTCGACCCGGCCTCTTCATCCTAAGAAGAAAGCGAAGAACAGCTCGCTCCGCGCCGATCTCCTCGGCCACAACCACAGTTCCTGGAGTCTGAGTTCGGATAGCTCCGGTCTCGACTCGGACTCTGATTCGGACTCAGACTCGGAGACCGACCATGCGAATGTGTGTGAGCGTGTGGGAGGATTAAGGAGAGAAAGGGGAGAACTTGGATCGCCTTGGTGGGCTGCTGCTCCCGCCCCGGTACCTGTGCGTTGTCGATCGTAGACGATTAGACAATGCAGTGTCATGTGGATTGGCGTCCAATAACTGATTGCCGAAAATCCTCGACAAGCGCCTTGCATCGCCCTGCTTCTGCTCTCTCGCACCACGGCTCCGCCGCTCGCTCATTCGAGTTACACAAACACAATGCATATCAAAGAGTACAAATAACGTCCATTTATCATGATGCGTACAGTTCCTACGCGTGGCTAATGTAAGAGTCTTGGGGTGCGATGCAATTATTAAACTTTTAGTTTACGCAATGTCTTTACGTGCCGAGCGGCGGCGGTCCGCGCTGGGGCGCTCGGTGCCGCCCGAAGTACGCTTGGCCGCTGTCGACGTTTTCAGTGCCGCAGCGGCGCCCTTCGGCGAGGTCACCTTGGCAGCGGCCCCGCTCGCGCCTGCGGTTGCTGGCGCAACCGCCGGCTGCACACTCCGACGCCACTCCTCCATCCTGCTCTGGCGGTCGGACTGGCGCGGCGGCTGGTGGTTCGTTAACGTGTCGCCGAGGGACGGCTCGCGGGCCGTGTCGCCGCGCTGGGCACGGGGGAGCTTCTGCCCACCGGCAGCGGCTTCAGCCTCCTTGCGCCGCTGCAGTTCACGGTCGATGCGCTGCTGCCGCTCGTACTGCTCCTTGGCCTCGGCGAGGGCCATCTGCTCCCGGATGGGCGCAGACGCCTTGTCCTGCATCCGATTCAGCATCTCGCGGTGCCGTTCGGCGAGCTCCTCGGTCGTCATTGACTTGGTCGGGCGCGCACGCTGCTCACGGGCCTGGCGCTGGGCGGCGAGAGCGGCTGCAGCGGCGGCACGGCGCTCCGCCTCCTGGGTCGAGATGGCACGGGAGAGGTCGGCGCCATACTGCTGTCCAGGGGTCATCTCCTTGGCACCAGTGACCAGCGTGCTCATGGTACCGTCGGCGTTGGTGCGGCGGTTCATAGCACGCGCGACACTGTCAGACACGGCAGTAACGGTCGGGACCTGGGGCAGCGGCTGAGGCTTGGGGGCGGGTGGCGAGACAATCTGGCGCTGCTGCTTGTACTCTTCAAATTCGGCCTGGCGGCGCTCCCACTCGGACAGCTCCTTCGGGGCACCAGACAGCGGACGCATCTCAGCGACGGGCGGCTCGTCAGAGCGTCCACCGTATGAAAGTCTCCAGCGCTCAGGGTCAGACTCGGAGGTAGACAGTCCGCGACCGGCGTCAAATGAGTTTCCGCGGAGGCGGTCCATCGAGTCGGGGCGTCCGCGACTGTCGTGGCTGCTAAGCGACGAGTCGTGGCGGACACGGTCGAGAAGGATACTGCTAGTAACCGAGTTGTGCCGGCTGCGGTGGTCGGAGGGCGCGGGGGTGTGTGAGCGTTCGCCAAAGCCGAGGGAAGAGCGGGGACGGTCGCCGAGCGAGCCAACAGATCCGGGCGTGTTGTTGTTGGACGAGCGGAGCTGGTCCATGGAAGACCGAATACTCTGGCGGGCTCGGCGCACCTCGGCCAGCAGCCTGAGCTTCTCGTCGAGGTCGTCTCCAGCTCCAATCTCCGAGGAAGGACCCTTCTCGCCGGGGGTCGGGCACGGGTCGCTGAGATCGATCTCCTTCGTTCCTCCTTCTGTAGCGAAGCCCATCTCCTCCATGAGACTAACACGGCGGGTGGTTGTGGGAACGGGCTGGTAGCCAGCCGAGTCGGCAAGATAGTCTTGCTTCGGTTTGGCGCTGACCTGGTTGGCGTTGGGAATCGGCGTCGTGCTCGGGAACTGGCCGAGGGAAGGTCGTCTGTACGAAAACTCGTCCGTGTCCTTCTCGCTGTACAGCTTTGTGGTTGACCCGCCATCGCCGTGCTGGCCCTCCCACTCGGCGAGCTCGGCGTCGACATTCTTGAAGTTTTCGGCAGCACGGGCGACTTCCTCGGCTTCGATGCGCGCAGCCTCCTCGTCGCGGAGCTGCTTTCTGCGCTTGGAGAGAATGTCGACGACCTTGAATTGGATCGCGCCGGCAATCAACGCGGCGGCCGCGAGCGCGCCGAGCTCGACCTGCATCGACTGCGTCAGGGGGAACTTTTGGCCGTTCAAGCTGGGGAACAGGTTACTGTAGCCAAGATTGTAAATGTAAAACTCCTTGAGGCCGACGCGGGAGAAGCAATCGACACCGAGCATGAAGGCGGTGGCGCCGACCCATGCACTGCTAGCGAGTAATACGTACTCGTGCAGCGGGGGCGCGAGCGTCGCAAGCAGCGTGACGGCCGTGAGACCGCCAATGATGCCCCACCTCGCACCAACAGAGGACACGAGGCCGCCCTTCTTCACCGCCATCAGGAACCAGCCGACACAGAAGCCGCCGGCCGCGCCGACCCAGTACTTGGACGTTGTGTAGAAGAAGATGCCGATACCGGCGCCGATGAGACACGATATGCCCACGGCCAAGCAGTAGAGCCCGCGCATGGCCGCGGTCGGCGGATCGGGCGACGGCGGCTGCAACGAGGGGGAAACACTGTGGCGTCAGCGGGGTCCATGCGCCAGACTTACCCGAAGGACAGGATCATGACGAGACTGAAAAGCGCAACCGAGTAGCCAGAGATGATCGCGAGAGCGGACCAGCGGTTCTTGCCGCCCAGCGTTGCGACGGGAACGCCCGACAAGATCATGAGTGCGCCTGCGACGCCGTACGCTGGGTCGAGCTTGGGCGTGAAGGGAAGGTATCCGAGAGTGTCATTCCACGGCTGAGTCGCGTTTGCGGTGCCGTTCGTGCCGTTGCCGTAGATGCCAGTTCCGTTCAGGGTGCCGTTCATGAGGCCGCCGCTGTCGACGGTGCCATTCTGCGGAGTGAGGGTGAGGGTGAAGGCAAACGTGGCCGTGGTGCTGCCGCCGTTGAGGACGCTTGTGACGGTGGTGATAACAGCGCCGGGGGGAAGGGTGCTGGTCGCATTACCGCTGGGCCGGCTGCTTACCGAGCTGGTCGCACTAGCGCCCCCGTTGTTGTTGTTCCGGCTAGCGCTGGCGCTGGCACTTGCGCTCGGCTGGTTGTTGCCTCCGTTGTTGTTACCTCCGTTGCCGCCGTTGTTACCGCCCTGACCCTCGTTGTTGTTGCCAGTATCCTGGGCGATCGCCCCGGACAGCGCGAGGAGTCCGAGGACGATGGCCGAGAGCCGCATGTCGGCGGGCTAGAGCGATGGGGAGGTGTGAGGTGGGCGAAGAGTGAACGAGTGTGGGAAAACGTGCGAGGTCTTGGGAGGAGGGGGTGATCGGTGCGTGTCCGACGGGGGCGGGGCGAGGAGCGTGACGCTCGTCAGGCTCGGCGGGTCAGTCGGGCAAGGCGGTGACGATCTTGAGAAGCTTTTCCGTCGGCGCAGAGTGCGTGCGTAGAGTGAGTGTGCGTAAAAGAGTGTGGTCGGGGGGCGTGGGCGTGAGCGTTGAGCGTCTGGGGAGAGGTACAAGGGGGGAGGGGTGTGCGGGCGTCGGGGCCGAGCGGGGAGTGGGCACTGGGCAAATGTGGTGAGTCTAGGAGAGTGGTTGTAGAGTAAAGTGAGAGAGGAAGATGGAAAGATGAGAGGATGTGTTCGGAATGGAGGAAGGCGAGCTGTTGCGTTGAGGGGTATGCAGGATGGGGAGACTAGTGCGAGGACGGTTAGCGTCGAGACGAGAGAGACACAGTGAGACTAGCGATCAGGGCCAGGTGTTGCAGCAAGCATCCACTGCGGACTGTGCAGATCTGAGCCCTGCATCTGTCCACTCTCTCTCTCTTCTGCGCCCGTCATGTCCCCTCTGTACCCTCTGCACCCTCTGCTCGATGCGTGACTGTCGACACTGGTGACCCTGTGTTTTCTCTGCAGAAGAGTAGGAAGGGGAGCGGGGGCATGAGGCTGAGGCTGTACGCTATTCCGCGTCTCCCATGCCGGCCATGCAGCCAAGCGGTCAAATCGAGGCACGGCCCCCACCCCTGGCCCCCCTTCCGCCCAAGTACCCTGCACGTGGGACCGTGGGGACTCCGGATTCTGCCTGCCATCTTGCTGTCTCAATTGACACACTCGTGCACCGACTTCAGGCAGGCGACACTGGCTCAGGCGTGCTCAGGCTTCAGAACCCACCAAGGGCCATTCTGTGGACAAGCCTGCCATTCATTCCACCCATTCCAATGCATGCAGACATCCCGATCAACCAGGCTGGCAAATTACACTCAGCACGGTCTGAATCAACATTGCAGAGCTGCAGACACGTCCCGGTAACATGAACCGGGCATGGGTGGTATGGGGGGTGGGAATGCCGGAGACATTGTTCGGATACCCGCCGTGGGTCCCCTGGGTCTTTACGCTTACGTCCGGACGGGGAGACGCCGCAAAGCCTTGTTTCGCCAGAGGAGTGTCAGCGGGTACGACGCGGCGTACAAGCCAGCCGCCACGCCGCGCGCCGTCAGCCTACATCCAGCCAACGCCAACGGCGTGCAGGCGCAGGTGTCACGATCGAGTGTGACTGCACATGCACACATGAGGGATCAAGGGCGGGTTGTGCGTCTTACATCCATCAGCAGTCAACAATGATGGCATGTCGCGCGCTGAGACATGAAATGACAGGCTAGCCTGGATCTCGGAATGCAGTCTCACTCGTCTTGGTCAGAGGACTGCTGGAACCATCACTCGATGCGTTCCCAACATGGCCCAACGGCCTATCGACGCCGCACTTTGTACGCATACATGAGAATGCAGTACGGGCTGTCTTGTGCATCACATGTCTCGTAATGGGCAGCCCGCACTCTACCGCAGCTAGCCCGCTCATCGGACGGTCCAACGGCGGGAGGTGCATTCCCAAACGGCAGGAGCGCACACCGTATCCGCGAGCACCACCGTGCGTGCCGACTTCGGACATGAGCTCCGGATTGGCCGTCGACATAAGGTGCAATAACCTTACGCGCACAATGAGATAGTAACGCCGAGATGAACAGTGCACAACGCCGCGCGCCGCTCGCAGCGACTAGGTACGGTGGGAGGGTAGAGGCACACGGCGTTACTGAGAAATCACACACGTCCAACAGATGGAGTCAACCTGCATCCGACCGCTGCTTCCGGATTAGGCTTAGGTACGCGGGGTACGGTCCGTACGCCCGTACAGGCTGGCGGCACTCCCGGCGGGCCCGGGGGCCCGGCACAGGACGGGCAGGGGAGACTTCGTTCCCACCCGCACCAAGTCGCACACGTGACTGACCTTCCTCCATGTTCTTTCTCACGGTCTGTCCTCTCTGTCTGCCCTCCAAGTCTCTTCTGAAGATCACATCACAATTATAGAAACGAGGCCTTACTGGTTGATCCACGGCAGCTTCTGGTCGGTGATGCGCGCGATCTCGGCCACATTCTGCTGCCCCGTGATGAGCATGTGGACCTGGTTCTTATCGGGCAGAGCGCCAATGGACTCAGCAAACTGGCCCTTCTCCTTATTGTTGGGGCTGACGCGCCACTCGACGGCGCCAGCCTTGTGCTTCTCTGCAATCTGGCAGCACGCGGAGAAGAGCATGCGGTTCAGCTGCGCGCGGTCACCCTCCTTCCCGCCCTTGAGGGCTGCGGAGGAGTAGAGGTCCAGAATGTCCAGAGCGGGCAGGCCGTGCTCGGGCAGGAAGAACCAGGAGTACAGCGCAAAGCCCGCCGCTTGGCCGTCAGACGTGTACGCGATGATGGCGTTCACGAAGCCGCCGGCCATCGCGTCGCGGTAGTGCTGCTGCGTCGCGACGACCGCGGTCGGGTGGCCGTCCTCGGTCGCAGAGTCGACCATCATGGTCAGGAGCATGCCCTGGGTGTCAGCGGAGTCATCTTAAGGATGCCTCAGAGTCCCCCGAGCCACTACTCACCACATCGTCGGGCGTGGCGGGCTTGATGGTGAATGCGTGAACCATTGTTTATGTCTCGGTGTCTCGGTGAATATTGCAACAGGGCGCGGGGCTGACCGAGACGTCGTCTTTTATACTTGCGGCTCCCAGGTCCCAAAGCGTTTGTTTACAGCTTGCATGGTGACGTCGACTGAGCGGGCGAACGAAGTGAGCCAGCCGAGGTCCCAAGTCTGGGACGAGAGAGATGCAGGCGCGGGCTCCCCTCGCAACGGGGCTTCCAGACATGGCAATGTGAACACCGAGGCCCATCGCATTATCTAGAAGGAAAGCTCGGTGTTGTGGGAACTTTCGAGGTGACATCACCGAGGGAGCCGATATGACGTTTGGCATGTCTGGGGGCATTCCTCTCCTCCTGTTCCTTGCGTAGGCCGCGACGGGCCGAGCTTTGTCCGACACAATGCACATCAAGCCATGCGCCATGCGGCCCGAGACTCGGGCTTGTCGGAGAACCGTCGGGCACAGTACCAGAGGGAGAGAGTACTCTCCGTTCATCGTTGGAAACGTTTCTTGGGTGCGTTGAGAGTTTGAGTGGCGGCGGAGCGTCTGTGCCTGGATCCCTCCGATCATCCCAGTTGATCCGGAAGATTCCACGGTCCGCAGAGCCTGGCCAATGTAGCATGCCTGGTAGAGGCACTCGCTGAGGGTCAGGTTCGATGCAGCGGGACAACGGCTTTGCACCTACTAGCTTATCAGTCTCTCTTGTGGATGGTTTGGATGAGGCACTGTAGGAGAGCGAGGTATGCCACCCAGCTTGCGGTGAGAACGGAAGCAAGTGTGCCCTTACTCCAGACTGCAGAGTGCTTCTTTGGATCTCGGAGGGATCTGCGGAACAGGACCTGACTGCCTGCCTACCAGGGGCCCAGAGTCTGGAGGCGATACGCGAGGCGTTGAGGGTTGGCGAGATGGCAGTGCTTGTCCTGATCCTCGCGTCCTCGGCGCTGGGTTCTTTGGTTCTTCCTGGATCTGATTGCGGTGTAGTGGGCGCGCGTGCAGTGGGTGCGGGACATGAAGGGAAGGCATGAACACGTTGTGATAAAGTTCGCCTCGCGCTCAGGAGACCCTCACGTGTTCTGCATGATGGTTGCGAGACATATGGGTCGGCGATGGAGCATCTGGCCGGGTGTGCGTGGTCTGGATAGGCATCTGGGTAGGTGGGGAAGTGCGGATGGTGGGTGGCGAGGGGAGCGCTGCAGGACCTGGTACGGCGCCTTCAAGAGCTTGTTCATAGGTAACACCGTTGTGAACGCCGAGGCATAGAGTGGGGTAGGTGTAAGAGATAAGATGTTCTGTAGGTGAGAGCGGCCTCCGTGCAGTCGTAGAGGAGAGGGCGCAGTCAACTATCGAAAAGACGACAACACTGCGACGCCGTCCGCCTTGATGATCTGCCCTCTGCTGACTCTGCCTGGCATGCCTGGTCCTGTCTTCCCCTATTCACACAGACACAGAGCGCTTAGCGCCAGCCTAGCGCGGCAGGGCGCAGCACGTTGGTTCACTGAAACATGCTACACGCTACCATCACCCCTGCACCACCCCTGCGCCCCATCACCCAACCTCCACCTCCAGTCCACCCTCGTTCATCTCATCGCACATCGATGCCACTCCTCGACCTTCGTCTTCATATCGCATTCTGCCCATGGTTCGTCGTCCAGCTCGCGTGCATAGTCCGTGGATACGTAATGTGAGGCACTTACACACTGTCTGTGCCATGGGAATGGGGGTTCGTGCGATTTTCAATGGAATCCTAGACTCTCTACTAATGTTTACACAGAAGGCATCGTCCGCCTTCGTTCAACGTCGATTTCTTCATGCTCGCATGCATGCGCGCAACGCTCCCGCCTACTCGGTCGTGACGCTCTTGGCGAGATTACGCGGGAAGTCGACGTCGATGCCCTTCATGGACGCGAGGTGGTAGGAGATGAGCTGGAGGGGGATGACGTTGAGGAGACCCTGAAGACAGTCGACGGTGGCGGGGACCTTGACGACCTTGGTGGACTCGGGGAGCGAGGTGTCGCCGTCGTTGCAGATGACAATGGGCCTGCCCTTGCGCGCGGTGACCTGAGCGAGGGCCGAGGCGGTCTTGGGGTAGAGCGAGTCCTTGGTCATGATGAAGATGACGGGGAGGTGCTCGTCGATGAGAGCAAGGGGACCGTGCTTGAGCTCACCGGCGAGGATACCCTCCGAGTGCATGTACGAGACCTCCTTGATCTTGAGGGCGCCCTCGAGACAGGTGGCAAACTGGTAGCCACGGCCCATGATGAGGAGCGACTTCTCGTTGACGAGCGACTCCTTGACGAGCTGCTGGAGCGACTTGTCGAGGGCGAGGATCGTCTTGATCTGCGAGGGGATCTCGTGGAGACCGTCGATAATCTCCTTGCGGCGCTCAGACTTGGAGATCGAGTCGGAGGCGAGCTGGACAGCCATCATGACGAGAGCAATGTACTGCGAGGTGTACGCCTTGGTGGAGGCGACACCAATCTCGGGACCGGCGTTGATGTGGACACCGGCGTGGGTCTCACGCGAGAGGGTCGAGCCGACAACGTTGACGACACCGATACAGAGGGCGCCGCGCTCGAGACAGTAGCGCATGCCGAGAATGGTGTCGGCAGTCTCACCGGACTGCGAAACGAAAATGGCAACGTCGTCACGGAACACGGGGGTGCGGCGGTCGAGGAAGTCGGACGCGAGCTCTACGGCAACGGGGATTTCGGTGAGCTCCTCAAAGACGGGACGGACAGCGATACAAGAGTGGTACGAAGTGCCGCACGCGACGAAAAGGAGACGGCGTCCACGACGGATAACGGGAAGGTACGCCTTGAGACCACCAAGAGTGATCGTCGAGTTGTCAAAGTTGACACGCCCACGCATCGTGTTGACCACCGACTCGGGCTGCTCGTAAATCTCCTTCTGCATGAAGTGGTCGTACTGGCCCTTCATGATCTCGGCAAGCTCAATCTCGAGGGTCTCGATGGCACGAACCGACGAAAGACCGTCGTCGCGGCGGAGGCGGTGGATGTGGAGCTCGCCCTCGGCAATGTGGGCAATGTCGTCGTCCTCGAGGTACAGAACGCGCTTGGTGTGCTCAATGATGGCAGCGGGGTCAGAGGCCACGAAGAACTCGATGGGCTGGGGGATGCCGTCCTCGGAAAGGAAAGCGCGCGACTGCTGGCGGCGGATCTTGGACGAGCCAGTGACGGCGTTGGGGACACCGAGAAGACCGTCGGCCTGGGCGGCCTCGGGAATCATGTCGTCCTGGGGGAGCTCGACGTCGACAAAGTCGACCTTGAGCTTGCGCTCAGACTTGACACCGATGAGGAGGGGCGAACCACGACGAGCAGCGATAATCTCGTCGGGGAAGTGGCGCGACTTGAAAACAAAGGCGAACGAACCCTCGAGCTCCTTGAGGACAGTCTTGACGAGCGACTGGAAGTTGAGGCGCTTGTTGGGCTGCGAGTCCCAGACGTACTTGCAGAGAATGGCGACACACTCGGTGTCAGTGTCGGTGCGGAAGGCGTAGCCGCGCTTCTGGAGAACGAGCTTGAGCTCCTTGTAGTTGGTAATGATACCGTTGTGGACGACGGAGAACTCGGTGAGGGGGTCCGAAACGTGGGGGTGACAGTTGTCAGTGGTGGGGACACCGTGGGTCGCCCAACGGGTGTGGGCCATCGAGGTCTGCGAGACAAAGACCTTGTTCATGTCAATCTTCTCGGTGATCTCGGCTCCTCCGGGAGGAGTGGTGGGGACACCACCGGCGACGTGCTTGCGGAGAGCGGCAACCTTGCCGACCTCCTTGAAGAGGACGATAGGGTCGGTCGGGGCGTCGCCGTCGACTCCGATACCGGCCGAGTCGTATCCACGGTACTCCATACGGGCGAGGGCGTTGCAGAGCACGTCACAGACGTACTTGCGGTCCCTCTCCGTCAGGTAAGAGCAGTAAGCGAAGATTCCTGAGAGCGCGAGTCAGTCACTATTTCATGTGTGCGCGCGAGCGAGACGCGTCGATTGATCGGCCCTAGCAAACTTACCACACATCCTGATTCAAGTTCTGCAGGGTTGAAACGAAGGGAAAAACAACGGCGTGCCGAGAGATTGCGATTTGCGACGTGTAACGTGGAGGGAGTTACGAGTGGGAAACACAGCAACACCCAAAAGCACGGAGGAAAGAAGGACCGGGGGGAATCGAGTCGGAATCGAGTGTTAAGAGAGATAAAGAGGAATGGTGGCGAAGGCAGGGACAGGAAATGCGATGCACCGAAGGAAATAGCAGTGTCAGCGGCGATTCTTTGGGACGGATAGACAGGGCGTGGTGGGTATGGCAAGAGATTCGCTTCGCGGGACGATCGCGCTGCGCAGTGTGCGTCTGATCAGACACGACACAGGCACCCTGCACCGAGCGATGGGCAGAGTGTTGGAGGAGGGCATGGCTGACCGCGCGCGCACGGCGAGCAACACGACGGAAGGTCTGGCCATTTGTGATGGGGGGTGCAGTGGCTGTGAGAACCGAAGACGTGTCTGACAAGTCGCCGCCTGTGGCCCACCGCCTCGCTGGAAGCCTGCGGGAGGAATGCGTTTGCCGTGTTCTTGAGACTGATGCTCACCTTTGACTGTCAAAGCCGATTGAGTGGACGATGGCGATGGGAGGGGAAGGGATGGAGAGGAGAAGAGAGAAGAGAGAGTGTGTGTGTGTGGGATGTTGAGGATGAGCGAGGTCAATCAAAATAAGGGGAGCGTGGATGGACCCAATAGAGCAAGGGGGATGGCGACAGAGCGACAGGCGGCTAGGCGATGCTCTGGTTGCTCACACTTGGCCAAGGTCCCAGGGTAGACTGGGGATTGGCAGGGGAGGGGCGAGCGAGCGAGAAGGGAGGGCGGTGTGAGAGGGCAGAGAGGGCAGCGAGGGATCGGGAGGATAACCCTGGAGTCTAATCGGACGTGTCAGAATTTCGACTGTGTACGCGGGGGGACAACTGGCAGTTGCTGACCTGTCTGGCTGGGCGGACCTGGGCGGGCGCTGGTTCTGGCTTCTGGCGCCAGCGCTGGGCGGCGATAACGGCCTCCACCCGCTCCCCTCACCGTAGCCTTAGCCTCCACCCTAGCCCATAACCCACCATACCAGCCAAACTGAAAATAAACAAATCGCCAGTCTTTACTCACCACTTAGATCCGGGCAGTCTGACCGATAAAGCGTGCGTATAGTAGTGTTACACAATCTGCGACCAGATGGGCGAGTGTGTGCTATTGCGAGTGCGTGGGTGTGTGCTTGTGTGCAGTGTGCAGTGGGTGCAGGTGGAGAGTGCGTTGCGAAATGCGTGGGCAACGCATGCATGCCTTATATTGCTGCTTCTCCTGTTGTTGTTGTTGACACTGGGCCGGAGAGCGGAGCCGTCGACCCTCGCCTTCCAAGCAAGCCTCAGCTGATTGCCACGATGGCTGACAACTGAAAGGCTTCAAATGCGACTGACGATTGGCGTATTCCTGGACCACAATCCTGACTTATCCTGGGCAACCCGGCTCATCTCCACAACTCTGGGCATGCACCCCCCTCTGCCGCCATGCGCTGCGCTCATGCTCATGCATCGACTCGTTATCTGCTGCTGCTATGATGACCACTCGCTGAGTCATGAACTGCATGCCTTCATACCGAGCAACCCACCATGAGCATGGCGGTCATGATACCGGGTATATCCTAGATCCTCGGGCTGCCCGTTGATAGTCGTCGGCATTGTGAGACCATTCTGTGACGGGTATCTCGTACTCCAGAGTGGAACAGGCAAGCGCCGCCCTGTGTGTATGGGACAGAGTGGGATGATGTGTCTGTATGTCTGACATTGTTCGGGCGCGGGGAGGAGATCGTCCCCCTCCCCTCCCCTCCCCCTCATGTACGATTATGCTCGGGTGGATGGTCCCAGCATACTGGGACATGAATCATCGAGTGGTGGGGTTGAGGATGGTCGTCGACTCCACGGGACAAACAAATGAGACTTTGTTTTCGCCCCTGTTGAGATCGTTGAGAGCAAGCGATATGGTGGGACCAGGCATTTGGGCATGAGAACGAGCCGGCATCGCTTTGGACCTGATGGAAGCGTGTTAATTGGCAATGGAGCCGGTGTATTGTGGGAATTAGCCAAGTCTCGTAATCAGCTTTAATGGGATCCGGCAGCGAGCCGCTCACCACCGAAAAGTGGGCAGAACCCTGGATGGTAAGATACCCTGAATGGCAAGGGCGGTCGTGCCGGGCTCGCGTCGACGCGTAGTGCTGGGAGAAGACCGTGGCAGTGTGAGAGATACGGTTCCACGTTCCCTGACTGCCTGGCTCACCTGGCTCACCTGGCTGACCGGACCTGACCGACTCCTGACACGGAAGCATTTTCACTCTCACCTGGAGCGTGCATATCACCTTCGAGTGTTAATTATGATGCAGGTGGCACCCTCCGCTCCTCTCCTTCATCCTGAACAAGCCCTCAACCGACCACCGAAATCATCTCCACTGCAGCGTATCATGCATGCATGCAGCCCTCCTCTCGCCACCGTGTCCTTTGTTTTTCCTCCTGGCTGGATCCTGACCACTGCATCTAACCTGGCACAAGTCTCTCGTCTATAGGCAACCGCTTGCTACCAGCGCGCACCCCATCACTTCCCTGTGTGCCCTACCAGCGATCGCATCGGCCCCATCACCATGTCGGTGCGGCATCGCTCGGTCCTCCCCCCTCCGCCCGTCTTAGGTGCCGCCCGCCCGCTGGTCCAGACTGAACAGGCTCAAGGTTGCGGTCTTGGCTTTTCAGGTGCAAATCCTGTCGGGCACGTCTGATCGCTGTAAAGAAACTTACAAGCTCGCGAGGCTGTGCCATGGAACCAACTCTGAGCGGCACTCGCAGTCATGCGGACGAGCATGCGTGAACATGCTCAAGCATGCGGGCCAGGTGTTCATCCGTGACACCCCGGCGTCGTCAGCTAGCAGCGGATCAAAGGACCAGTGGGACGCGGTATTCATGATGCAGATCCTGATGTGTTGTGCGCTTAAATGTCGCTCAAAGCTAGCCTGATACCCGTGACCCATTCAGCATCCACTACAAGCAACTGAAGCTTAGTTATGGCCGTCCCCGAAACCCCCGTCCGGCAAGTGAGCACACTACTAATTCTCGCTTCCGGCAAAGTTGTGCGTAGTGTGCATCGCTGTGTGCTTCTTATTCGCTACCCCAGCCGCGGTCCGGAACGACGTGCGCGCGCTGCTCAGACGCCGTCCGAACGGTCCGTCCGGCCGTTCTGGCGAGTGGCCAGACCACGACAAAAAGTGTCACACTGGCGTGGCCTGAAGCATGTCTGAAGCATGAAGCGTGAAGCGTGAAGGAGACGGGGACGTCCGCAAGATGAAAGAGCCCCACAAAGACGACGGAAGCATGAGAAGTTGATGCATGGACGGGGTTCGGAATCGTGCAGAGGGCTGGAGAGGTTGAACGCGTGCCAATCGTCTTGCCATCTTTGTTAGCCCCGTCGTTGATCGCTGATCGCTCCGATCCCTCCCATCTGCCCATGATCCATGGTGGACTACTGCTGGGCGCTGGGCGGCTGTACAGCGCGGGCCAGCACCACTGCTGATAGTGCTAGCGTGGCAGAAAAGGTCCCGTCGCTTCCCCACACTTTTGGCCGGGGGTTGTCATAACCGGCTGCACCACCACTGTTGGGTGCGCTCCGTTCCTGGCTGAACCGTGATGACTTGCTTTACCGTACACTGCATCATTTCTCCACCACCTACATCTATCTGTCCACAACCCCGCCATGCCCAAGAAACGCAATAACAAGGCGTCAAACGGTCATCGCAGACCCCCATCAAAGGGCAAAGCCACCCCGTCCCCCACACCCACTCCCCCCGCGACTGACATCAACCCCACACCCGAATCCGCCCCGGTGCCACCGCAACAACACGAGCCGAACAGCAAAGTGGAGGTCATTCAGCCGAGCCCTCCGAACCCGACGCCGACCGACAAGCCCGTCCCCGCGCCAGAACCGGAAGCCAACGAGCCCGCCATCATGCCGCCCCGCGAGCCCGAGCCGGAATCCCAGCCCGAGGACTCGACCGTGCTCGTTGAGCGCCCCGAGGAGCCCCTCACCGCCGAACCCGTCCAGCTGCACGGCAAGGCAAAGGAGGAGCTCCATCGGCGCGCCGAGGAGCAGGTCGAGGCCGAGCTCGAGGAGGCTGAGATGGCCTCTGAGATTGCAGACGAGCTAGTCGAGCTCGTCGAGTCGATCGCCGACTCGGAGACTGAGGCGATGGAGGCTATCGACACTATTGCGGCCAAGTCCGGCGCCACGACCATCGCTAGCGTGCAGGAGTCCTCGCACGAGGCTCAGGATGAGGCGGCGGAGGCGGCGGAGGATGTCGCTCAGGAAGCCGAGCAGGACACCGGTGCCGTCGAGGGTATCCTTCTCAACAGCGGTGCGAGCTCAACACCAGCGACGCCGCCGCGATCGAACGGACATGCCACCGACGAAAAGCACGCCGACCACGAGCACGACCAGCACGACCAGCACGACGAGAAGGCCGCGCACCCGCACCTCCGCCGTGCGGCTTCTACGTCGTTCGTTGCCAGTTGTCTCTCGACGAGCCCGAACTCACACGGCAGGACTGTGCACAAGCACCTGCGCTTCACATCAGCCGACGAGGGCCAGGATGAGCCCCAGCACCACGTGTACTACCCCCGCAAGCGGAATCTGAACACGAGCGATCCGGGGACGCCCAGTATTGCTGAGACGTGAGTGACTTCTGCCTGATTTGCGCGATGCGTGTGGTTGTAGCAAGTGCTGATCAATCTTAGGGCGCACCAGATCCGCCGCACGATCTCGTTCGCCTCGTTTGACAACCTGGTGCAGCTGCACACGAACCCGGACCAGAGGGAACGCTTCGTCGCCGAGGTGGCGCGGGCGGGCCGCGAGCTCGTCTGGCGTGACAAGGACGACCACCCCCTCTACCCTCGTGACGGGGAGCAGACGTTTGTGCTGGCTTCCAAACGCGCACTTCGTAAGCCACACAAAGTCGCCATTACTAACTTTAGGCTCCTTCGTTCTCTCGTTCACGGTGCGATCGGGTGTCAACGTCGTGCTGCTCCTGTTCAAGACGCTGGGCCGGCGCAAGAAGCTCACTGTCCAGCAGCTCCGCACCGCCATCATCGGCGAGGACAGCTGGCGCTTTGGTGCCATGATTGGTGAGTATCCCCCTATGGTCCGTGCTGACCCCAAAAAGGCTCCTTCACATTCCTCAACACGCTCACGTACCACATGCTGCGTCTCGCGCCGCCCGCGTCCTACATCCGGAAACGCCTGCGGCACGGGCTCTTCTCGCAGCCGACCTTCGGCCCGCCGGAACGCGAGGGCGCCGAGGGCGAGCACCGGTGGCACGCGGCGGCGGCAGGCGGCATTGCTTCGCTGGCGCTGTTCTGGGAAACGGCGGGGCGGCGTCGGGGCGTGTCGCAGCAAATGTTTGTGCGCGGCCTGCAAGGCGCGTGGAACCAGTACGCGCCCCAGGCAGGCGTGCACATCCCGTTCGGCAACATTGTGCTCTTCGGCCTGTGCTGTGGGCAGATCATGTTTGGCTTCCTGCTTGCGCCGGAGACGATCCCGCGCGACTACTACAACTGGATCCAGAGCGCTAGTGGCGTGCCCACCTTTGCGGTGGCGGCGAATCGCACGGCTGTACGCGAAAACCTCATCCATCCCGAGCACGTCAAGCTCGCGCTCACGAGCAAGGGCGTGACGCGGAACAATGTGCATGAGCTGAGGCAGCTGCTGGAGCGCGTTCGCGGGGGCGCCAAGGCGAATTATCATATTCCGTGCAGCGTCACACACCCCTGGACTGAGAGTTGCGGCTATACATTGGTGGAGCGCTTCTTCCGCACGTTCCGCTTCATGCTGCCCGTGTATGGCGCACTGCACCTGATCCCGCCCATCGTGCTGCGCCGGCACGCGTTCGCAAAGGACCCGCTGCGCATGCTCGCCCGCATCACGCTCGGCATCACGCGTTCCTGCTCCTTCCTCGGCTTCTTCATCATCATCAACCAAGCCCTGTTCTGCCTCCGTTCCAACGCGCTGGAAACCAGCGGTAAATTCCCCGGAACCGGCCTGGCCGGTCTGCTCCGCTCCCTCGTGGCGCGCAAGGAGACGTTCTGGATCATGGGCTTCATCAATGCGCTCAGTCTCTTCGCCGAGGAGAGGAAGCGCCGCACAGAGCTCGCCATGTACGTCTTCCCCAAGGCGCTCGAGAGTGCGTGGGCCTCGGCCAGGAAACGCGCCTGGGTCCCCGTCGTGCCGTTTGGGGACACGGTGCTCGGCGCCGCGGCGCTGGCCATGGTCATGGACAGCTATGTCCACAGCCCCGAGAGTCTGTCGGGCATCGTGCGCAGGCTGCTGTTCCAGCTCGTCGGGCCCGTGTAGGCCGCCGAGCGCCGCAGGCGCGAGGGGGCGTGAGGCCAGGGCGAGGAGGAAGGCTAGAGCGGGGCGGGCCCAAGGCGCGTAAGGCGGGAGGAGGGCCGAGGGTGCCGAGGGTGTCGAGGGTGCGGAGGGTGCGGCAAGCGCGGGATAGCCGAGGCGGCGAGCCCGACGCGAAACTACACGGCGATGTGAGAGGACACTGTCGTAGCGTTGGGAACTGTGGACAAGATCCAATCTTCTATTTTCCGACCCATCCGAAAACCTTCCTTCCTTAACCCCCTTTTTGCAAGTTTTTTTGTTTAGACGTAATTTAGACGGCGACGGCGACGTAGGCGTGGCGTTGTATCAATGATTGACTTCGAGGTGATTGTATGCACTTTCATACCCCCTCTTCACTGGCCTGTGAGCATCGTCAACGAGGGAGTGGCTGTTCGAGAGAGTGGGAGAGATGGGCGAGGATGGGGGAGCGGAAGACGGGGAAGTTGGGTGAGGTTGTGTGGTGAGATGGAGAGGATGTGGTGAGATAGTGAGAGTATGTTGTGAGATATGTACGATGATGTGAGATACGTACGATGATGTGAGATCGTTATGATGAGTCGGATCAGCCAAAGTCAGTCGCGCCGATGCCACACTGGCCAGAACCGAGATAACCGATCGGATCCGTGATCCGGTGGAGGTGATGAAACCAGCTCACCTGTCCTCTCATCTCACCACCACCTTCCTCTCAAATTCAACCCCACTCTCTCTAAGCACCATGCTTCGGCCATCTATCAGACTCGGCGTGCGAACAGCCCCTGGTCGCGCGATCACGCCTCTCCCCGCGCCTCTCCGTATCGCGCGACCAGGGACGCACCTCCGCTACAACTCTGTCAAGCCGCCAAACGTCCCCACTTCCTCATCAGGCGAGCCCGTCGCCCCAAAAGTCAACGCGCATCTCGACCCAAAGACACAGGAGAAGATTGAGAAGAAGCTGGGCAGATTGGAGAGATATGCCCCCGCCCTCGCCCAACTATCCCAACGAACAGGCGTCTCCCTGCCAGCATTAACGGGGGCGTTTTTGGTTCTGCACGAGGTCACCGCCGTCGTGCCCGTGTTTCTTGTATATTGGATGCTGCATGCTTTGGGCGTTGGGGCGGGGTTGGTCGCCTGGCTCGCCGATACATCGTCCTCTGCCGACTCGGCCGACTCTGCCGACTCAAGCGTTCCGGTAGACCACGAGTCGACGCAGCAACCTGCCCAGGCTCCTCAGGCTCCGCGGTGGAAACAAGTGATCCACGGGTGGTACGAAGAGGGCGCGCGTAAAGTCGAGCGAGTCGGAAGGCGGTATGGAACTTTCGGGTATGAGAAGGGGAGCAAGCCTGGCGAACAACCGGATGGCAGGGCTGAGGCGATCGTGACCCACGACGCGGGCGCTGTGGCTGATGCCATTGCTGCTTATGTTGTTGTGAAGGTGAGTCCAAGGATCTCTACTAGCACTTCACTCCTCTTCTGTTGCGAGGCCCCCTCCATCGGGGGTCAGTGACGAGAACGCGCTTAGCTGTGTACGCCGGGCAGATAGCTGACCCCAGGCCCTCCTCCCTCTCAGATTAGGCATCTCTCTCGCCGGCGCCCCCGCGCTCGCTCGATTCTGGACACGCATGACGCGAGCCGTTAGGAGAAAGTAATTGTACAATGCATCTGTGCCCCATATGTACCCGGAATGAAACCAAGACTACACCACGAGCTTCCTCTCCCCCAACTCTCCGGGTGAGAGCGTCTCGACGACGACCTCAATCTCATCCTCTCCTTCTTCTTCGTCGACCCACTCATCCGGCCGCCGGAGCCGCTCTAGCGTGATCTCGCTGTCAGAACGCTCAGTCACGCGCGCCAACAGCAGCTTGATCTCGGGACTGAATGTGGTCATGTCGAGCTCGAGCGACTTCCACGCCACGAGCTGACCGACACTCGCGTTCTGGGCGGAGGCGAGGGTGTCGAATTTGTCCTCGATGGAGGTCCAGGCGGATTCGGGGAGCTCGTCGCCGTCTCCGTTCACCTGCACCTCCACCGCCTCCATCTCGGCTGCCGCCGTCCCCGCCGTCTCTGCCGCCTTGGCAGGAGCCTTGACCGGAGTCCGAGCAACGGGCGTCGGCGTGCCCTCGCCTCCAAACGAGGGAGGCAGCGGCTCCCCATAATCCAGCACGACCTTGGACTCCTGCCGGGCCCGTTTCTTCTCTGCCGCCTTGGCCATCTTTGCGTCTCGGATCCGGCGCTCGGAGTCGGGGATAAAGTCGAATTGGCGCGAGGTCACGAAGACATTACAGGGGAGGGAGCGGGGAGAACGTTCCGAGTAGGGTGCGAGGGTTGCGGCTGGCGGACGCGAGGCGTGGAAGGGGAGTTCGGCGAGGGTTTTGGCCTTGGCTGGTGTGGCCTCGGGCTCGGACTCGGACTCAGACTCGGAGGACGATTCCGAATCCGAGGAGGATTCTGACTCTGATGACGAGTCGGAGGCGGACTCGGAGGATTCGGAGGATGACGAGGATGACGAGGCAGAATAAGCATCGGCTGGCGTGGCTTCTCCGGCCGTCGCGGTGTTACTCACGGCACTCGCCGCGCTGACCGCATCCTCAAACACACGTCTTCGTGCCTTGCACACCCAGCATCTCCCTCAGGAATCCCTTCTTCTTGTTCCGGTTCGCCATATCTCTTGGCACAGGCAGTTCCTGCACCTTCGGCACCGTCTTGCCCTCCAGCGCCAGCTCTGGCGCGAGAGGTGGGATCGACGCCCCGACGCCGACCAGCGCGGCCGCTTCCCGCGCCGCGGCGGCCAGACGCTCCAGATTGCTCAGTGGCCGCGAGGCCGGAACTGGAGCTACTCCGGCAGCCTCCAGCCTCTTCGCCTCGGCGCGCGCTTTGCGCGCCTTCTTCCGCCGCTGGTTGCGCTCGTGCGTCCGGCCTAGTCCTTCTCCTGGCGGCACCGGCTCGCGCGTCGGTCGCGGTTGCGGTTCGGCGTCTGAGTCCGAGTCCGTGTCGGATGACGAGTCAGAGGTCGAGTCTGAGCTGGAGTCGGAGGACGAGCTGGACTCGGACTCGGACGACGAGCTATCCGACGCCGTCACTGGTCGTACGCTGGTCGTCTCGTCGAGCTTTGCCCTCTTGCGCGCCTTGTCCGTCTTGGGGCTCGGAGGCCGCTTACTCGACCCAGGCCTCGGTCTTACGCTGTTTGTCAGTTTCCACAACATAAACATAACTCACACGACCACGTCGTTCTTGTCCAGCACGCTCGAGGGCGAGTCGGGCAGCACCTCGTACCCCTCCACCTCGAGGAGGAGGTCGCCGTGCACACCTGCGGCTTGGAGGTGGGGCAAGAGCGACCCCACCTGCGCGCCGAGCGGAAGGAGGAGTCTCCTCTCGCCGAGCTCAGGCGCGACATGGACCTTGACGCGCATGACCTTTCTGGATCGGAATGGGTGGCCGCTGAAATTGTTGTTCTTGAATTTCAAGCCGTCACCGTAGCCAGCGTTCATGACGTCTCGCCGCTGACAGCGGAACCAAAACATTCGATCTTCACCAGGCACGCTCGCCGCACCATTAACCTCGAAGTTGATCCAGCGACTTGCTTCATCATAACACTTACATTGCCGCGCGCTGGACAGAGACACCATGTTCGGCTCCAACTCGTTTGGCGCGCTGGCCGTTGAAACGCCCCCAAGTGGCGGTAACGCCGGGTCCGAGCCCACGGAGGGCGAGGAGATCGACGTTGACGTGAGCTCGCCTTCGCACCGTGACCTAGCTGACAGCAGTGGATCCAGCTCGTGAGGAGCAACCCGCACGACGCGAATGTGCGCGTCGGACCGAAGGTCGATCTGAATGGCCTGCCGAGTGAGAGCTCGCTGCTTGCCGTGTCGAATCGGAACGACCTCCTTGCTGCTGGCGGGAACAATGGTGAGCTACAGTTCGGTGTATGACAGCTGATGGCAGACGTGCGCCTGCACACTCTCTCGGGCATTCACAAGCTCCTTGACGAGTCTGGCAAGGACTCGAAGCCCGAATCGGTGCCCGTGCAGACGCTGAGCCTCCCTGGACGCCCGATCTGGGTCAGGTGAGCTATCGTCGGTAGACCGAGCTAACATCAGGTTTGCGCAGAACGACGAGCGCATTGTTGTCGTCAGCACTGGTGGTATCCTGCTGTTCAAGACTGCAAATGTTCTTGGTGGAAACGTGCGTAGCTAAGCTTTTGCATGTCAGCTGACATCAGACTGCGCCGTATGCGACGATTACAACCGGCCTGCCGAACTCGCTCCTCGACGTACTACCGAACCCTGGTGCGGACAAGCTAGGCGCGTACGTTGCCCTCGTGTCGCCCGAGGGCATGGTGCTGCTGGACGTCGACGAGGCGAAGGTGTCGGCTCCCCTGCCTGGGCCGTTCACTGCGGCCTCCTGGTCCGCGAAGGGCAAGCAGATCGTCCTCGGCACACCTGGCGGCAAGCTCGTCCAGTACACGCCTGAGGGACAGGCCAAGGCTGAGATCGCCCCGCCGTCCGACATGGAGAACCCGCGCTCGACCTTTGTGCAGTGGCTCGAGAACGACCTGTTCCTTGTTGGATACGCGATGGAGGGTGCGGACCAGGCCGACCCGCTGGACCTGTACGTCGTTCGCCGGAGCAAGACGGGCTGCACGTACGTCAAGTTCTGGGACGTGAACAACTCGATGGGCTACAGCGGCCGCAGCGGACAGCACCGCCACTTCGCCGGTCTCAAGGACTGGGGAGACAACAAGCACCTCTCATTCCTCCTGTCGCCGATTGCGAGTGAAATCGGAGTGCTGAGGGGTACGCCGACAGACTGGCAGAGCCTGGTCCTCGAGGAGACAGCGCGCGGCATCATGCCCGCCGCCTCTGTCGGTACCGACGACACGTCTCCTCTCGGCCTCGCCCTCGACTTGACGAGCAAGAAGCCTATCAAGCGCGGCATCGTCAACGGCGAGGAGCAGCCCGACCTCCCGCCCTGTCCCCGTATTCTCGCCTACTCGCAAGAGGGTATTATTCTCTCCTTCGACATCCGCATTCCCGACGCTGGCGCGTACCCGAACATGGTGACGCCGGGCGCCGCCCAGCCCGCCTCCGCCGCTCCCTCCACCGCGGCGTCAGTCGCAACTTCGCCCGAGAAGAAGCCCGCCTTTGGCGGGTTCGGCAGCGGTACGCCCGCCTTCGGCCAGAGTGCGTTCGGAAAGCCCGCCTCCGGATCAGCTTTCGGCCAGTCCGCCTTTGGCACCGGCAGCACGACGCCGGGCTCGAGCCCCGCCAAGCCCGCGTTCGGCGGCGCCGGCGCGCCCTCCTTCGGCTCCTCGAGCTTCGGACAGAAGCCGGCGGGCCAGAGCGCGTTCTGCTCCAGCGCCTTTGGATCGAGCACCGGAGGATCTGCGTTTGGTCAGAGTGCTTTCGGCACGACGACGCCGTCTGGCACGCCCGCCAAACCCGCGTTCGGCGCCAGCGCGTTCGGAAGCACCACGCCGAGCACCACGCCCGCCAAGCCTGCCTTTGGCGGGTTCGGAAGCACGACGCCGGCATCTTCGCCCGCTCCCGCATTTGGTCAGAGTAGCACTCCCGCTCCCGCCTTCGGACAGTCTAGCACCCCTGCCCCCGCGTTCGGACAGTCCAGCACCCCCTCCGCGCCCGCCTTCGGCCAGTCGGCCTTTGGACAGAAGCCCGCCGGCTCGCCCTCCGCCTTTGGGCAGTCCGCGTTCGGCTCTTCCTCGACCTCGAGCGCTTTCGGAGCCTCGGCCGGTCAGACGTCCGCCTTCGGCTCGAGCGCGTTCGGACAGAAGACGGATGCCTCCAAGACGTCTGGTTTCTCTGGCTTCGGCCAGAAGCCCGCCACGAACTCGGCCTTCGGCTCCAGCTCTGCGTTCGGACAGAGCGCCTTTGGACAGAGCGCGTTCGGGCAGAAGAGCGACAGCAAGCCTGCTTTCTCTGGATTTGGAACACAGGCCAAGCCTGATGACAAGAAGGAGGAGCCCAAGGACGACAAGAAGGAGGAGAAGAAGGACGACAAGCCTGCATCTGGCTTCAGCGGTTTCGGTCAGAAGACGGACGGCCAGTCCACCTTTGGAGCGAGCACGTTCGGCCAGAAGACGGACAAGCCCGCGTTCGGCGGCTTCGGTCAGAAGTCCGAGGAGAAGAAGGACGACAAGCCCGCGTTCGCTGGGTTCGGCAAGCCTGCGGAGAAGAAGGACGACGCGAAGCCCGCGTTCCCTGGTTTCGGCAAGCCTGCTTCGCCCGCCAAGTCACCCTCTCCTTCGCCCAGCAAGGAGAAGGACTCGTTCGGACTCGGCGACCTCGGTGCGGCGATCACGAAGCCCACCGGCATCGAGTCCCCGCCCAGCTCGCCCGGTTCGCCCGTGGCTTCCGGCGGTGTGCCTGGGCTCGAGGACAGCCCACCGTCCTCGCCCAAGCCGGCTGCTAAGCCTGCTCCGACTCCCGCTCCTGCCCCTACCTCGACCTCGACGTCTTCGTGGATCAAGCCTGCCACCGCGTTCGGCTCCTCCACCTCTGGGGGCTTTGGTGCCTTCGGTGGCAACAAGAGTGGTTCCGCGTTCGGCTCCGGCTCCGCCTTCGGCTCTGGAGGCGCGTTCTCTGGCGGCGCTTCCGCGTTCGGCAAGCCCTCGCCGCCTGCCTCCGGCCAGACCAGCCCGACGCGCACTGGCGCCCCTGCTTTCGGTCAGTCATCCGTCCCGGCCGCACCCAAGTTTGGTCAGTCGTCGACCCCCGCCTTCGGTCAGAGCTCCACGCCTACTTTTGGCCAGTCCTCGACGCCCTTCGGTAAGAGCTCGAATCCCGCGTCCTCGAGCACGCCCACACCCTCCGCGTTCTCGAGCACCGGCGGCTTCTCCGGTTTTGGCTCCGGCACCTCCGCTTTCGGTGCCAAGGCTGGCCAGAAGAGCATCTTCGACTCGGCCAAGGACGACAAGAAGGATGACAAAAAGGAGGAGAAGAAGGACGATGCTAAGGACGTTAAGCCCGAGAAAGCTGCCATGCCCGCTGGCTACGACGTCCCCGCCTCTCCCAATAAGGACACGAAGCCCGAGTCTTCCAAGAAGGAGGAGAAGAAGGATGAGGACAAGAAGGCTGAGACTCCCTCCTCGCCCAAGAAGGACGACAAGAAGGTTGAAAGCCCCGCTTCACCCAAGAAGGACGAGAGGAAGGATGATGCCCCCAAGCCGGAGAAGGCCGTCATGCCGCCTGGCTACGACTCGCCGGCCAAGAAGGACGAAACTCCGGCCAAGTCCGAGAAGGACGAGAAGAAGTCCGCTGATCTTGCCGAGGCTGCCAAGACGCCGATCAAGTCCGAGGACAAGGAGGCCACCGAGTCGAAGCCGGCGACGCCCAAGTCGTTCGCCGACGCTGTAAAGTCCCCCTCGCCCGCCAAGGCTACTGCGCTTCCGGACTCACCCGATGTTGAGTCGCTCAGCGACGACGATGGTGATGACAACCACGTGCATGTGCATGTCCACTCTGCGACTGTCGTCGGACCCGACGGAGAGGAGGAGTACGACTACTACAACGGAGACGAGGATGACTATGACGACGAGGAGTACGATGAGGAGGAGGACGAGGGCGAGTTCGACGACGATGACGAGCAGGAGGACGAGGACCACCTGGAGGAGCTCGAGGACGAGGTTGACGAGGACGCTGAAGCCGCGTCTCTCGGAACCATCCCCGAGGATGAGGAAGAGGAGGGCAGCGACCATAGCGACGACAAGCCCGAGAAGTCGCCCAAATTGCCCAAGTCGCCTACCTGGTTCGCCTCTGACTCGCCGCAGAAGAAGGACCAGCCCCTCCCGTCGCTGCTCTCGCGTCTCGGTCCGCCCGTCAATCAGAAGGATGACGAGGAGGAGGACGAAGAGGATGAACACGATGACGAGGACGAGGAGCATGATGAGGATGAGGATGAGGATGAGGATGAGGACGAGGACGAGGAGGAGTCGCCTCAAAAGGATGACACCAAGTCGACACCCTCGTCCAAGCCCTCGCTGCTCTCGCGCATGTCGCCGCCCGCCAAGGGCGTCGAGTCGCCCATCCCCACGCGCACCGTTCCGCCGCTCAAGCACGCTCCCAAGACCTCAAGTCCTCTCGCTTTGACCAAGTCTGGTGGTGATGGTGACGACACGGAAGAGGAGGAGGGACATGAGCCAGGTGAGACTCCATCCGAGACCCCCGAGACCGAGACGGACGACGACTCTGGCGCAAGGAAGGACTCGATCGGTAGTGTCGGTCTGAATCTTGCCAGCTCCTGGGGCAACAAGCAGGGCAAGAAGGAAAAGGAAAAGGACGACAGCGGCGACAAGCCCAAGTTCTCGTTTGGAGCCAAGCCCGCTGCCGGAGAATGGACGTGTGACACTTGTATGCTGAAGAATCCGGACAGTGCCAAGGAGCAGTGCACTGTCTGCGAGGCCCCCCGCCCCGGCGCGAAGCCAGCAGCTAAACCCGCAGCGCCTCCCGGTCCGCCCGCACCTCCCGCCGGCGGCTTCAGCTTCGGCGGTTTCGGAAAGAAGGACGACTCCTCCAAGTCCGGCTCTCCCACTCCGCCTGCGTCTGGCGGCTTCAGCTTCGGTGCAAAGAAGGACGACACGAAGCCCGCGGCCCCATCCTTCGGCTTCGGCAAGCCTCCTGCCCCTCCCAGTGGCGGATTCTCGTTCGGTCAGAAGTCCGAGCCAGCCAAGGAGGACAAGAAGAGTGACAGCAAGGATGACAAGGGCGCGAAGAAGGACGATGCCAAGGGCGCCGACTGGACCTGCGGCACTTGCATGCTCAAGAACCCCGACAGCGCCAAGGAGCAATGCACTATCTGCGAGGCCCCTCGACCTGGCGCGAAGCCCGCTGCTGCTGCAAAGCCTCCCGGCCCTCCAGCTCCCCCTGCTGGTGGCTTCAGCTTCGGAGGCTTCGGTAAGCCTGCCGAGGCCAAGCCGGCGGAGGAGGAGAAGGACACGCCGAAGCCTGCGTTCTCCTTCGGTTGCTTCGGCCAGAAGCCCGAGGAGAAGAAAGGCAAGGCTGCTCCCCTGCGCCCCCTCTCTTGCCTCTTGCCGGCCTCTGGTCGGATGCGCACCTGACACCTCGTACTGCTCCTGCTCCTCCTGCTGCTCTCGACCTCACATCCCTCGACATCGTCTCCCTCCTCCTCTCTCCAGTCCGACGTCTCATGTCAACACCGCTTGTCATGGCGTGCATTGCGTGCACGCAGGAAGGACAAGGTATGGAAATTTTGGAACGGCAAGAAGGAAAGTGCGGTGCGATCGCTTCGATCGTTGCTTCGCTTCGTCACTGTCGCTTCGTAGACGAGGACAAGGGGGGCAAGGAGGCAAGTTGGGCACGCCGTTGCAAACATTGACGCATGAAGTCTATCCATGACGCTTTCTCCCTGGTTCGCATTCAACTTTTTTTCTCGGTGGCTTCGGAAAAGCAGCATCCCCTGCTCCTGCTTCGGGTTCGCCTGCTCCGGCCCCCGCTTTCGGCGGCTTCGGCAAGCCCGCTTCGCCTGCTCCGGGAGCGGCGCCTGCACCTGCTTTCGGCGGATTCGGCAAGCCGGCCTCCCCTGCCCCTGCCTCGCCATCTGCGTTCGGTGCTCCGGCTTCTGGTGCTCCGTCTGCGTTCGGCGGTTTCGGCAAACCTGCCTCTCCTGCACCTGCACCGGCACCTGCTCCAACTGCTCCGCCCGCGTTCGGTGGGTTCGGTAAGCCTGCGTCGCCTGCTCCTGGTGCGGCTGCGCCTGCACCTACAGCTCCTCCCACGTTTGGAGGCTTTGGCAAGCCTGCCGCTACCCCCGCGTCGCCTGCACCTGCTCAGTCGCCATTCGGCCTCGGCAAGCCCAGCCAGCCCACTCCCTCTGCGGGCAGCCCTGCGCCAGGTGCTGCTCCATCGTTCGGTGGTTTCGGCAAGCCCTCGCCTGCTGCCCCGCCGGCACTGGCGACGCAGACGCCTCCTGCCCAGGCGACCTCTGCCCAGCCGTCCAAGCCAGCCGCATCCGTGCAGCAGTTCCAGCAGCCTACGCGACCTGCCGCACCTCCCCATCCGCCTGCGACCAGTGCGTCGGGCAAGACGATGGCTGCGACGCTCGAGCACATCATCAACGACACGACGAACGGCTTGTCGCAGCTGAAGCAGACCCTGTCCGGCAACGCAAAGTATCACGAGCAGATGCAGGGCGCACAGTTCCCGAAGCCTTCGGCCGACACTATTGCTCACCAGAAGATGCTCCCGTTCTCGGCACTCGAGGACGTGCTCAAGATCACGAAGGGGCTCGAGGAGGAGCTCGCGCGTGTGCGCGGTGAGGTGCAGAAGAGCGACGTCGTCATGGCCGAGCTGCAGTCTAAGATGCTGAAGAGTGAGTTTAAACACCCCTGCGGGCGAGCCCGTGAGCTCATGGGATCACCGCTGGGATCTCCCGGTTTCGGGTTCATGGGCCCATTACATGAGTGTTCGGAAGCTGACGAAACAGCCGACATGAAGGCGGGTCAGGCAGACAAATTCCTCAAGGCGCGCAAGGACCCGTCATTCGCGCGTGCGATGCAGGTCAAGGAGCTCAGCCCGCAACAGCACGCTGACCAGGTGCGCCTGCGCAAGATTGTGTCGATGACCGAGTCGCGCCTGAGCGAGCTCGACACGGGCATCGGGGGGTTGAAGCGGCGCGCGTCCGAGCGCCCGCGAGGCCAGCCAGCGCTCGAGCGTATCCAGCGCTCAGTGCGCAACATCGACACGGCGATCCGCGACCGGCACGCAGCCGTCGACGAACTCGCGCGCCGCGTCAGTGGTCTCCGCCTCCGTTCCGTCTCGCGCGAGGGCACGCCCGGTCCCAGCATCGGCTCCCCTGCACGCCACACGCCCCGCAAGTCGAGCGTCACCCTGCAGCAGGCGCTGAAGCCTGTTGAAACGCCTGCGAAACCAGCGCTCAGACCGCAGGAGGACGTGCGCGACGCCGTCGCGAAAGCCCTCGACCGCCCGCGACCCCGGATTACGCGCAAGGACGCTCCCGTCACCAAGATCAAGGGCGCGAAGGGTGGTATCGTCGCGCACGCGTCGGTCGCTCGCGGACCTGTCAGTGTCGACAGCATCCCCCGCCCCGGCACTGCCGTCATCGCTGGCCCCAGCCGGACGCCGAGCCGTCTGAACCGCTCTGCCCGTGCGGCGACGCCCTCGACGCAAGCGCCGACGCCTGCTCCGGCCCGCACGGAAGCCCCTCCTCCTTTGGCTGCGCCCGTGCCAATCCCCGCTGCCCAGGTGCCAGCGACGCCTAAGCCGGGACCTGCATTCGGAGCCATTGGCTCAGCCTTCGGTGCGACTCCCCCTGCTGCGGCCCCAACTCCGCCAGGAGCAGCAGCAACGCCGCCGAGCACGACGCCAGGATCCTCGCCCTTCGCGGGCTTTGCGGGCATCAAGCTGCAGCTCGACCCCGGAGACGTTAGCAGCGGCACTCCGAGCCGGCGCGGCGGCACGTCTCAGCGCGCACACCAGGGTGCGGCCAAGTTCACGGGCTCGACGACGGTATCGGCGCCGACCTCAGGCGGACTATTCGGAAACGTCGCAGCGCCCAAACCGGCAACGGACGAGAAGAAACCAGCAGGCTATTTCAGGTGAGTTGAGTTGTGGCTGTCAGTGGCTTGGTCTGTCACGTCTGTCACGGTCGTCAATCAGTCAGTCGTCAGTCGTCAATCACCATCGGTGGCTTGCTTCGATCAGTGGCTTGATCGTCATCACTGCGATCACTACGGTCGCTGATGGTGACAACCGATGGCTGTCGGGGGATGTTTGGGTGGTGGCTGTGGTCGAGGTCAGGCGGTCACCTAATCGCCACACAATGTTGCGAGATTTGGCCACTCGCATGCATCTCCGGAATCGGACGCCGCACCGGCCCTCTCGGCGCCCGCGGCGCCCGTCGTAGAGTTTGGGCTCGGCGTCTGGAGTAGGATCGGCATAGCGCGGCGCCAAGGTTGGGAAGGTTGGCAGCTCCCGCGCTGTGCCCCGCTGTGCCGTCCCGCAATCCCGACGCTGTTTCGCCCGACACATCGCCCGAAGAGTGTCCGAACTTTGGCCCGGGTGCTCGTCCGACCTCCCCTCTGTCTTTCCTCCCCACCTCCCCATTCACATCCTCTGTTCGAACACCTGTGCATGCGCAGACATGTGCGCGTGCATGTGTGCATGTGGGACGACGCGTAGGCGTACAGCTCCAGCCTGCCCATTCACACCGCATGCAGGAACGAGGCACCTCACCTTGGAGCAGTGCTGCCGAGTGTGAAGTTGCGGGCCAATCAGAACGGGTGCGGTGCGGGCAGCGGGCAGCGGGGTCCGCCGTCGCGGCGCCGTGACGAGCTCAACGAGCGCAGTGAGCGCAGCGGACGCAGTGAGCGGGCAGTTTCCGCAGTCTGCGCGCGGCCGGGCGAGCATCAATCAAGCCTTATTGCCCAGAGCATACAGAGCAGGCAAGTTGGACGCAAGCCGCGGACACCGGACAGACCAACACACAGCAGACCAAGCACAGACAGCTCACCAACTGCTAACTCGAGCTGACAAACAGTTTCAGCGGCTTCGGCTCAAAGTAGTGATATCATAGATCGAGATCCAGATGCAACTGTCGTGCAGTAGGAGGTCGTAGCCAGAACAGGTAGATGTACTTGTAAGAAGGCAAGTTTCGAACCGAAATGTGTCTCTCAATGAGTCATGGCGTGCATTGCGTGCACGCAGGAAGGACAAGGTATGGAAATTTTGGAACGGCAAGAAGGAAAGTGCGGTGCGATCGCTTCGATCGTTGCTTCGCTTCGTCACTGTCGCTTCGTAGACGAGGACAAGGGGGGCAAGGAGGCAAGTTGGGCACGCCGTTGCAAACATTGACGCATGAAGTCTATCCATGACGCTTTCTCCCTGGTTCGCATTCAACTTTTTTTCTAGCCACCCAAGGCAAGCTAGGCGGGCTGGAATCGGCGAGAGGCGCCAGGTGCACTGGAGTGAAGGAGAAGGGGGTGGTGGAGGAAAGTTAAGTTGGGTGGCAAACGAACAGAGTCGAGGATTCGAAGAAACGAAGGCACGAAGGCACGGCTCCACCCCTTGTCCTCCCTGCCCTCTCTGCCTCATCTCCTCCTTGGAGCGATGTTCGGACACATGTCGGCAAGCAACTTTAGCAAGGAACACACTTACTCGGCCAAGTCTGACGGCCTGCCGGCCTGCCGGCCTGTCGGCCAGTCGGCCTGTGCGGCATGCCCGATTGGAACGATGGAACGCCAGGAGAAGATGACAAGAACGATGGCAGATGGCCGAGCGTGCCTGGGGTGCAATGCTGTAATGTTGGACGAACAGAGTTTCGTCTGCTTTGCCACTATATTGGCTCTGTTCTGCACAGAGAACATGAGCCGACTACTACGCGGCTGCGAAATGGCATTCTTGGAGGCAGGCGTGAGGCTACGGAAAGAGATGGTGAACCAGGTCCGGGGCAACGTCACTTCGTAATGGGCAGGATAAGATGCGTCATCAGTTCTTGTCTGTCTCAGCTTCTCGTACATCTTAGTGTCGGACGATGCTGTCGCCCGTAATATCCCCTCATCTTAGCCCGTGATGCGTAATGTTCCTTCGTAATGAAGCACTTTGGGTACGAGAGAATGTTTCGACGAGGGGATCAAGCCGTGATATCCCGACATCTATGCTGCCCGAGCACCTGCCCGAGTGTTCGAAAGCTCGTCGGGGGACGAGGAGACGGAGCAACGAGGGGTGCGAGGCATCAGATCGAGGGGCAGGGGGTGGATCATGATGACAACAGATGACAGCAGATGACACGAGATGGCCCGAGATGACACTTCGATGACAGGAGACAGGAGACAGGAGATGACAGGAGACTCGATTCAACCAGGTCCCGGATCCCCAGACGAGGAGACGACAGGAGATGGAGATGAGATGAGGAGAACTAGGGGATGATACTCGATGACAGCCGACATGCAACATGAGTCGAGCTCAGCAGAGGACGCCTTGCTGGAAGTCGAACCCAGGGCCGAACGCGCAGGACAAGCCAGGGGCCCAGGGTCGTGTTTGAAGGGGAGACCAAGGGGGAGGGGGGTCCATCCCTGTTCGCTCCTTTCGCTCACTTTCGCGTTTCGGGCCCTCCCATCATCCTATCAATTCCTACAATCCTGCACACCTGCACTCCGTCCTGCGTGCAAGACGCAGGGCTGATCCCACTCCAGAAGGACAAGGAGAAATGAAGGAATAGGAGGGACGTGCTTTGTTTCCGATTACACATGCGCTTTGATGGAGATCGATGAGACTCGGACGTCTGATCACGTCTGTGTGTTCGTGTGTGAGCAATGTGCACAGATGAGGGCGAGCAGGACCCCGTTTCGCACACAAAGTTGTGGGTTTCGCGCCGACATTGCTGCTAAACACAGCCCAAACGAGCCCAAAGCGTCGATAATGTTGGGCAAGCCCCCGAGGTCGATGGAATTGGTGGCGCCATATTGCCCCGTAGACCTTTTCAGTCAAAGTGCAACCCCATTAGGGGGAAGATGTGCTGGAATTGGGGTGTTCATTAGGGAGGGACTACTTGACCCAGGCATGGCAGCTCTGAGTGTGCGTTTCATGTGACGCCATGGCGTGGACTCGACTCTGGGCTTTAGTGCAATTACCTGTTTCTCAACGTCGGCGTATTCAGGCGTCCACTCCTTAGGCTTATTCATTGTCTCAGCAGCCTCAATTGCATCGCTGGTGTGCTAATAACCCAGTGGTGGCGCTGTCCTGCGCACAGGCTGGGCCGGCTGGACGATCTACTCTGAATCGCCTCAGCTACCAGTCCCAGATGTATCTGATCATCTGAATGCATGCAGAGCAGACCGAATAGGGCATCCCACTCGTTCCAGATGCTGGCGCAGTGGGATCAGCAGGATCCAGCAAACGACCTTCGATTTCGTCACCGAGCGGGTGAGACAGGTGCTTTCACTTCCATCTCGTTGCGCACACTCTGAGGTGCTGATGCAGATTGGAGATTGTAGAGGGACGACACGGCCTGCGTATCTCCGCTAGAAGCGCTGATGCCCGATCTCCGTCAGCCGTATCAGCCTTGCGTTAGCGTGCAGATCGCCGTGTCTGGGCTAGACAATAGAGCAATCTCAAGTGCCCCGCGGCTGTGGATCGTCGGTCCGTCGCCCCGGTGGAGCTGCTCTATATGCAAGTTTTACGAACCAACTCGCCCCAAAGTTTTACAATACCATGCATGAGATCATGAGACGATCTGCTGGAGTCATGAAGCAATCTGTTGCCCGCTTGCTGCGGCGGTCAGGAGAGGAGGCAGGAGGAAGCGAAACGCTACGCAGGCTGGAACGACTGCGACTGCGACAGGAACGCCATACGCAGGCTGGTTATCTGTCGCAGTCCGAATGCACGAGCAAGGGAGCACCGGAGCACCGGAATACTGCGACGCGAGGCGTCGACGTGACTGCGAGATCGCGCTTTGAAACTAGCCACTTGGGTGGTGGTGCGCGCAAAGTTTACGGTGAAGCAGTCTCCTTGGTTTCCAATGTAATGAGTGGCCAGTCTGCGCTGGCGTCGCCTTGCGATAGTGTGGCAAGGCCAAGCAAGAGCTTAAGCTGGAGCTGGCGTGATCATGGAAAGATTGATTGCGGAGAGACTCTTGGAGTGTGAGTGCATCCAAGCTCAGGAGGGGGAGAAGAGGACTCAGTCTGTAACACGTCAGAGGGACAGGTGCGTTCTGAGGGAGGAGAGGACAGGGACGAAATGACACACACCCTGAGTTTGACGCCTGCCCCTGCTCCAGCACGGCTCCAGTGAGACGCACATCACCCCAGCAGCGCTGACACTGGCACAGCCCCTGCGCCCCAGCAGCCCTGAGACCCTGGCTCCCTGCGTGCCCTGCTGCCCTGGGTGACCCTGTTACAGCATACAGGCAAGGCTGCTCCCCTGCGCCCCCTCTCTTGCCTCTTGCCGGCCTCTGGTCGGATGCGCACCTGACACCTCGTACTGCTCCTGCTCCTCCTGCTGCTCTCGACCTCACATCCCTCGACATCGTCTCCCTCCTCCTCTCTCCAGTCCGACGTCTCATGTCAACACCGCTTTTCCTTTTCTCACCACCTCATCTCATCCTTCTTGCATTCTCATCACTCTCCATCTCTGCTCCGCATTCATCCCCCTCGCCACCATCACAATCTCCCCTCCGGCTCTCCATTCCTCGACCCCGACACCCCTCGCCGACTCCGAGACGAGACGCTCTTCCGACGTGACCGTTTCAACGACTTCGGCTTACACTCGCCATCCCCGCAGACATCATTAGATCCACCGTCTCCACATCGCCGACACCACACACTTCGCACCTTCCCACACCGAGATCGAACACTTAAGTGCACGCAGCACACACAGGATCTCGGCACAATCGTCTGCCGGTCCCGTATCTTGACCTTCCTCGCGAAAACAACCCACGAACAACCTTCCTCCGATCGTCGCTACATCGACGCTGAACATCCCTCCTCTTCTCTTGTCTCTCCACCACGCTTGAAGCTGGACGCGGGAACCTGTCTTGTATCCTGCCCAGCACCACAACATGGTAAGTCAAACTTCGCGCGCTCGCATCTTCTCCCTCCTACCGCTGCTCCGACATCCCTCCATTGTTCTCGACATTTTTCAAACCCAATCCGCGTCGTTTCCTTTCGATTGTTCACCCGACGCCGGCGCCGAACGTCCGGCGGTCTCGACCTTCTGCGCCATTTCGAATGCACGACAGTTCAGCGAGTGGCGCTATGTCGGGCGCTTCAAAATGTTCGAGTGTCCGCGCTCGGTCGACGAAACATGAGGCTCGATCACTCATCGGGCCGCCCACTGTTCGTTGAGCTGCGTCCCGGGGTACTTCACGCTACCTCGCGCGATGTGGGCTGTGATTACGGCACATCGGCACACTACAGCCGGCCGCTCGCCGCTGTTCGCTGCTCATGACAAGCGCGAAGCACTGAACAGCGAGAGCAACCGATACGCATCCACGGCCAGGCAAGCTTAGACCCGTGCGGTGGTGGGCTTTGCTCCGAACTGCGGCAATGAAACGTGCAGTGAAGCACTCGGGCTGCCAACGTGAACATTGCGATCTGTTTCGTCCTCCCATTGTCTCAGCGTCGGCTCACGTCCCCCTTCCATTGCGATCGCACACACTTGAGAGGGATATCCTGCTGACACGTAACTTTGTTCCTTCACTCCTCATCACAATCACAACACACTCGATCGCACTCGTTTCATCAACGCACACGAACGCTCCTCTCACTCATCTCCATCGCAAATGTGCTCACGTTGGCTCCCCGATGACCCCGCAACACGAACCGGCACCCTTGCCATCAACAGATCTGATGCTGTCAGCTCTATCCCCGACTACATCAATCAACCTTTCCCCTCTTGTCGGGACGCATTGTCGCCTGCCCCCGGTCGCCGCGCCTAGGCCCCGGCCGACCCTGCCTCGACTGCGCATCGTCACCTGCTCCGCGCCGAGCTCGCCGATAGCGGTCTCCTCTGCGATCGACTGGCCTCTGAGCGCCTCCGTGGCGGAGCTGAGCAGTAAGAAGCGCCAGTCACCAGAGCCCCTCGAGGACTTGGATGAACGTGCGCCCAAGTCCGCAAAGGTCGTGAAGCGCGTTCGATTTATTGTCCCGAGCAACAGCAAGCGCGACAGCAGGCCTTGCACGCCTCTAGCAAAGGCAAACCTAATCCGTGAAGCTTGTCACAGCCCCAGCCCCTGCCCCAGCCCGTCCAGCCTCTCTGACGCGGCCTCTGACGACATGCGTTCACCACCATCACCGTTGCGGTCAGTCGACGCGCCGTCGTCGCTGCTCTCCTCCATGCAGGGTGTCAAGCTGCGCTCCATGTCGCCAGACGAGCGGGCACCTGGTTCGCCACCATCACCAACGTCAACGTTCAACGATTCCAACTCTAACCCTAGCAGCTCTGCTTCCTCCTCAACGTCCTCTTCACCTCAACGGCTACCGCCTGTGTTGCATCTGAAGCGTGGCAACCCGAAGGGCTTGCAGCTGTCGCTGGGCGCTTCGTCGTTCCACAATAGCACCAACGCATCAACACCGACACCGACCGGCTGTGCGTCGCCGATAAGCCCTTTCTTCCCCACGCAGACGCCGGCAACGCCGACGTTCACCGGCGGCGGTTCGCTCGGTCCCCGCTCTGGTGGCAAGAAGGGCAACGCCCGCCGGCCGAGTCTCCTGTCTCTCATCACCCATCCCCCGGGCGGCGCCAGTGACGTGCCGCCGACACCAGGACCGAGCTCCGGTTACGGACGGCGGCATAGTCGCATGCGCAGCGCCGGATCCAGTGGAGCGCCTTCATCTCTTCCGCTCGGCTCTGTCGACGAGTACGCGAGCAGTGCCTCGAGCGGCCCCATGCTGTCACCATCAATGTCCTCGGGTGATAGCCTGTCAACACCTTCATCAACACCACCCGGCAGCTCGGGCTCGGAGCGCGAGTTCCCGCACATGCTGGAGCCGTACAAGGACGGCCCCATCGAGATCGTGCCGGGCGTCTGGCTCGGAGCAGAGGAGAGCGTCTTCCACTGGGACGTGTGGACGCAGGGCGCTTCCGAGGTCGGCGTCGTGAACGTTGCGCAGGAGATTGACAACCCGTTCGACCCGCGCACCGACCTCGCCAACTACACCTGGATCTCGCCTCGCGGCAAGGACAAGGTGACCCTCAGCACACACCCCGGTACACCGTCGCACCCGCCTGTCGCTTATACGCACCTCCGCTGGTCGCACGGCGAGGGCGGGCTGGCTGACCTTCCCGCCGATGCCGAGCTTGGCGACATTGTCAACCCCTCCGCCGCTGCCCCGAATGTCCAGTGGCGGTTCTGGGAGGCTATTAGGTGGATGGAGGCGCGTCGCCGCGCGGGCGTTCCCGTCATCATTCAGTGAGTATCAGCTAATCTACATATGTTTGTCGTAGCTAACAAGCAGTTGTCAATGCGGCGTCTCTCGCAGTGCCACCCTCACTGTCGCATATGTCATGACGCTCGCCGCCTCGGGACAGTTCCCCGAGCTCCTCGGCCACCTGCACACGATGCAGGACGCTTATGACTTTGTCAAGGCGCGTTCGCCCTGGATCGGCCCGAACGTGAGCCTCGTCTTCCAACTTGTCGAGTTTGCGCGCAACCTGTCCTCCCTCCTGAGCCGCCATGTGTCGCAGCACGGCATGACGTGGGAGACGCGCTGGCCCACTCTCGTCGACATCGAGAGCGAGGACGCGTGGGCGAAGCGCAGACGCGAGTTTGGCGACGAGCCGCAGGAGGAGGAGTCGAGGCGCAAGCGCGAGGAGAGGGAAGAGGAGGCGCGCCGCCTCGACGAGGCCATGGTCGAGCGCCAGCGGGGACGGATCAGCCCCAGCGACTCCTTGCGAGCGTGAGCGGGCGCAGCAAGCTTCTCTCAGTTGGCCACCACTCCACTACTCTCAAGCCACAACATCATGGTCCGCGAGACCATCATCAGCATATCAGCATAACCCACCTCAGAACGTCAGAACGACACTTGTACGACCACCGCCTCCGATCCGGACACTGGACAGATTAGGCCATAGACGCGATTCATGTTGTAGCACCATTGCGTGTTGGTGCACTGCTGCTGGGAATGATGACTGACTTGACTGACCTCTATTGACGACACCAATTTCACTGATAATAGTGGCAATCCGCAAATGCGGTCACAGCGACTTGGCGTACAGCCTGGTTAAGCAGTGGTGCTTAATGGACAGTCACTGCGCTCACGAGACACCGCACCGTAACGCACCGCCAATCGTGAGCGGTGTTTGCACCACGCTACAGGCCACAAAAGCACCGCAAGAGGTAGTTGCCTTGTTCATCAGCGCTCATCAGCTCGGGGCGCGATCAACCCAGGCTGGCCGCAGAGTCCTACTGACATCCCCCGGTTGAGAGGGCGGGCAGGCTGATGGACAAGATCGACATGAGCAGCGAGGGCGATCCCCGCCATCGAGCAAGACACAAACATTGCGCGCACCGCAAACACAGTAAACACCCGTTCGTCTCACGCACCCAAGAAGAGGGGGTCGGTCGTATACAAAACTGATCGCGGTTGGGAAGGGGAAACGTCTTTCTCTCTGTCCCTCAACATCTACTCTTTGTCCTCATCATCAGTTTCTGACGACCACTGTTCGCTGCAAGCTCACGGCAAGGGCAACTTCGACAAGACCTGCATTACCGTCGAGAGCGGGGACTGGGTCTACTTCGACTGGCACGCTACTCGCTGGTGGACACTCGGCGGCCTCGATCGAACTCTTCCTCGTAGCATCAACATCAAGTACTGAACAAGTCCATCACTCCGCCACCCCCGCGCCTTCCGTCCACACCCCCACTACCATACCCCCTGCTCTCTCCTCTGCTCTCTTTTCCCACCTCCTCCCTTCTACCTCGACTCTTCCCAACTCTCAGCCCTAAACGACACCACGCACATCTTTCGCCATGCTGGCGGCCCTCTACGCCGCGCCCCTAGTCTGCCTCGGCCTCAGCGCGGGCTTGTCGGCCTGGCGCCGTCCCGAACCCCTCGTGCTGACTGGCCATGCGCTCCTGTCCCTCGTTGCTGGATGGGTCCATTCTGGGCAGTATGGCGGACGCACGGGCAATGTCCTCCTCGCACTCGCTAGTACGCCTGCTATTGCTGTCCTGTTGGGTGTTGGGGTCATGCGGCCTCGCAAGTCTATGAGTGAGTATTCCTCTCCATGTTTGCCTCTGTAGTACCACTTGCCACTCACCCCTCACGATGGTCACCATCCTTGACGACTGCTCGTCATGGTGACCATAGTGGCACTCACCGCCACACACACCAGCTGCGCTAATTCTGCCTCGCTAACTCCAGACACCTCGTCCAACTCGCTCCGCCCCGCACCAATCTATCGCTTTCTCGCCTCGCTCCGTCCCACTAGCCTCCGCTTGTCCCTCCTGGCCACGGTTCCCGTCATCACCTTGTCTCTCCTGCTCGCACTGGTTGCGCCAGTCGCTTCCGTCATGGCACTGAACGCAGTGCTCGTGGCGCTGCACACGTCCGTTTATGCCTACTCCGCCCCTCTGCCCGGGTTCTGGCCCTTCTCGCCTGTCTCCTCCCCCGTCCTGCCACAGGAGGAGGACAAGATCAGCTCCGAAAAGTCCCTCCGCGAGCGTCAGGTCGAGGACTGGGTCGGCACCTTTGAGGACACGCGGCAGCAGGTCGTCGATGAGTGGAGTCTCAGCTTCACAACGGCGGCGACTGCCTCCCGGCGCCGAAGCGCCAGTACGCAGTCGAGCCCCATGCGCGTTGCCTCTCGTCTCTACTCGCCCGTCAAGGCGCGCCTCCTCCGGACCCAGGACAGCGGTATCGACGACACGTTCGGACACACCACGACTGGTCCCTCTACCTCTGGGGTGTACGATACGGCCAAGAGTACCGACAACACGTACACTACGGCCCAGAGCGAGGCCAGTAAGACGAGTAAGGCTAGCAAGACTTCGGAGCACAGTGTCCGGTTTGCGCGCCCCCTGTCGCCCACGCCCAAGGCAGCCCGACTCGGTTTTGACGAGAGCGACATGAGCTTGCCCGCCCCCCTTCGGCTGCCGCCACTGGCCAAGGTCGCGCCGTCCCAAGGCAACAGCCGCAAGCCCTCAACCCCGCCCCGGTCTCAGCACGATCCCGTCCACAGCACCGAAAACGGCACGCCTACGTCCTGGCTCTCCTCCCCCGGCCAGTCTAGCATTCTGCACCCGGACTGGAGCTTCAGTTCCTCTGGCTCGGACCCCGCCGCCTTCCTCTCGTCCACTGTGCCTCGTGCTTCTATTGACACTCGTCGTTCTATCGATGTCCGCCGTTCGATCAATACCTCCCGCCTGTCCGTCGACGGGTACCGCAAGTCGATGTCTGTCGATCTGCCCCGCGAACCGCCCTACGCCTTCCTCTCGCAGGACCCTACCCAGAAGCGGAAGCGCGGCAGCACGCAGACTGCAGCCAGTGTTAGTTTCCACGACTACGTCTCTGTGCACAGTGCGCACTCGACCTCGCGCCAGAAGCTCTCCGATGCTCCCGGTACGGTGCGCCGCTTGTCCTGTCCCGCCAGCATCGCCGAGAGCTTCAACATGAGTGTCGGCGGCAGTATCCTCGGCGACTACTCTGCGTCTCCGTCGCAGCCCCTGCCTCGCTCCTTCGAGAGTCTCCGCTCCTTCAGGACCCGCACGCAGAGCAAGAGTTCCCACGAGCCCGACGCCGAGCCCGAGACGCAGGAGCGCTGGGAGGTCGTTCCCCCGTTCGTCTCCGAGTTCGTCCCGGCCGAACTGTTCAAGGAGCGGAACAGCGAGGACGTGCCGTCCTTCTTTGTCGACATTGTCGAAGACAAGGAGGTGCAGACGTGGAGCCTGGGCTGGCCCGGCGTCCTCGGCTCGCTGCTCCTGCTCGGTCTCTCCTCTCCTGCCCTTCTGGCCGAGGGCGTCGCGACGCGCGCCCTCCTTCTCGCCTCGTCCTTCGTCCCCGCCCTCGTCGTCACTACGTCTTCGATTCTGTCCCCGCGCCCCGTCGAGGTTGACATTGAAGCCGAACAGAAGCGGATCAAGTACCATCCCCGCGACCGCTCCCTGCGCCCTACGCATGGCAAGCTGCTGCGCGCCCGCCCCGAGCTGAGCTTTGCGCCGCCCTCGCCGCTCAAGTCCCGTCCTCGCACGATGTCAGCTGCAGCCAGGCTGCGCACACTGCGCGGCGGGATTGTGAGTGCCATGGCGCCAGCGATGGGACACTGCGCCAGCGACAGTGTCGGCAGCACGGGGACGCACGACACGCAGGCGAGCACGCGCAGCCAGGCCGAGGAAGCGGACGGGAGCCACGGGTGGCTCGACGCGCACATCGGCGTCGCGACTGTGGCCACGCGCTCGCGCTCGCCGAGCGTGCTCAAGCTCGACTGGACGGGCATCGCGTCCGCGCCCACGACGCCCGCTCGCAAGACCATGACGCACGTCAAGTCGCCGCGCAAGAGTCCTGCCAAGGGTACGCCGAGGAAGGGCAAGGACAGCGACGATGACGAGGAGGAGGACGATGACGACGACGTGCTCGCTGCTGCCACCGCGGTCGCCCACAGTCCCTCGCGTGTCCAGCGCAGGCGCACGTCCGCCTTCGCCACGAGCGGGTGCGACTTCTCCCTCCCGTCGTCCGGGTACGCTCCCTCTCTCCGCGGCTCGATCACTGGTGCTGCCGCGGCGGCCCAGCGTGCGCTCCCCAAGCGCGCCCCGCTCAACCGTGTCGTGACCTGTCCCATCTCCAAGGCCTCTGCCCCCCCTCCCCGCCTGCCCAAGTCCTCCGGTGCCTCCGGTGCCTCTGGCGCCTCCAACTCCACCGCCGCCTCTGCACTCTCCGCCGCGTCGGGCGTAACTTCCGACGCGCCCCACACCGCCTCCAGCTCGGACACGTTCGGCACGAAGGCCGCGTCGGCGGCAACTGACTCGCGCGTCGACTTCAGCACGTACGACTTCTCGAAGCCGCGCCAGATCTCCTCGAGCGAGGGGGAGGGCATCGGGCGCGCCGTGCTCGGCTTCAACATCCCCCCGCCTACGACGCCGATGCCGCCTGCACCCTCTGTCCCCGCGGCTCCACTGGCGCTGGCGCCACGCAACATCAGCGCGGAGAAGATCGACCTGTACTCGACCCCCGCGCGGCGCGCCAAGTCGTCCGAGACCTCGAGCATTCTGCGGAACGCGGAGCTCGCGCGTTTGTTGCTGGCGGAGGGCACGCCGGCCCCCGCGCGTCACAAAAGAAGCTTCAGTGGCGGATCGGTGCGCTCGCACCCGTACTCTGTCTCGCGGTCTGCGCGCTCCTCCCGCTCCACGAAGAGCAGCAAGGGGAGCAAGGGCCACAAATCGAGCGCGAGCTGGGCGAGCATCAAGGCCAGTCTGAAGAGCAGCGTGCCCTCCCCTCTCACGCCCAAGTTTGCCCCCAAACGCCCAAGCACGCCGAGCACTATTGCCCGCCTCGAGTCCAGCTTTGAGGAACGCTTTGAGCAAGACCCCCCCGCACCAAGGAGCCATCCCCACCCCCGCCCCTTCAGCTGCGACTACGCCACGCCCTGGGACCATGCGCCTTTGCGTTCTCGCGCGCCCCTCGCCCGGCCCGTGCCCGACGTCGGCAGTTCGTATGAAGTGAGCTCGCGCGAGAACACACGCCTCCACACGACCTCGAAGAGGAGCAAGTCCGAGGCCGCGTTTGTGCGTCATCTGGACAAGGCGGAGAGAGCGGAGAGCGCGGAGAGGGCGGAGAGGGCGGAGAAGGGGCTGCGCCCTCTCGTGCTCGCTGAGAGGCACAACGTCAACGTCAATGAGCCCGTCAAGCGCAGCCCCCGCTTCGGCGGGACTCCAAACGTCTCCGGTGTGTCTCTTTCGGACGAGACGGAGGACGAGATCTCCTACTTTGACGTGTCCAGCTCCTTGAAGCCGGGCATCAAGGCGTTCGTCTCGCGTCTGTCGGGGACGCCGGACAAGAACCCCGGTGCGAGCACGGAGCGCGACTCGGGCACTGCCTCCCAGAGAGCGTCGGCGTCCCAGCGCACGAGTATCTTTGGCCTGGGCAACATGTGGAACTCCTCCAGCATCAGCGCAGGGAACAGTGTGAGTGTGGGCCCGGCGATGAATAGCCCCAACGTCCGCGCTGGTCGGGGACGGGACACGAGTCCCGTGCGCGGGGCCAGGAGTCCTGTTGGACCTAAGCCTAAGCCGAAGCCGAAGCCTATGCGTTTGTAACTCTTTCCAGTTTATGTGTATCCATCAGTGTTTAGTTGTGCGTATTGTTTGTATCCGAGTTAACGACACGATCATGCATGTGTGTATCCGGCAGCGAGCAGAGGTAGTCGTGGTTTGTGGAATCCAAGCGTCGCAGATCAGTGTGTCCGTCGGTCCGCCTGCTGCACCGGTCACCGACCAAAAGGCAACCAAAAGGCGAGCAGGTCATGACCCGTCTGCCCGGTCAGCGCGGGCGGTCTCGACTCCCCTCCAGGCGTGATATAGAGTCAGACAAAGCCTATGGCATAGGCGCGGTGCTGTTCTCTGGCAGCGTTGCGTAGCAACCTGGAATCGAAGCTGCCACACTGGTCGGCCCCACCAACGATACCCTCTCATCAACGCCTTCTCTTCCCTGTCCCCTTCTTAATGACCCAGCCA